CGGAAGCAGCTGAAGTTGAGCTGTGAACAGACAGACTTGAAAAGTCCCAGAGGCTTTGGACAGAGGAGCAGAGAGCCCAGCACGGAGCACACGGGGTCACAGATCCCTGTATTTTCCTGTCGCTGGGAGCCACAGGAACAATCATACGCCAGCCAGCAGTGCTGGCCTAGAGAGCCGGCATGGCCACAGGAGAAACTGAAGCAAAGCGCTGACCTCCACGACACAGAAGGAAAGAAGGCCTCTACCAGTTGTAGCCACAGGAACTGGAGGCTGGAGCCACATGTGCTTGAGTACATGTGGGAGCTAGCTACATCGCAGAGCACCTGAGATGTGTGTGCTGGATCCACCGGGATCCTCCACTTGACCTTCAGCGCCCACAACTCCTCAGCAGATCCACATGGGGAAGGAGCTGGCACCCCGGATCTCTGGCAGAGCACTGGCATCAGTGCCTCCATGGAGTGAGCAGAGGACATAAAACCAGAGCGAGGCCCTGCTGGTGGAAGTCTTGCCGTCCACCATGGCCTCTCCTGGCCAGGCCTCCCCAACTGCCTCTCCTCCCAGTCCACTCCCTGGTTGCTAGGTGACGGACACAAAGGAAAGAGAAAAAGGCAAATGGCACACAGCCACTAAGGTCATAGGAAGAAGTCACTCCACATAGGATGAGCACTCTTACCTTCTACCCTCACACTTGACCTCCTGCAGAAAGGCCACCTTCTCTGTTGTTGTTTTGGTTTGGGGATGTTTGGTTCTGGTTTTGTTTTTATTAAGCCTTCTTTAGTTACAACTCCTTGCATTGAATATTTACAGGGAAATTTTTTTCTCCCTTCCTCTCATTTCTTCTCCGCTTGATATTTAATTTTTAATCTTTTCTTCCTTCTCCCCCCGCCTTTTAAAATGTTAATTGGATCTATTTTTTCCTTATCATCTTTAACCTTTTTAATTTTTTTCTCTTTTTTCCATGTTTATTCCTTAATTGGAACTTCTACTTCTTTCTACCTCCCCCACATTATCCTATTTTTTGTTTGTTTCTTTTTTAGCATTATTTTTAGATTTGTATTCTTTGTAAACTAGTATCTGTTTTGCTCATTGTTTTTATCTTTGCCCCCTATTCTACTGGTGTGTGGTGCTACTTGTTTTTGATTGGTAGTTACTTTCTTTCCATATTTGGTTTGTCCATTGTGACTGTTATGTTTTGTTTCTTCTTTGTGAGTGGTGCAGGGGATTGAGGCACTAGGTGGGTGTTTGGTTACCATTTGATGGTTACTGTTTGAAATTGCACCTCAGTCTATCCAACTTTATCCTGCCCAACCACAGTGAATGCTTCAGTTTAAAGCCTATGGGAGATTGAAACTTCCAGCTGGTGACTTGTCCCCAGAAGCACAGATCTCAATACAGAAACACAGGAAACATGAAAGAAGAAGACAGCGTGACTGACTCCATCCCATAGTAACTGATTCCAGTGATACTGAAATGGATGAAATGCCGGACAAAGAACTCCACAGTCAGGAGGAGAAGGATCACAAGTTGGAGACCACCCTGGGTCTGTGTGGTGAGACCGTCTCACAAAAAGAACAAATTGAAAAGGATTGTAAACATAAAGAGCAAACTCAAAGAGGGTATGAATCAATAGGTAAATGAAGAAACAGGATATGAGAGCAGCTCCATAGAGAGAGAGAGAGAGATTCTGAAAACAAACAAATCTTGGGAATGAAAAGGTCAAATCAAATTCATAAACTCCCTTGAAAGCCTCACCCGTAGTCTGGATCAAGTGGAAGACAAACCATCAGGGTTTGAAGACAAGGCTGAGGAACTGAAACACTCAGACAGTATTAAAGAAGAAAGGCATTATGAAGGGCCCGTAGGAGACCTATGAGACACAACTAAAAGACCAAACTTGAGAGCATGTTCCATTCTAGATTTCAAGTTGAAGACAGTTAAATTTAAACAAAAAAAAAGTTTAAAAAAAGTTTTTAAAAAAGAAGTTTAAACTGTTGTAACTTGGAAAGCGCTAGACAGGTGTTTAAGGAGCTGGGGGCATCCAGAGCTGAGCAGTGGAGCCTGAGCAGGCGTGGTCAGCTGGAAGACCAGGAGACGGGCTGAGTTTGGAGTAGCTAGGAGTGATAGTATGTGCCATTGTTTGGTGGGAGGAAGGCAGTGCAGGCAGCTAGGTTTACCACAGTGGTCAGGCAAGACAGTGAAGCTGAAACACAAGGGTCATTTTCTGCATGGACAAAAGTAATACAGAAAAGATTTGCTGAGTACCTGCGTTTAGCAAGTGTTAATAAGGGGTCACTCTTCTAGTTGTCAGTTCTAAACGTGTGTCCGGCAAAGTGGCAGAGGTGGCTGCACACAGCAGCACGTCTTCAGAGGACGGCGGAAGCGAGAGCGAGTGACACTGGATTCAGTCCAGATTGGCCAGAGGACCACAGGACACGACATCGCTGCATGACTGGCTGTGAGGAAAGCAAGTGTCAAGTCTGGCCCTTCACCCTGCGGGTAGACGATGACTAAGTGTCCGTGGGGCGTTGGGGGTGGGAATGGTGAGAAACTCTTAGTTGGTAAATTCATGGTGACAGATTGACAAAGGCTGGGTTGGAATTCAGAGAAGCAAAACGCCCAGGCCGCCTGCAATCCCAGCACCCTTGAGGCTGGGGCAAGAGGCCAGCCTGGGCTACAAAATGCGACCCTGTCTCAAAAAAAAAAAAGCCAAAAAATAAAATACATTTTTAAAAAGTGCAGGTCTAACACAAAGCCAGCTTATACTGTGTGTTCCCGCATCGCCTCTCACAACTCATGCTGACATTTTCTTGAGTGACGTGGAGAAAATTGACGTTTGGGTAACGAATCTTCTTAACTCTTGGGAGTTAGTCTACTCGTTTTTGTCATGTGGCCCACGCTTGCTCGAAACTGATCTTGGGAGTATAGATGGGGCCTCTACTTATGAACCTGCTGCAGTACCTGCCCACCAGGCCCTTCCCCTGATTGGTAGGGATTGGCCATGACAGTGCCTTGAGAGCTTGTTTGGAGGTTCTAGCAGGGGAGCGCAGCTACTCGTGTACCCTTGACCAAAGAACGGTCCTCCCCTACCCGGGATGGTCGTCCTCTTTGACCGAGTGGGCAGCTTCACAAGGGACCCACGTGGAGTGGTGAGGGAGGAAGGGGACACCCACCTAGCCAGCCAGATCAGCCGAATCAACCCTGGCGATCAGTGGGGTGACAGATGTAGCAGCCAGATCGCCCTCACATCTTGTCGGTGCCTTGAATATTCTGGAGACATTGACACCATCTGAGAGAGGTAAGTAGCTTTCTTTCCCAAGGAGAAGTACTGACAGCCTCAGTAGGGCCAGTAAGCAAGAGCTCTTTGGTTTTGTTTTTTGTTTTCTTTGTGGTACTGGGGCTTGAGCTCAGAGCCTACACCTTGAGCCACTCTACCAGTCCTTTTTTATGATGTGTGTTTTTGAGATAGGGTCTCTCAAACAATTTTGTGGGGCTGGGCTGGCTTTGAACTACAATCCTCCTGATCTCTGCTCCTGTGTAGTGGGATTTCCAGGTAGGAGTCACCGGTGCCAGGATACGGGATTCTTTGGATGGGAAGCTATTGGTTACACATAAACTGTGGATCATGCTGAGTCCTGGGAAAATGCCACCAAGCTTTGTTTAGGAGACCTAAGAAAGGGCCTGGAGGTGACCCACCTAACACCAAGTGAAGTGACAGAGCCAGAAACCACACACACTAGTTCTTGGGAGCAGCGTGGCGGTCAACACCACTTAAATGTAACCAGAAAGGCTGGGGACGGCCGGTGGTCGGTCTGAGCCCTGCGCACTCCCTCATACCAACGCGTGGATGGGACATAGCTGCCAACACCTCTGTCTTCTTACATCGCAAAGCTTCTGCTGTAGCTGGAGCTGGCCGCACTTGAACTGAGGCCTGCTCTCCTGCTGTGTGGACAGCCCGGCTCTCAGGGTCCCACACATCTGTAAACTTGAGCTCTGAGCAGCCTCCCCTCCATGCAGGGAGCCAGGGTCTGGCTCTGAAGTGAGGCAGCTCTGCGGACAGAAGAGCTCCTGTCTTGATGGAAAGGGTCCCGTGGAGCTGGTCCCGTCTGTGTCCCTCTGGGCAGTTGGCCCTCCTGTGGTGGGGCTGCCTGTCACGCTCAGCCGAGTGACAGTGGTAAATTGCAACTGGATCAGAGAAGACCATGCTATGCTCTTCGCGCATGGCAAGGCAGCATGGGCTGCGTGTGTCGGTCACGGTCTCGTCTATCGCATGTCTTGTGTTTGACCAGGACACAGGGCCGACTGTGCAGACAGGTAGCAGCAAGTTTTCTGCACTGCGATGGAGGCCTGGGTAAACTTCTGCAAAGTCAGGCAGAGTGCTTTTGTCCGTCTTCTAAAACGCTCACACACTCAGTTTTGAAGCGGCTATCTTCCCCAGTGGGTCATCAGTAAGGTTCAGCGTCTGAGCAGAAACAGGGCTTTGCACAGCTCTTAAACAGTATTTCCCCTTCATGCCAAATGCATGATAAAATTTTATTCACCACACTTTCTGGTGGCCAGAATGCTGTGGGAAGCAGGGGACACTGAGCCCATCAGAGTGTCCAGGGGTCCTGGACAGATGCTCAGCTGCTGTGGTCAATACTGGACCCCAGTGCATTTGGATGGGACAAGAATAAGAGAAACATTCGTGCTTAAGAAATCCTTTTTTTTTTTTATGAAAATGGAAAAATGAGACCTGTTGAAACTAAGAATGGGAGAAGAAAGTGATAAAGGAGGATGATGGAGGATGTAATTAATTAAGCTATAACACAAGCACTTTTGTAAATTTCACAATGTATCTCCAGTACTGTATAATAAACAATTTTTAAAGCAACTTTAGTATAAAAATAAGTTATTCAAATAAAAAATAAGATCCTTTTCTAAAAATCTGTATCAATGAAAGCAAAACATCACTAGCTTCATATGAAAGATCAGACCTTATTGATCAAGTTTAAAGACGCCCTTTATTGTTTTCCAGCGCTGGGGGTGGAACACAGGGCCCTGCACGTGCCAGGCAAAGCTCTCTGCCCCAGCCCCACCCTTTTAAGTAAATGTGACATGTCCTTTTCAAACAGTGCCCCCAGCATGGTGGCCTTTGCGTAGAACCTCTGAACAACAAATGCCTGTCACTGTCACTTCTACCTGGAACCCATCCCAGAGAACTAAGAGGTCTAAAAGTAATACTGTGAAAACATCTGAACACATTTTTTTCTTAAAAAGGTCCGGGAGTAATAACCACACATGTTGCTTACAAATTAACTTCCTCCCGTTGGTGGACTGGCTACTCGGGGTCTTTCTCTGGCGGAACCACTTCCAGCAGCATCTGCAGGTGCGTGGTGACAGGCCCTGCAGGAGGCAGTGGGGAAGTGTGGTTAGAGCGATGACATGTCACCTCCAAGGTCCTGCCTCGGTGACCATCCTGGCAGCCACACTCCTTCTCAGAGATGAGCTGTCTCCCGTTACAGAAATGGGGACCCGGGGAATACTGTATTCCCCCAAACGATTCACACGCTAGGAAAAGTCTGAGTGACTCAGTTACATACTTACCCCCAAGCCCTGCCTAGTCTGAAGTCACTAAGACTTCATTTGTTTCAAATACAAATTGTTCATTTTTTTCCACCATCCTCTCCCAACTCATCAGTGTGTGTTTTCAGACAGGGTCTCACTGTGCAGCCCAAGCCGGCCTGGGACTCTCCCTCCTCTGGAGCCTCAGCCGCCTGGGTGCTAGGATTATAGGCGTGAACCACCACATCTCACCAGTTTTTGAAGCAAGCAGCTTGGTTAAATATGGGAGAGCCCAGAAGGAAGGCGTTCTGTGCCATTAGGCTGAAGCCATCCTGGCTAGGTTCTCTCACTGTAACCAAATCCAAGTTCATTTTGGAGGCACGGGACAAAGTAGCTGCTTTTCTAAGAGCAATTTTCTTTCCATAGGTGTGTGCCTACACCGTCTCTTTCCCAGCCTAGATTGAGATGAGTGTAAAGGATGCTGGGTGGAGAGATCCTGGGGGAATCCCATAGCCATGGCTTCTTTATTTCCATGTTGCTCATCAAGAGCAAATAGCCTCTCTGGGTGGTGGTGGCACCAGCTTTCATAGGCACCACCACCAAGTCCCAGGTCACCTTCCCACCCTTGGCTGCATTCTCAGAGTCACAGATATAAATGTGGAAATCACCCTGGAGGGCTGGTGTACTTGGGAAGAGCCAGGATCTTTTTTTTTTTTTTTTTTTTTTGTGGTACTGAGGCTTGAACTCAGGGCCTACACCTTGAGCCACTCCACCAACCCTTTTATTTGCGATGGGTTTTTTTGAGATTAGGGTCTCTTGAACTATTTGCCTGGGCTGGCTTCAAACCAAAATCCTCCTGATCTCTGCCTCCTGAGTAGCTGGGATTACAGGCGTGAGCCACTGGCCCCTGGCTAAGAGCCGGGTTCTTAATCCTTCTTGGTAACATCAAGCAACTGTGAGTGCCAGGCACTGTGGATCCAGGGTTAACTCCTGTCTCCAAGGAGCTGGGCACAGGGAAGAAGCGGTTACCCCTCTGTGCCTGGCAGGGAAGCGTGGGTGCCTTGAAGGTTTTGATAAGTGTGACTACAGTACTTTAAACAACTAGGTGCGTACACAGTGCTTGGTTTTTCACACAGCTAAACTTTTGAATATGTCCAAATAGCTGAGGACCGTGACAGTGGAACAGAGGGCGCGACCATGGCCTCAGCGTGGGAAGGCTGGGCCCAGTGCCACCACATTCTGGGTGTTTGGGATGCTGCTGGGCCTCTTGGGCGATGTCTGCACATACAGGCAGAGGAAATGGAGCTCTGGAGGAGACACGTGGCATGAGTGCACTTGAGCTTGAACTGAAAAAGAAAACGGTGCTTTCCTTCCCACCCGGTCCAGCAGTGACAGGAAGAGACCGAGGGTGGACCCAGAGGTCTTACACTGAGGAAGAGGGCCGTGTGTCCTGCTGGCCGGAAGGATCCTGGGACGAGGACGTATGGGCCTGTCTGAATGTCCCTCACACGAGGCTGGCAGCCCTCCTGCTGGTACTTACTTGAGATTTTCTGCGCCCAGGCGAACTTGTAGTGAACGAACAGGAAGTAGAAGATGAGGCCACTGAAAATGAAGACCACGCAGTAGAGGTACTCCCATGCCGGCTCGCTGATGATCGGGGCCACGATCAGAAACACAGACATCAGGATCACCAGGATGGGGATGACCAGGGGCACCTGCGATGACACAGCGAGGGAATGGCGAGCCCCTTCACCTGGACTGCGGTCTTAAAGGGCCGTCTTGTCACCACAAGGACAGAGGCTGGGGTCCAAGTGCGTCACATCGGAAAGCAGAGGCTGCTGTATACCATGCAGTCACACTGATGCCAGCTTGAAGCCATGGGACATTCGGACCTCAGGAGGACGACAACAAATAGAGCACCCATGCATCCACATCACCCCGGAGGCCTCAAGGCCCTCGTCATTCTGAAAACTTAAAAGCTTCACAGAACCAGGCACCTGCCCTGCCACTCCAGCACCACTGCCACATAGGCTAACCAGAGCTGAAGCTCCTCGGTAGCCACGTCTAGTAGGAAGTCTGAGGCTCCTTTAATCACAGAACACAACCCACCGGGGAGAACCCTCCACACACTGCATTGAACATCTCGTCTCGTCGACTTTGTGCGTTTGTGTCACCTGTCTGTTATGGACTAAGGTTTATCTTCTTTTTTATTAGGATTCTTTTTTCCTTCTTATTCTTATTTTACTTTTCTTGGCTTCATTTAATTCTTCCATCATTTATTTACTTACTTATTGGTGGTATATTTATTGGTGGTACCAGGGTTTGGACTCAGGACCTCACACTTGCTAGGCTACTACTTGAGCCACTCCGCCAAAGCTGGGCTTTTGTTCTAATGGTAGCTGCTGAGCGAGCATAACCGACAGGATCTAAACGTCAGGTCTTTTGGTCTTGCCTGTCATAAGCCCGGGATTCTTTTCTTTCCCCAGCATCTAATCAAAAATGCCACCCTCACCTGGCTGCTTGTTTGGCGTCCTTCATTGCTTGCTACTTTTCTGTTTTTTCTTGCATATATCGACGTACTGCTCTGTCACCTTTTCTGATTTTTCTTTTTCGTGGTACCGGGGATTGAACATAGGGTCTCAGACTTGCTAGGCAGGCTACCTAAGCCACACCCCTGCCCATTTTTTGCTTTAGTTATGTTTTGGGTAGGGTTTTGCATTTTTGCCTGGGGCCAGCCTCAGGTCACAGACTTGTGGACTGACCAAGATCCTCCTACCTGTACCACACCCAGTCTGTTTGTTGAGGTGTGGTCTTGCTAACCTTTTACCCTGGTTGGCCTCCAACTGCAATTCTGATTTCTGAAGTAGCCGGGACTATAGGGCAAGTAGTGCACGAAACCCTATCTCGAAAATATCCAACACAAAAAAAGGATGGCGGAGTGACTCAAGTGGTAGAGCTCCTGCCTAGCAAGCGTGAGGCCTTGGGTTTAAAAAAAAAAGCCCCTGACATTGGCAAAACAAAGTAATTGTGAACGTGGACAGGAGGGGCCCAAGCCAGAATGAGATGCGCCCACCAGTGTGCAAAAGGTGAGAGAAAGGTGAGAGATGCCTGCACTCGGAACTGGGCCTTTGTGTGTGTGTGGTACTGGGTTTTGAACTCAGGGCTTCCTTCTTGCTAGTCAGGTGCTCTGCTGCCGAGCCACTCCCTCAGCCCTTTTTGCTCTGCTTGTGTTCCAAGTAGGGTCTCGCTTTTTGCCCAGGCCAGCCTGGCCCACCATTGCTGAGGGATTACAGGATAGGCTACCACTGCCTGGCTACAATCTGGGCCTCTTGCTTTGGCTGGACAGTCAGGCCACAACTATCTTGATGACGAGGTGGCAACGGTGATAAGCCTTCCTGTAAATGAACTGAGGGGTGCATGCCCTCCAGATGTAATACTGGGGAGCAGAGCGAGCTGACTTACCTTGATGGGTCTTTCCAGATCTTTCCTCTTGAACCTCATCACAACGAGCCCTATAATTGTCAGACCATAGAACAGCCATGCAGCAAAACTGAAGTAATTAACTAAGGAGTTTATGTCACCAGGGATGATGTAGATGGTGGTTATGATGCCCTATGGAGAAAGGACGGAGTGTCAGGTCACTGTGCAAAAGCCATCATCCTCACTGCCTTGCAGCACGCTGAAGCTTGCCGTGCAGATAAACTCACGTCCCATCCTGTTAGGGTTTGGTTAGACTCGACTTTGGCTGTGATCGCTGTGCTCTTTAAAGCCTGACAAGAACAACTTGAACAATTTTTGAGTCTTTCAAGTTGTGATGTTAAGGTAGGAAGCCCACAACCTCCTATGTAGCTGGAATGACAGGTGTGCGCCACTGCGCCTGGCTATTGTTGAGATGGGGTCTTACAAACTTTTTTGCCTTAAGTGGCCTCAAACCACAATCCTCCCAAGTAGCTAGGATTACAAGCCTGAGCCAACATGCCCTGCCTTTTATTTGGTGGTGCTGGGTTTGAACTCAGAGCCTTGCGCTTGCTGGGCAGGCGGGGTGTTTTAACCTATGCGTTTCATGACAAGGAATGAGCAAACGTGAGTCATCAAAGGCTCAGCAGGACAGGCCGAATGCACCTTCTGCGCTGAGGGGCCGCCGAGGGCTGCCGTGGAGCCAGGCGTGCATACTTACGTAGAAGATGAGGGCCGGGGCGGGCGTGAGGCGCCTGACGCTGATGTACGACAGCACTTTGAGCATGTGACCTTCCCGGCCTGCGACGTAAATGAGTCTGGAAGACACCGCGCGATGGCACTGAGGAAGGGGCCCCGAGCTTCACCAGGGCCTTCAAGTGCACTGGGGACAGGGGCAGGGTGGCCGTGATCTGGGGCTACTTGCCCTGAGTCCTAGAAGCTATGCAAAAAGCAAATGTCCACACCAGTCCAGGGCAGGGTGCCTTAGTACCTGGGTGCCTGGCGGCAGACAGCCATGTGAGGCCTGAACAGCAGACAAAGTGTCACTCAGTCCCCCAAAGGCCTGAGAGCTCAGCAATCTGGAAGGTCCCATTGAAAACATTAAGCAGAGGAAAAGAAAGAAGAGTTTAAAACACTTCCAGAAAGGGAAGTCACTGCCATGAAGAATTTTATTAGGTGGTAGGCACCGGTGCTCACGCCTGTAATCCCAGCTACTCAGGAGGCAGAGATCAGGAGGATCACAGTTCAAAGCCAGCCTGGCAAATAGTTCATGAGACCCTATCTCGAAAAAAAAACCATCACCAAAAAAGGCTGGTAGAGTGGCTCAAGGTGTAGGTCCTGAGTTCCAACCCCAGTACCACAAAAAAGAAAAAGAAAGAAAGAAAGAAATTAGGGCCTGGAGGCATGGCTGAGCACCCACCTGGCAAGGCAGGACCCTGAATTCAATCCTAGTACCTCAAGAGAGAGAAACCGGCTACGTACGGGACTCAGGTAATGAGAGTGACAGCAGGACAGTGTCGTGAGACAGCGTCCTCAGCACCGTGGGGGAAACAGAGCTTCACTCTGCAATTCTATGTTCCTAACCAGCATTTGAGACAAGCAGCAAAATTAAGTGCTGCAGATAAGCCCTGACCCCTTGCTGTGCAGTCCTCACTGGACACTGCCATCGTCTCCCACAAAACAACACAGATGCCACAGCACAGGGTTGATTTTAAGAAACTGTTAAGGAAAAAGTAGTAAAACGTCAGTATAAGTAACAATTTTATTTTATTCTTGACTTTGAGTAATAAATATTTTTGGAGATAAGGGGTAGGTTTATGCTGGGTGCCGTGGCTCATGCCTGTAATCCCAGCTTCTCAGGAGGCAGAGATCAGGAGGATCAAAGTTTGAAGCCAGCCTAAACAAATAGTTTGCAAGACCTTATCTCAAAAAACACCCATCACTGAAAAGGGCTGGTGGGGGTGGCTCAAGTGACCCTGAGTTCAAACCCCAGGGCCACCAAAAAAGCGGGGTGGGGGGTGTTATAAATAAGATACAGCTGAAAAAGGAAAAGCTCTCATAAGACAGGAAAGAGGATTGAAATGCTGACCCTGTTGGAACTCAGGTTTAACTCGGGGTAATCAGACGGGGCACAGTGGCCCGTGCCTGTAATTCCTAGCTACTGAGGAGGCTGAGCTCAAGAGGATCAGTTCAAGGCCAGCCCCTACAAATAGTTTTAGAGACCTCATCTCCAAAACAACCAGAGCAAATTGGGCTGGAGGTGTGGCTCAAGCAGTAGAGCATCTGCTTTGCAAGTGTGAAGCCCTGCGTTCAAATCCCAGTTCCACCAAAAAAAAAAAAAAGGGGGTAATCAGCAAAAGAATAGACATAGGACTTCCACATCAGAAGGCCAATGGGAATAAAGGAAACTCGGTGGATGCAACAACTGAGGTCAGATTATTCTAAAGACAAGACGAGAAAACATGGTAGAAACGCGTTCAGCTCCATCAGTCACCGCAGCAAACATAAAAGCACGTTCAGTTTGCTGCGTTTATTCAAAGAGATCCGGGCGGAGGTCAGCGGCAACCGCGGGCACCAAGAAAACACTGAAAGTAATAACAAAACGTGGGCTTATCCGCAACAGCCCAACCTAATGATCGCTGGAGGCCAAACCAGGAAGGCTTGAGAGGGAGAGAGGGAGAGGGAGAGGGAGAGGGAGAGAGGGAGGGAGGGAGGGGGGAGAGAGGGAGAGGGAGGGAGGGAGAGAGAGACAGGGAGAGAGAGGAGAGGGAGGGAGGGAGAAAGGAAGAGAGGGGGAGAGAGAGGGAGAGAGAGAACGGTCTAAGACAGAAGGAAAGGTTGACAAGTCCAGTTATGAAATGGAGACCCCAACAGTAGTCACAGACTTGATGACTGAAAAGTCCACAATTAGGCTGTTTTCAAGACCTTCGGAATCCATTCCAGACAGCCCCAAAGTCAGTTTTAAAACTTCTGAAGAGGAAAAAAAATAAAACCTCTGAAGAACTGATACCAACAAAGACACGTACTTTGTCTACAATCATTTTTTTTTTGTGATGCTAGGGTTTGAACTCAGGGCCTCACACTTTCTAGGCAGGCCCTTTACCACTTGAGCAACTCTGCCAGCCCTGTTTTGTGTTGGGTTTTTTCGAGATAGGGTCTCACAAACTGCTTCCCCAAGTTGGCCTCGAACCTCAATCCTCCTGATCTCTGCCTCCTGCATAGCTGGGATTACAGGCGTGAGCACCAGCCCTTGGCTGCAATAAAATTAGATGTAGGGAGTGCAAATGCCGAAAGACCGGTCATTTAGGAGGAACTTGTTACAAAGGGCAGGATGGTGCTTCCTGTGGTTCTTTGTGTGCACTGAGCACAGCCTCGCCCACCACACTGGTGCCATATTATAAATAAAAGTGGGTTTTCTCTTCCCACTCAAACACATAAGTAAAAGTGAAGAATTAATTCAACTTGGGTGTGGGAGCTCTGCAGTATCAAACTTGTAGGTTTTCTTTTAACCAAAGTAAATGAAAGTCATAAAGTCACTCTAAGGCCCAGCAAGTCTATCCTAGGCATGTACTGGAGAGAGATGCAAAGGCACATACAGGAATGTTCGCTGGCCAAACCAGAAACAATCCCAGCACAGCTGGTGAAGGGTAAACAGCGGTGGTGAATCTCTAGAGTGTGACAACATGGACGAACTTCAGAACCTTTATGCCACCCGAAAGGAGCAAGTGACACCAGCTTGATGAAAGGGGAAGGAGACCCGGCTGCCTAGTGGAGGGAGGATGGGCTGGAGGGAGGCCGCGGGGACTTTCTAGGGTGACGGATCTGTTCTAGAACTGGACAGGATGAGGATGGTACACCTTTATAAATTTACCAAAGTCACTGACTCCTACAATCACAGGGACGAGGTCTCACACTCTCGCCTCAACACAGCTGCACTAGGCACAAACTACTGGAAACTGAAAATTCTTGCTTGTTTAAAAAAGTGCCATTTATAATAGCATGAGTCAGGCGCCAGTGGCTCACGCCTGTAATCCCAGCTACTCAGGAGGCAGAGATCAGGAGGATTGAGGCTCAAAGCCAGCTGGGCAAATAGTTCAAGAGACCCTATCTTGAAAAAACCCATCACAAAAAAAAAAAAAAAAAAAAAAAAAAAGAGCAGCAGAGTGACTCAAGATACAGGCCCTGAGTTCAAACCCCAGTAATATGAAAAATACGAAATATCACAAAACATGTGCAGGGAATGTATACTAAAAACTAGAAAAAAAAATTGGAAAAGACCTAAATAAACAGTCTATGCCCATGGATTGAAAGATTTGATAAATTATAAGAAGACAGTGACTCACCCATAGATTCAGCACAATCCTCATCAAAATCCCCAAAGCTTTTTAGTACAGAAATTGACAAGCTGGTTCTAGTGCTCACATAGAAATGGAAAAAACTGGCTTTCTACGTGCAGAACAATGAAATTGGACCCTTTGTCAGCCTTCATACAAGAATCAAGCCGGCACCATGGCTCACGCCTATAATCCGAGCTACACTGGAGGCAGAGATCAGGAGAATCAAGGTTCAAGGCTAGACCAGGCAAAAAAAGGCAAGACCCTATCTCAGAAATAACCACAGGAGAAAAGGGCTGGTGGAGTGGCTCGAGTGTGGAGTGCCTGCCTAGCAAGTGCACAGCCCTGAGTTCAAATCCCAGTACCAAAACTAAACTAAACTAAAGTAGCAGTCTTGCGATTTCCAGCAACGCACTGTGGTCTACATCCAAAGTCAGCGTGTGAGCGCGCTGTCCGCACCTCGCGTTCTCTTCCGCACGAGTCCCGAGGGCCACAACTGTCACAAGACAATCTGAGCACCATCAACGATGAGTGGACAGAAGCACCGTGGACTGCCATTCGGCCTTAAAATGCAAGACTCTACCATTTGCAAGGATGCGGACAGTTCCGGAGGTCACTGAGCTAAGTGAAGTGAGCCGGGCACAGGGACAGCCCCGTGGCCTCCCCTGTACGCAGACCCTAAACCTCAGACTGCAAGGAGCAGAGAGCAATGGGGGCGACCCAGGGTGGGGCACCCGAGGGGCGCAAGGTGTCAGGAGGAGTAAATGCTGGTCACCACCTTGGCCAGTAGCGGTGTGGATTTCAAGACTGCAGAGAAAGCGCTAGCCAGCGAGGGAACCTTCTTTAACCTCATTCGTCAAACGCCACGTTGTCTGCCACGAGCCCAGGCAATTACTGGTCAATGAAAGTAGAAATTAAGGAGTGAAATGCATGTTAAGATGAAGAGTCTAGAACAGCAAAAGAACAAGGCGGAGGGCGGCCACAGGGCTCGGAAGGGGTGACCTCGCGGTGCGTGCTTCACGGCTCACGTGTGGCCTTTGTCACTGTCACCCGGGGCACAGAACCCGCAGCGCTCTGACGGGGACTGCGGGCTGCGCAGAGTGACACCGAGCCCGGGTGGCCTGGCGTCAGCACTTGTCACCCCTGGAGAGCGGCGCGCTGGGGTCGGGGCTCCGCGGGGAGACGGGGCCCTACCTGCCCGCTGTGAAGCACGTCCCATTCGCAGCACCGATGGTCGAAAACGCCACAAAAAGCGGGACGACCCAGGAGGCCGGGTAGAGGACGCGGTCACCGAAGGTCTACAGGCGAAACCAATCCTGCGTTGGCCACGACCCTCGCCGGGCACAGCCTGGGGACCCTCTGCGGAGGGTCACCCGCCTCCCTGGACCAGTCCCCAGCCCTGGTCACCCTGCTGTCTGCCACGCCCTGGCCTCTCTTCCTTGACCCCTCGCACGCGCAGCTTCAGCTCCACCGTCCATTTTCTCCATCACCTCCCTCCTCCCTCCTCTCCCCGCGCGCCCTCTCCGGCTCCTTCCTCTTGTCTGTCAAACATTAGCCCCGCCCCTGGCCCCGCCCCCAAACAGCCCCGCCCTGATCCCGCCCACCGTCCCGTCATTCGTCACGGCCCCGCCCTGCAGCCCTGCCCTGGCACCGCCCTTCGGTCCCGCCCTCCACCCCTCTCGCTCTGCCCCGGCCCTTCGACCCTTCTCTCTAACCTCGCCCCTGGCCTTGTCCCTGCCCCTAGCCACGCCCTGCCCTGCAGTCAACCCTCCAGTCCCGCCCTAGTTATGGCCCCGCCCTCCGCCCGCCCTCCTCCGCTAGCCATGGCCCCGCCCCGTGGCCCCGTCCCTAGCCCCGCCCCCGGTCGACCCTGCCCGGCTGTCAGCCCTCCGGCCCCGCCCCTAGCCCCGCCCTTCGAGGAGCTCCCCGCCCCCGGGCCCCGCCCTGCTCCTCCAGCCCCGCCCAGAGCCACGGCCCAGTACCCCCTCCGGCCCCGCCCCTAGCCACGGCCCCGCCCTGAGGTCCAGACTTCGGGCCTGTGTGTCCAGGCAGCATGGACCTTGGAGGCCTGAGAGGCAGAGCCCCTCCCAGTTCCAGGACTCCCATGGTCGGCCACCCCTAATCCCCACGCCCCCACCCCCAGTCCTTCCGGGACCTCCGCCCTCCAGCACTCACCACTGCCACCGCCTGGGACTGCAGGACTTCCGTGGGGGTCATCACAGTGAAGTAGGACACGTTCATGAGGACGTAGCACACCGTCACCAGCGGGATCCCGATGACAATGGCCAGGGGCAGGTTTCTGGGAGGGACAGTGACACAGGCACTCAGGATCGGACCAGGGCATCCCGTGAGACGCGTGGGGATTGCCTCCGTCCAGCCCCTTCCCTCCTCCGGGGCAGCCCCTCTGCTCCGCGTGGTGCCCAGGCTCACAGACCGGGCCATGGATGCCCTCCCTGAGGCCCAGCGGGCAGACGATCTGTGCTGCTGCAGAGCCAGCGGCGGGCAGCGAGGCACTGCCAAACGAGGACGGCCCCCCACACCACCTCAGACAGCACAGTCCAGGGTTTAAAGCAATATAAGCCAGGGACAGGGCGGCCAGAGTTCTTCCTCTTTGCCACTGTCCACTGCCCCAGACAAAACCAAACTCCAATGGGTGAATCATGAGCTTAGAGGAAGCCATTCTGGCAGGGCACTTGCCCAGCATGAACAGGACAGGGGTTCAATCCTCATGCATCCACTAGAGCTGGGGTGGGGCTCAAGTGCCCTGCAGATCCCAGCTCCACCCAAAACAAAGCAAACAAGAAACCCACCACTCGCTGAGTGGGAGGGGGTCTGGGATAAAGGGAGGAGGCATTGGCTCCATGTTGGCCTGGGAGAAGAAGAACAGGCTTGGCTTCCGTGGTCTCCCGGCTCTCTTACCTGTAGGGGTTTCTCAGTTCTTCTGTGATGTAATTGAGCTGATTCCTAGAGAGAGGAAAATAACACAGGTGACAGGAGACGTGTCACTGGAGGGTAAGACTGTGGAACACACAATGGCCAATGTCGGCCTCATTTAAGATTCTGGACCATAGACAGCGCCCTTCTGCAGGAAGCCAGTGTCATTTCTTCCCCACGTGGTTCAGCAGGGGCCTGAGACCTATTTGCTGTCTGTAAGTTTGCCAGGCGTTTGCCTGGGAATCACATGGGGTTTCAAGAATGTTTGAGAGCAGCGTCCGTCGCCAGGGTGCTTTGAAGAAAAAAACAGAAGGCTTTGCTTTGAAGGAGGCGAAGGTCAGCTGCCTGCCCATGCTTCTGCCTTAAAGGATACAGGCAGGCAGATCCTTGTCACCTTGTCCCCAGTGTCTCCGAGGCATGAATGGAAGTGCTCTGAATGCTTCTTTGGGCACCTGAGCAGGTGTTTGCCCGCCAGGGATCCTGCAGGACCTCACGAATGCCGCCCACGGGGCACTGCCCAGGGCTGGGAAGAGGACAGGGGTCTGGGTGTCTGTGGGGATCTCGGGGAGAAGTAGAAAGGTCAGGGGCCTGGTGCTTCAAAACAGAAATGTGAAGGTGGATTTTAGGGTCACAGCGAACCCCAGAAGGAAGTCTGCCCTCCACAGCTGGAGAAACCAAGCAAGCCCAGAGAAACCCAGGTGCAGAGGGGCTGTGTGGAGCCTTACCACCCGTCGTACGCCCAGAGCCCATTGTAGAGCGCCAGGCTGATGGCGCCCACAGAGACTTGTGTGCCCGCAAAGGAATTTTCGAAATTCTTTGTATTTCCTGCAATTAAGGAAGACAGTGAAGAGTGGGTGTCAGCTGATCAGATTGCCACTTGCTCTTCTATGAGAAGGAAGGTCTCAAAGCACTGGTGACCTAAATAAGCTGAAGCTGGGCGTGGTGGTGCACACCTATAATCCCAGCACCCAGGAACGTGAGACAGGAAGATCACGAGTTTCAGGCCAGCCTGGGCTGCACAGTGAGACCTTGCCTCAAAAAACAAAAACAAAATGGGAAAGCCAGGCAATGACAGATTCTTCCTAGACACGTACTGGCTGGGCAGACTGCCCCAAAAGAGAAGAAAAGGAGCCTCACGCTGGACGCCTCCTGCCCACCCTCCCTCCCGTCCTGCCACAGGTCACCTTGGGCCAGGAGAACGAGGCCACTGATGATGATAATGGCCACGATGACTAGTTTGGCCGCCGTGAAGAAGTTCTGGATGTAGCTCCCGAGCCGCACACTCAGTGCGTTCACTGTGGTGATGAGCACTGGGAGGGCAGGAGTGGGGTGACTTTCCACGTTCCTGGTTTCTCACACCAGGAAGTCCCCTCTCCCCCTTCCCACCACACTCGTCCTAAATGCAGACAGGGCCAATGCAAACAAGCGAGTTAATTAAGCCGGGCACCAGTGGCTCACATCTGTAATCCCAGCTACTCAGGAGGCAGAGATCAGGAGAACTGAGGTTCGAGGCCAGCCCTGGGCAAATAGTTTAGTGAGACCCTATCTCAAAAATACCCTAAAAAAGGGCTGGTGGAGTAGCTCAAGGTGTAGGCCCTGAGTTCAAATCCCAGTACCACACACAAAAAAATTAAGACCCTTTCAAAGGCACTGACGGGGGTTTTTGAGATGAAGCCCACAGCATCAGAGGGTAAAGGGGAGGAAGCCAGGCCTGAGCCAACAGTGTGGCCTGTGGACAGCCCTCTCTGTGATCCCTGGCAGGCCTGGGGGCTTCTCTGCACCTGTGCTGTGTCACCAGAGCCTCCAGAGGCACCAGGCCTCTTTCTGAGTGTCACAGAACTGAGACTCCAGTCCCCAGCTAGTGAGCCCTGCCCAGGACCCCAGACTTGTGTACTCACAGATGGCAGCAGCAGCCAGGCACTTCACGACCACTTGGGGAGGCTGGCAGCCCGAGTAGAAGGCCGCACACACGTACTCAGAAAAGCTGAGGCAGATGATGGCGAAGGAGGACGGCTTCATGACAACCAAGCTGGTCCAGGAGAAGAGGTAGGCAGGGATGGGCCCAAAGGCCTCCATCAGGTAAGGGTACTCGCCCCCCGACTTGGTGATGGTCGTGCCAAGCTCTGCAAAGCACAGAGCACCTGGAATGCAGAGGAGGAAGGTGGCCCCAGGCCTGGTGAGACAGTGCTCTGGGCCAAATGAGCCCTTCTCCCCACAGGTGTCATGAATCCTGGCCCCTAGGCATTTATTTATTTACTTATTTGGTGAGACTGGGGCTTGAACTCAGGGCCTACACCTTGAGCCACTCCACCAGCCCTTTTTTGTTTCCGTGACGCGTGTTTTGAGATAGGGTCTCATGAACTATTTTCCCAGCTGGCTTTGAACCTCGATCCTCCTGATCTCTGCCTCCTGACTAGCTGGGATTACAGATGTGAGCCACTGGTGCCTGGAGCCACTGGACATTTAGTCACAGCCTGTTGTGCCTTACGTGGCCACACAGGAGCCGGGCAGAAGGTGGCCCTTGGGTGACGTGAGGTCGGGGGGTGTCTCTGTTACCCAGTGTCGCGAGGATCCCACAGGTGGCCCACACGATGAGGCAGGGTCCTACGGCTCCCGCGTTGCTGAGCACAGACTTTGGGGAGATGAAAATGCCGGAACCGATGATGGTACCCACGATGATACAGATGCCGCTCAGCAGGCCCACCTGGGCAGGAAGAAGGAAGGGGCTCAGCGGCCGCGGGGTCCCCCGGCCCGCACACCCAGCCACCGCTGCCACCACTGCGCAGCAGCAGCAAGCAGCAAGCAGCTCCCGGGGCTCTGCGGGTGTTCAGTCACTGGATCCTCGCGCGGCCTCCCCGCCCCCCACCCCCAGTCCGGTGGACCCAGGAGGAAACTGAGGCACAGGCAGGATGCTCCTGTCCAGGGTTGGACCCCAAAGGGGCAAGTCTGGCTCAACTCCATGCTCCTCCCATGAGTGACAGAGACCTGCCAGGAACAGACACTCTGGGCGTGGGGGACTCTCCTGGGTTCCCGGTTGCAGACTGGGCCTTTTTTAAGTTGGAACTCAGGGCCTCCACCTTGAGCCACCCCACCAGCCCTTTTTTTTTTTTTTGTGACGGGTTTTTTCGAGATAGGGTCTTTCGAACCATTTGCCTGGGCTGGCTTCAAACCCCAATCCTCCTGATCTCTGCCTCCTGAGTAGCTGGGATTACAGGTGTGAGCCACCAACTGGCGGTGTCCTTTCTAAGAACAAAACCGAGCGCAGTTACAAACTGGCATCTCTAAGCCCAGGCAAAAGGGAATCCCCAGTGGGAATTCAGGGCTGAGGGGCTGCCTGGACCTGAGGCAGCGAGCTTGCAGGGTGACACACACCACAGACATCCAGCAGCGCCCGGGGAGCTCAGCCCCCAGGGAGCAGTGTCAGCTTCAGAGCTGACTTTCCTCCTCTGCTCAGCCCCCCACAGGGCAGCCACTGGGCTTCCCACTGCCTGGGGTCCTCCAGAGTCCTGTTCTGATGGGGACAAGGACTGCCATTCAACCTACAGCTGTCAAATTGAGCTTGGGACACGCTGGGCTTTGCTGGGCTGGGCTGTGTGCCTAAAGGGTCACAGGGTTCAGAGAGGCCATGGCAGGAATCAGCTGGAGAGTGGCAGAGAGTGAGTGTTGCTACCCAGAGAATTACTGTGGGGACAGAGACCCCAGGCCAACCCAGAGTCAGGCACACTATGCCCCACACACACCGTGTCAAGCCCCAAAGCCTCAGTGTCTTCCTCCTCTAACCGCCATCCAAGACCTTGGCCCGCTTTGTCCTGGCCTTGAAGTCATTTGGAGCTCAGAGCCCATCCTGCACGGCTCCGAGGCCTCTTTCCTTGTCCCATGAACTTGAAGCCCTCCTGTCCCTCCACACTGGCCCTGCTGCTCCCACCCACCTGGGACAGGCAGAGGGCAGAGTCCGAGTCCGTCTCCTTTCTGCCTCCCTCCTACCCCAGAGCTCCCTGTCCTTGCATCTCCTCACAACAGCCAGCTCAGAGCATTCAGCTGGCTCCTCCCTGTCACCCCACCGTCCCAGCCAGACTCCTCAGGACAGACCACTGCGGCCAGAAGCCCTGCCGTTCCCAGCCCCACAGAGACTCCATTGTGAGATGGGGTGTTTGCTGAAGTTGCTATTAGTATGGGAAGGTCCTGCTATTAGTGTCAGAAGGTCCTCTGTGACCACACTGATCTGAGCAAGCCCCTCCCGATGCTTGCTTGACACGAGGAAGCATAAAGTGACTTTCATGGATGTATGTATGAACTCCAGAAGAGTGTGGGGCTCACGGGGGGGGGGGGAGGGCAAAAGGTAAGTCCACAGAGCTCTTCAGATGCACTTTGCAAATCAAAACTCATAGTCAGGCATAGTGACACCTGCCTGTAATCCCAGCTCCTGGAAGGCTGGCTTGGGCTACATAAAGGGTTTGAGGACAGCCCTGGGGAAAGTTAGCAAGACCTTATCTCAAACACAAAATAAAAACAAAAGGTCTGGGCGTGTGGCTCAAGTGGTGGAGTGCTTGTCCAGCAAGTGCCAGACCCTGGGAAGGGGAGGGAAGGGAAGGGAAAAGGGAAAGGGAGGGAAAGAAGGGAGGGGAGGGGAGGAAAGGAGATTTGAGGAGAGAAAAGAAAACCCCAAACCGTCCTATTCTTTGGCTGGTCACCGGGGCTGTGCCCAGCGTCACACCTGGTACTCCGCCCTACCTCTTTCTGGAGACTTGTGGTCTTGGGCTCCTTACTCTGGATTGACTGCTCATCCTCTCTCCGCTGGCGCAGGCTGGTCTCCATCTTGCCCTCCTGCTACTTCCTGGAGGTTGCAAGGAGGGCAGAAAGGATGCCAAGGGGACCTCAGCAAGGACTGTCCCAGGCACAGGCACCTGGGGCGGGACCTGACTGAAATCGCAGGGTTGGCTCATATTTAGAGGGGCGCAGTTGTGAGTCCCATGGGGTTCTTGCTCAGCCCCAGTATGAAGGCCAGTCAGCAAGACTGTTCAGGCCGAGAGGGGAAACTGAGCTCAGGTGCTGGATTTGTGTCCTCCCCGTCCTGCTCCCACGCCATGTCACCAGCTCTCAGTCCTCAGCAGTGACATACTGGCAACTCATTCTACCTCTGTGACACCGCTTGTTTGCCAAAGTAAAAAAAAAAGAAACAGTTTAGCTGGTCAGTGACACACTGCTGTAAATCCCAGAACCTGGAAGGTGGAGGCAGGAGGATTTGGGTTCAAGTCCATCCTGCACTATGCAGTGAGCCTTGTCTCAAAAAAGCCCAAAAAACAAACAAAACAAAACAAAAATCCAACCTGGCTCAAGCAGTAGAGTGCCTGCTTTGCAAGAGCGTAGCCCTGAGTTCAAATCCCAGTCCCATCAAAACCAAGCAAACATACAAAAATATTTAACAGTATACTAGCACACATAGCAAAACCAAGTCCGAAGCTAAGTGGCCTGTTTTTCATTTCTTCACAAGCTTACGACACCTCCCGCATAAGAATCCACCATGAATCTTTGCATTGAGTAAGTCAAGACTCAAAACCTGGAAATGGTTGCATCCTCTCTTAAATATATTCCGTCACTCAGGCGGGGTCCAGCCTCCCCACCACCCCGCGGCCTTACCTTTCTCCTCGACCTTGAGGAGCAGCCCGCCCGGCTGACCAACTGCGTCTGCTCATTTGCATCCCAGGGAGGACCATCTCTTGCACCCAGGAGTGGAAGAAGCCACAGAGTACAGAGGTCAACAAAGGTAATTATTAAACGCCCTTTTCTTTTAAGGAAGAGGCTCAGATTCACCACACCAAAAAAAAAGGAAGGGGCAGGCATGCCGCTTCCTCTCCTAAAACGCCTTTGTTTTGCCCACCTGTGTTTAGATCTTTTTTCTAAAAAAAAAAAAACCAAAAAAAAAAAAAAACACAAAAAAAAAACCAGATCCTCCCAGATCAGCTGCATCCTATGAAGTGAAATCTCTGCACAGATCCAGAATCGTGCAAGCTTTTCTCTTTGGGAATCCCAGGAGATAAACTTGAAGCTGTCTTTTATGGCCTTACTAAGCTGTGTTTACAAGTCTCGAAGCACCAAAGGTAATGGAAGGAAATTGCTGTGTCTGTAACTCAGGGCTTCAGAGCCAGCAGGTGCAGGCGCTGGGGCAGCTGGGGCAGCTGGGGGAGCTGGCAAGGCCCCCCACAGGCCTGGGTCTATCCTCACCTGGGCTCGGATTCCCCAGTGGAGCTACTTAAGGACCAGGGGATCCTGTTCACTGGCCTGGAGTGTGGAAAAGGGACAGATAAAAACTGTCATCAGTTCCACACTTGCCACTTGGGGAAAATGAGGCTGAGGTGTCAGAAGCATGAGGTCCCAGTCAGTGGGGCTCAGAAGGGGGTCCCCTACACTGTCCCCTCCCCACCAAGCCCTTGGGACTGGGCGGGTGGTGGCAGCTCTGGTCCCTTATCTGGATCTGGGAGGAAAGGCAGCAGGGGCCTTGTTATCTCTGGGTGGTTGTAGGGTGGATCTAATAGCATCTCAGCTGTGGGGGCTGGGAACAAAGGGCAAGGGACAGAGCTGGACAAGTGCTGGAGTCTCTTTGGGAGCCCTTTATGGCAGGCAGACCTGGGGCCAGGGAGATTTTGCAGGGTCATCTTTTACAGCCTGCAGCAGGGAGTAGGGACCCCAGCTGTCCCTGTGCCAGGGGCATTGGTTTAGAAATCTGTCACTGCCCCCTTGGGAGGGCCAAGTCTGCTCTATGCCTGCCCAGAGCCCTGAGCTGGTGGGCGGGGGAGGGGATCTGCCTGGAGTGTGGCCCCCAGAGGCCAGTGGTAAGGCCTGCCCAGCAACTTGATACCTGGCACCACAGCAGTCAGCATGGCACTGGCCATTGGGGGGTACTCCCTGGGTCAGGACGGCCCCCCCTGGCCTGAAGTTTCTGACCTTGACTGGTTAGTGGGGTCATGGGCAGTTGTCCTACAGGAAAACAGGTGGGGTGGGGGGCTGGCCAGTCCACTGGCCTGACCTCAGGACTCCCCAGCCTCAGGTTCTAAGCCTGTGAATTGTGCCAACTGGGGTAGTGTTCTTGATTGACCTAAGGACCTCCTGGTAGGCTCCACTTCTTAAAGGTCCCACCTCCTCCCCACACAGCCACCTTGGGGACCAGGATCAGGCCATTAACACATGAGCCTTTGGAAAAACACAAACCACAGCAAGATCTGCCTCCATTTCCAGACTTTTTCTTTGGGTGGTGCTGGGGTTTGAACTCAGGGCCTTGTGCTTGCTAGGCAGGCGCTCTACCACTTGAGCCATCCCCCCACCCTTTTTGCTTTTAGTTATTTTTGCAGATTAGGGCTTGCATTTTTGCCTGGGGGTTTACCTCCTATGCCTCTGGTGTACCTGGGACCACAGAAGTACACCATCATGCTGGGCTTACATGTTGAGATGGGGTCTTGCTAAGTTTTTTGCATGGGCTGGCCTCAAATGGAGATCTCCTATCTCTGCCTCCTAACTAGCTGGGATTACAGGTGTGAGCCACCATGCCCGACTTTCTTCTAATCATTAAGATTACTGGATCTTCTATTCCGTCTTGCTGCTGCTGACAGTAGTTTGGGACTTGAAGAAGACCCAAAACATAGGTATAAAAGGCAGGTGACAGGTGTTCACTCACCTGCCTGAATTCCACCAGGAAGCCCTTGGTGGGGAGTGTGTGTGGAATGTGCAGTCTTGCAGTCTCAAAGACTTACAATGTCATAAAACGATTAGCTAGGGGAGCGGATCTCAGTCTTATCTGGGAACAATCTGTGTCTCCATAGCCAGGAAGTATAGGATCACGCAGTTCTGCCTTGGTCTTGTCTTTCTGCTCTCTTTGGGTGCTGAGGATCGAACCCAGGGCCTCACTGTGCCTCTCAGCCACACAACAGCCGTGTCCATCATCCTTGTGTTCCAAGAAACAGTTCTCATGGTGGCCTCCACAGGCAGCAGTGCCAGCGTTGTCATTTACCCCAAAACATGGCCTCTGCCTTGCTCCCCTTCTTTTTCTTTTCCTTCCTTCCTTCCTTCCCCGTCCCTCCTGCCTTCTTTCCTTCCCTCCCTCCTTCTCCCTCTCCCTCCCCTCCTTTTTAAATTTTACTTATTTTGAGGTCTGGGGTTTGAACTCAGGGTCTACAACCTTGAGCCACTCCACCAGCCCTTTTTTGTGATGGGTTTTTTCAAGGTAGGGTCTCTCAAACTATTTGCCCGGGCTAGCTTCGAACCTCGATCCTCCTGATCTCTGCCTGCTAGGATTACAGGAGTGAGCCACTGGTGCTGGCTTCCTTTCACATTTTTGACACAGGAGCTTACTATGTAGCCCTGGATAGCCTTGAACTCATGATCCTTCTGCCTCTACCTCTCACATGCTTGGACTACAGGTGCGTACCACCATGCCTGGCCCATTGCTTCCTTTCTCAGCCATTCATAAGAAGTTATGTTAGCTGGTGAGGTTAGGGGAAGAGGACTTCTGAGTAATCAGATACTTTTAATGAAGAGCTACCATTTCTATACTCGTTTGTCTGCCAGGCATCTGCTGCTTAGGGGAAACACCCCTTCCCATGGGGTTCTGTGGGATAGCTAACTTTCTGTTGCTGTGACAAAATACCCTAGAAAATCAACTTGTAAGGAAAAAATACCTATTTTAGCTCATGGTTTTAGCCCATTTAGCTTATGGTCACTTGGCCCTATTGTTCTGGGCCTGTGAGGTGACAGCACATCATGACAGGGACACACAGCAGGGAAACCCGCTCGCCTCATGTTGGCCAGGAAGCAAAAGGATAGAAAAGGACTGGAGTCCCCAAATCCCCTCCAAGGCCACAACTCCAATGACTGCACTTCCTTCCACTAGGCCCTGCCTCCTGAAGGTTCCACTGCCTCCTAATGGCACCGGAGGTTCTGCCAGGCCTTATATGAGCATTTAGTGGATATTTTAGATCCACACCACAACTGCCACCAAAGAACAACATTTGTCAGCCACAGGGGAAGAGGGCTCACGTGCCCGTCCACGTTGGCCAAGAGGACGCCTTCCCCCAGGGTTTTGTATCCTGCATGAAGCTCAGGAAAGGCTGACAGTGCCCAACATCTGGCAACTCTGGCTTGTCCTCCTCAAGACATGTCACAAGTGACTCAGCACCCACTTCCACAAAACCCCCTTCTTTTCAGTACCTCTGCCATTTCCCCCATCATTCTGGTTTGCTGCGTGTCCTACACAGGGAAACTTTGTTTTCAAAAAGTCGTTCTTGGCAAAGTCACCAGGACCCTCGTGAACAAGTGACACCTGGTTCTGATGACCTTGGGGTAGGGGCAAGTGCCTCAGTGGCTGCAGTTTGGATGAGAGGAAGGACAGCCACTTGTACCCATCCCTTGCCTGTTGCTAATGACACAGTACCACAGACCAGGCAGGTGAGAAGGGAAAGAGGTTGGTTTGGGCTCATGCTTTTGGTGCAAGGTGGAGGAACCACACTTGGTCATGTCTTCCTGCTAGCAGGTGGAGTCCTGGAACAGGGCAGGGTACACGGGGAGAGACAGCAGCACGTGTGACCTGTGCTCTTCCTCTTCTCAGAACTCCACCACTATTTCCAACCACTGGGCCCCGCCCTGATGAACTTTTGAGTCATCCCAAGATGGCTTTTAAATTAAGCCAAAGCCTGCAGGACTGACTGAAGCTCCCGGTCAGGAACTTTCTAGAGAAAGAGCAGCATGGTTACCGGCTCAGACTGGCGATCCTCCAGTGTTCCAGCTCCCCTTGATCCAGTTTGGTCTCCTCTCCTGTCAACCTCCAGCCGAAAGGAGCTCTGAGCTCATGTCTCTGCTTCCAAGCACACTGTATGCCCTCCCTGTCCCTTCTGCAAGGTCGTAGGTACACCAGGAGCCCGTGAAGCACCCCAGCGTCCCATGCCATGCAGCAGCCTGTCCTCTGCTTTGCTGTTTCATCCCCTGTATATCCTGCACTCAGCACCCAGAGGGAAGCCAGGCCAGGCTAAGGACTACAAAGACCTTCCCTTCACCAGGCCTCAAAACCACTCAGGTGCCACCAAGCTTGCAAAGTGCATTTTAGATGTGACAGATGTGAAACCATTCCTTTCAAAAGGGAACGAAATCTCCCTCAGAAAGAAAGAAAAAGACAGGGTCGTCACAAGTGGTTCTCCGGGTGACAATGACAACAATGATGTCCCCTGGTTGGTTGGTGAGAAGTCAGCGGACATAACACCAGAGTTCCTTGCCAGGTCATTTCCTGGGGAGGTACTGCCCAGTTTGAAGTCCTACTGAGCCTCTCTGCCCTTGGTAAAATAAAACGCAATCAGAATGTTCAACTCTTGAACAGCTCGGTGAATTAAGGTCACAGGTCTACTTCCCCTTGTAACCAGGGACCAGCACTGGGCCTGCTTCCTCACAAACTCTTCAGGATGTAGGTGTTCCAAGACCCACCCCCCTCCTGCCTCACAGCTTAGGAACTGCGTGGCGTGCCATCCCCAAGTTCTTGCAGCACACCTGGGACAGTGGCTGTGCCCACTGGCAGGGCTACCAGGAGCCCCAGTGCAGGGCCTCCAGCTAGGATCAATTACCTGAGGCTGCACAGAGCGGTACAGGACAGGGCCCTGCTGCCCTCAGTGGCGGTGAGAAGCAGGGACCCCAACCTGGTGCTCAACGTGGTGGGGAGCTGTGCGGCCCCAGAATAAATCACTGTCTCCGGGTGGCAGATGAGGGCCAGGAAAGAAGGCTTCTACAGCTTGCTGGGGTCTGGGGATCAGCTCCTTGGCTTTGTTTTGTGTTTTGAGACAGGATCCCGCTAGGTAGCCCAGGCTGGCCTGGGGCTTCCGAGTCTCCTCCCTCTGCCTCCTAAGTGCTGAGATTACAGGTATGGCCCACCGCACCTGACTACAGTACCCTTTTTTTTTTGAGGTACTGCGGCTTGAACTCAGGACCTTGTACTTGCTAGGCAGGCCCTCTGTCACTTGAGCCACACCCAAGCCATTCCTTTTCGACTAAGCAGAAAGAATATTCTGCCCAGCTCCCCACGTGGTCACCTCTGTCAGCTGCTTTGTCCACGCGCAGAAAGAGCCTCGCCCAGCTCCTGGGCTCCTTCCAGGGTTTTCGCAGTGACTAATCCAAAAGGCTGGAGCAAGCCATACCCCAGACAAGGGGCGTCCCAGAGCCAGGCTCAATGGCAAAATGGCCAGATGCTATGACCTGGCTAAAAATACACCAGCAGCACATCGTAAAAATAAAGCGAGCTGGAGAGCTGTGTGGTGCTGCACACCCGCAATCCTAGGCAGCTAAGGCAGGAGGACAATGAGTTTGAGGCCAAACTGGGCTACACAGCAAACCCTGTCTCAAGAAACCAAGGGCTGGGTGTAGCTCGGTGGTAGAGCACTTGTCCAGCACTGGCAAGGCCCTGGGTTCCACTCCCAGGATCACAGGGGGAAGAAAAGTGAAGAACCCATTACTTGTCTGACATAGTTTACTTCTTCCCTGCACTGCAGCGTTCAGTGGCTCCTGCGTGTCCCTTGTCACTGCTGGCCCTCGTCCTGGGGAGGGGAGCTGGCATCTCCACTGCCTGAGGCAGACGGCTCAGACCGAGGGCCTAACCCCAGGGCTCACACGGACCCTGGGGGTGGAGGTGGCAGGAGGCTGCATGTCAGCAGCTGAGTCTGGAGCCGCCCAGCAGGTCACCCTGAGAGACGTCATGGGGGCAGAGGCCCCAGCTGGCCCCATCCTGCATGCCTCTCCTCTCCAGCGTGGCCTGGAGGAGTCCTCTCATCCTTTGGGTTTCCTTGAAGGTCGACTCCCAGATGACTTCCAGCTCACCTTCCATTTCTCTGGGAGAAAGAAAGAGGGGCACGGGAAAGGTTAGGGTACATAACGCAAAAGCCCACAGAGGCCCATGCATGCAAACGCAGCGAGAAGGCAGAGGAAGAGCGGGAACGCCAGGAACCAGAGCCTGCCGTGCCAGCACCCTGGGCGCAGGCTCCATGTTGAGGGAAGTGCTGCGCGGCCACTGGGCTGGAGAGGAGACCTCCATAGTTGTCGGAAGAGCAGGGCACCGAGGAGGAGGGAGAAGGGGCTGCTTTCCCGTGAGCCAGCGCCTCCTTCAAGGCCCATGCTGCCCACTCAGTCTGGGGCACCATCTGACTGAATGAGGCCTAAAATCCCAACATTTCTGCTTTCCAGCACAAACTGCTATGTATTTGAAGAGCTACGGCAATCGTGTTTAAATGTCCCACTGAGCTGACAAAACAGGAACTCTCCAAGGGGAGAAAAAAATGAAGACCAAACTAGATGCAGACACAGGCAAATGAAATTTCACTTTGAGGACAAAAGCCAGTGCCCAACCCCCAGCCCGGTGGTGAAGGGAGTCAGTGTTGGGGCTGTGTAGACCAAATGTGACTGAGACTTAGGCTCAGTGACATCCATGTCTCCTTCTCCCCAGGCAGGTAAGTGGGGTCCCCTCACAGAAAGGATGGAAATCTGCAGACCTGCAAAGGAGCCCTGACTTCTGGAGAGGGCTGTGCCCACAGGCCTGTTCTCTAGGGGATCTGGGCCTGTGCCAGGCCTCCCAAGGGCCCAGATGTACTGAATCAAGAGAACAGACACACATTTGAGACAGTAAGGGAGAAAGCTCAATGGGTGAGTAATTAAGTCATACACTGCACACGGCCAAAAAGACAATTAGTTAACAGCATCAGGCAGAAGAAACTACCCCGGATGTAGTCTGGAGAAGTATAAGATATTATGAAAGTATATTAAGCAATGCCTTTGAGGATATATTTTTAAAGCCCTCTTGTATCTTTTTTTTTTTTTAAAGAATTACCATTGCCTCTTTTTGGGTGGGTACTCGAGTTTGAACTCAGGGTCTCCACCCTGAGCCCCCTCCACCAGCCCTTTTTTGTGATGAGTTTTTTCAAGATAGGGTCTCACGGACTATTTGCCTGGGCTGGCTCTGAACCTCAATCCTCCTGATCTCTGCTCCTGAGCAGTTAGTAGCAAGGATTACAGGTGTGAGCACTGGCACCCCTACTGCTGCCTATTTTAAAAATCAGTAATAAAACTAAAATGGCTCCAGGTTGGAATTATTTTCTGGCACCAAAGAAAAGCAAATTCAAATCTTCTCTGAAGAAAAACTTCCCCAAGAAAGGCCCTCAGGATTCCACCGATTCAGCTCAACCTAACAACAGTTCACAGCAGAAGACACTGTAGGGAAGGTGGTGACCTGGCAGCCCGGGCCTTGGTGTCTACCTGTCACTGCATCACTGTTCTCATGGCCAAAGAAGGAACTCAACCTCGCCTCTTGTGCATAAAGAAAACATGCGACAGAGACATAAAGAAGGTGAGACCAGCCATCTGCAACAACAGGGATAGGAGATCATCATGCTAAGTGAAACATGCCAGGCACAGAACACGAACCACGTGCTCTCACTCCCGTGGAAGCTAAAACATCTGACTTCAGCATAGAGAGCAGGCCGGTGGTGACCAGAGGAAGGGAGATGAGGACAGCCTGCCCAACAGGTGAGAAGAAATGACAAATGAGGTGATGGATAAGCTAATTACTTGGTCTGATATTATAAAACGTATGCATCAAAATATCATATTGTCCCCCATAAATCTATAGAATTATTGTATGAACTAAAAACAGCAAATTTTAAAAAAAAAGAAAAAGAAGTCACATAGAGCAAGAGTCACAAAACCAGATCGAAGCCCTCTGGCCCCCCAATTTCAGATAGTGGAATGACGACATATACAGTATAAGATAGCTATAAATCAAATACTACAATAAATAAAAGATGTGTTTAAAAATAAGCAAAGACCAAAGAATTGGTTTGTTTAAATGACTAGGCGGATTTTCCAAAGAGCCAAGTAGAGCTTGAAAATGAATACACAGTTGTGCAGTGCAGTAAGAAAAACCTTGATGACTGAGTCAAACACACACTGAACAGAGATGGAGAGAGAATCAGTAAAACAGAAATACTGAGCAGAGGAAATTACCTAAAATGAAGACCAGGGAAAAAAGAGGGGGAAGTTTTAAAGGCATGTGCAGAATTCAGTGAAAAGATCTGAGGTATATTTAATCTGAGTGCCAGCAGGAAATTTAGAGACTGGGTGGAAAGACGGGTTTTGTGGTTGTTTTGTTTCTGAGATAGGCTCTCAGTCAGTAGCCCAGTCTATCTTTGTTTGGCCTGGAGATCCTCCTGCCTCAGTCTGCTGAGTTCTGAGATTACAGAGGTGAGCTACGACACCTGGCTTGAAAACACATGCTTTTTAAGAGATAATGACTAAGAATTTTCTAGAAGTAATGAAATAGTTCATGAGACCCCCATCTCCAAAATGACTGGAGCAAAATGGGTGGAGGTGTGGCTCAAGAGGTAGAACACCTGCTGCAAGCATGAAGCCCCAAGTTCAAACCCCACTTCCACTAAAAAAAAAATTACATATATATATAGATAGATATTATATATCTATCTATATATATGTATATATATACATATATATAGATAGATATATAATATCTCAATATAGCTTATGCTGATTATCTGTTGCAATCATATTTGAATATATCTAGTTAAATAAAATATATTGTTAAAATGAGAAAAAGGGATGACCACAGATCTTAAAGTTCTCAGACATTAAAAAAAAAAAAAAAAAAGCAAGAATCATTTAGTCAGAAATTAATAAACTTTCCCAAGAAAATGAGATAAAACAGCAAACTCCAAGAGCCAGAAATGAGTAGAGGAAAGGGAGGCGCAGGCTGAGGACCAACTGACGGGACTGGTTCTGGAAGTCGACTCAAACAATGGAGGTTCTTAAGACAGAATAACGAAAACAGGGAACAAAGAAGACCCTCAGGGAATGATGAATTCACACAAAACCAACCCAGTAAAGAAGACTGCGCAGAGGCCCTTCCACCCCGAGCCAGGCCCGTGTGGGGCATCGGCCAGGTGGAGGCGGCCGCCTCACCTCTTCTGCTGCAGCGCCCCATCCAGGACCTCCTGCTTGTCATGCAGCATCCTCTGCAGGTGCCGCATCTCCTGCTGGTACTGCGCTGTCCTGTCCGCAAAGTCCTCCTGCTGCTCCAGCAGACGCTGACTGATGTCATCCAGCTGCAGGGAGGCCTGCTTCTTGTAGCCCTGGGGGGTGGGGGTCAGCGAGTGAGGAGATGTGAGGGACGCTGTGTCCTGGCTGCCCCAGCAGCTCCCCGTGATGTCAGAGCCCACTAAACTGAGTAAGCCCTGGCCGAGGCTCATCTGGGAGGCAAGTTTGGATTGTAAAAGTGAGAAAGGAACCACACATGGTGGTACATGCCTATAATCCCAGCATTTGGGAGGTGGAGCAAGATCCTACCTCTAAAAGCAGAATATAAAAGCATTTCTGACACAATAAAAAAACCAAGTTTTATATATATATAAATTTTTTTGGGCTACTTCTTGTTTTTTTTGCAGTACAATAAAACCAAGTATGGGGCTGGTGGAGTGGCTCAAGTGGTAAAGTGCCTCCTAGCAAGCAGGAGGCCCTGAATCCAAATCCCAGTACCACCAAAACAGACAGACAAAACCCCCACGTATCTTTTTGCTGTTGTATTCTTGTAGTTCTGGGGACTGAACCCAGGGCCTTGCACAGGCTAAGCAAGCACTCCACCATCTAAGCCACTCTCCCCACCCTTCTTCCGTCTATTTTGTTTTTGAGATAGGGTCTTGCTAACTTTCCACAGGCTGGCCTTGAACTTTCGATCCTCCTGCCCCAGCCTCCCAAGTGCTGGGATTACAGGTGTGTGCCACCACACCCACAGCCCTATTGTGCTTTCTCCTTGGAACTTAGTCTTCCTCTCCAAAATGGCTTCTTCTCTTTTCTACTTCTTTCCCGTGTTGCTCAGATGCACACAGGCGTCTGGCTCTCTCCTTCAGGCTCCTGTGCTGTTGCTTTGTGGTCTTTCTTCCTATCTTGAATTGCTTTTTTCATTTTTATCTATTCAACTATCTCTAGTTATCTAGCTTCCTGTCTTCCTACTTAGCAGTTTACTTGAGTGCAAGCTGCAGTTATGATCTTTGGTCAACGCTGTTCTGGTAAGTTTCCATCAACTTTCATCAGTTCAGTTTTGTTTCTTGTGGCACTGAGGTTTGAACTCAAGGCCTTGTACTGTAGGGAGGTGCTCTATCACTTGAGCCACTTACCACCCTCTTTGCTTTAGTTATTTTTCCAGTAAGGTCTGGTGCTTTTGCATGGGCTGGGCTGAAACCACAATCCTCCTACCTGCGGCCTCCTAGGAAACTGGGAGCATGGGTGTGGCAGTGCCACACCAGCTTATTGTAGAGATGGGCTGGCCTCAAGCAAAATCCTCCTCACCCCCAGCTCGAGAGGAGCTGGGCTTACATGTGTGAGCCAGTGTATCCAGCATTCTTCAAGCATTTCTGCATAGAAGCCTTGACTTCCTTTGGAGTGAGATGAGGTCTCTGGGAGGTGGCCAGGGCAGCCCTTGGAGCTTCACACGCCCCTCTTAGAGCCCCTCTCTGCCTCTGGACCCAGCTTGGCCCGCAGGGCCTCTGTCGGCAGCGAGGGTCTCAGTCTCCTCACAGCCCCTATTGCCAAGGTGGTCCCTTCACATCACCTCTCCTGTTTTGCTGCCCTTTCCTGAGCTGTCGCCTCTGATCTTCTCTTCCCGTCCCCAGCGTCTCCCTGGTAACCTGGAACTTGCACACAAGTGTCTTCTCTGGACCGGCTGTTGATGTGAGCTCCCAGTGTATTAAACACCACCAACCTGTTTTTTCACGGCCAGGCCATTTAATCATCATCGTCCACATACCTGAGCTCAAGGTTCTAGGTCTTACCCTGTGATTGTAGCCACCAGCCCTTCTCACCGCCCTCCACGTGGGCGGCCAGTCTCTCCTGCTTCCTCTGGCCCTGGCAGAAACCAGGTTTCCTGGGGAGGTGGTGGCTGCAAGCTGGAAGGCTGGCAGTCAGGACCCAGTGACCAGGAAGAGGGCGGGGTGCAGCAGCGCTGAGGCCAGAGAGGAGCAACTGGAGCAGCAAACGCCTGGAGATTCTCCCTGTGCCTTTTTTTTTTTTTTTCTTAACTTAAGCAAACAGCTATATGGTATTTTATTGTGCAGAGGAACCAAAGCTTACTTAATGAATTGAGAGGGGCTACTTCTGCCAGCAAAACCTTCCATTGAGCCAGGTGTGCGGGTGGCACGTGCCTGTGATCCCGGGAGGGGGACGGGAGGCGGAGGACGGGGACTGTGTGTGAGAAGTGCTCACCTTGACTTTTTCCTGAAGCTTGCCCAGACGGATGTTGCCTTTCATGATTTTGCTGAGGACTCCATCCTTCTCATTTTCTAAACATTTAGCCTGAGGAGAATGGTGAAAAGAGAAACACATGGGCTCTCAGTCTTACAGAGAAAATAACCGTTGCTTGGGCCGGTGGTGCAGCTAAGTGGCAGGGGGCTTGCTAGCATGTTTCGAGGCCCTGAGTTCAAACCCCAGCACAAATTCTCTTGCAAAGAGAATCACTGCTCACAAGCGGCCCCACTTTGCCCCGTCCTGCTCTTCTGGCCGTGCCCCACCTCTGGCTTCCCGCACTCCCTGGGCAAGGGCTGTGGGCAGAGCTTGGGACAAGGGCAGGGGAGGGGGACAGTGGGCACCAGCAGGCTGGGTGTCCTTTTAGGGCACACACAGAAGATCCCAACACCTCTCTTTCCTGTGGAACCTGTAATTCCCTCAACTACATCGAAGGAACGAAAAAAGGAATCAAACTGTAACTTGACTAATTTGATAAATTACAGCAAAATTAAGCATAACAGGATGCGCACCGGGTGCTGCTGTCCAAGCTGGCAGGTTGGACAGCGTATCCATGTGGGGCAGCATTTGAAGCAGAGTGACTTCCACAGATATCCAGATGGGACACGAGCTACCACACACTGTGGACCACTTGAAGAAAGAAAAGGTGAGCATTCCTGCTCAGGCATCCTGGAGCTGACACAGTCTGTCCAGAAAGGAAAACAAACAACCCACCCGACACCACATGGAGATGAGGACGCCAGTGTCTGAGACTATTCTGTCTCACACGGAAATGGAGGGGTGAAAGACGGCGACATGGCACTTGGAGTTATTTCAAGGCCACCTGTAGCCACAGGCAGCCACCGCTGCATGTGTGTATGGGGTCTCTTTCAGGAGGGCCCAGGTGGGAGAACGCGGCTCAGACCCTAGTCGGGGCAGACAGCAGCAGGGCACCCCTGCACACCTCCCTGTGGAGAGCGGTCTCTACATGAAAACGCCTGAGCTAGAGCCTGGCTATCGGGCTCTATACAGGTCCAGGCAGGAGCAGAGGTCACATCTTCGCATTCTGTGGCTTGGCTTCTAGCTTTAAATCCTTGAACACATAGGTGTCCACTTGGACCTCCATGCCTGGCCCACAGAGAGGAGGGATGGGCCCCTGGGGGACCTTCACTTCGTTCCGGAAGCCTGGGGTGTTTGCTGGCCCGCATTCCAGGGACAGTCCTGCCCAGCAAGCTTTGGCTCTCCCTTGTGCTGTCTGGGCGGGTGAGCCCAGTGGGCACAGCACAAGGGGACAGGGGCATGGAGCACTGCCACAGAAAATGTCAGAGCGCAGCACTTTGGTTAGGACAGCAACTTCTCAAGAGGGGACAAATGTGTCAGAAGGTCTGAGTGTGTTCAGCACAGTGTCAAAGTCAGAGTTCTTTCTAGGAGACTCAGGAGGACTTAGCAATCACCATGACATATGGCCAGACTCACCACACTGCCACCAGCATCCTCTATCGCAAAAATGTGTCATAGGGTTAAGTGCAGAACGGTATCCAGACAACTGAATCAGTATTTCTTTTATTAAAAATAAAGATCAGCATTATTCTCCAAGAGGTGCCTATGTCTCATGTCCTTTTCCCTGTGGAAGAAGCCCATGTCCTGTGTCCCTCTTCCTGTGGAGGAAGCCCGAGACATTTTCCTAAGAAACAGGGCTGAGCCTGTGACACATCCCAGCTGACTGCACACCTCATTCAACCCAGAAAAGGACTGCCAGGTTACTTGCATGGTTGCTGGTTTCCTTGTCACGGCAGTCATTAAACTATGACCTCTAATTCTACTCTACCAGAGACTGCTTAAAAAGAAGCATCACGAGCTCAAGGCAGAAACAACCTGAGATGTGGATGAGCAGCAAGGCCTGACACCCTGGAGACGACCACTGTCAGAGTCGGGAGGTCAGCATCTGTGGTGCCTGACTTATCTCGCCACACAATCTGTTGTAGACATCTTTCCAAATCAATGCCAAAATGCCAGCTTCGTGCCTACTATCACTTCAGATGGCTGTGCAGTGCCACCATCCAGGACACCAATGCTTGACTTAACTCCCCTCCTCGGGACTGATGCTATCAGGAACAAGGCAGGATGAATACCATGGGGGCTACAGATCCATGCTGTGACTCTGTTTCTGGGGAGAACTCTGCTTACACCAGCTGATTTTTCTAGGGGTGCTGGGGGTCAAATCCAGCATCTTGAACATTAGGCTCACACTCTAATCTGAGCTACACTTCAAGCCCTGTGTCTATGATGCCTGTTTTTGGAGGTACTGGAGTTTGAGCTCAGGTCTTGCACTTGCTACACAGGCACTCCACCACTGAGCCATCCCCCAGCCCTTTTTGCTTTAGTTTTCAGATAGGGGGGGCTTGCATCTTTGCCTGGGCCAGCCTTGGAGTGAGATCCTCCTACCTATGTATCCCTTTTAACTAGGACTATAGACAAGATTTTCCACATCTGACTTGTTTATTGACATGGGGTCTTGCTAACTTTTTGCCCAGGCTGGCCTCAAACAGTGATCTTCCTGATCTCTGCCTCTGGAGTTTCTAGGATTACAGGCATGAGCCACTGCACCTGGCCTGTGTCTATGATTCTTATATTTCCTCTACAAATGGGAACATTATAAAAATGATGTAACAATACGTCTGCAAGTATTACAAATACATGCAGACTGATGCTCCTACTTACTTCAATGTGCTGATTCCCTTAGTTTATCTTCTGAAATAACATCTGCCATTATTTCAACATTTGGACTATTTGCCTTTCAAAAATTTGCTGAAGGAGTGGTGGTGCATACCTATAATCCCAGCATGTGGGAGGCTGAGGCAGGAGGACTATGAATTCAGGGTCAGCTTGGGTTACATAGTAAGACCCTGCCTATGAAATTAAAAAAATAAATAAAAGTTGTTGCCTGTGGTTAAAGGATCAAATTTTGGAGCATCTGGAAATGTGTGGTTGAAATTCTAAACTATGAAGCTTTTTCTGGAGTCATTTTTTAAAAAATACTTGGGCTGGAGGTATGGCATAGATGGCAAAGCACCTGCCTTGCAGCACAAAGACTTGAGTTCAAACCCCAGTACCACTAAAATGGAAAAATACTCTGGGTTGAAGATGTAGCTCAATGGCAGAGAACTTGCCTGGTGAGTGTAAACCCCTGGGTTCAAATCACAGTGCTACCAAGATGAATGAATGAGTGAGTGAGTGGATGGATGGATGGATGGATGGATGGATGGATGGATGGAATAACCTAGAGATGACTTGATAGGCACTCGCCTGTAATCCTGGCACTCAGGAGGCTGAGGCAGGACGATTCAGCGATTGAGACCAGCCTTGACAACAAAGTACGACCCTGTCTCAAAAACAAAACAAAAAACAGCCTCCAAATCATATTTGCATGTCAGCTTGCAGTTTACTTCCGGTGGTGCTGAGGAACTCACCAGCTGCTTGAGACTGTCGCGTTCCTGGGTTAGCGTCTCTGTGAAGCCAACGAGGTGTGCGAGGTACTGGTGAGCAGACATTTCTCTCCCTATGGCCTTTTCCACTTGCTTCTTGAGCACTTGGATTTTCTTCTGGTATCTCCTGGAGAGTTCCCCCAGTGGCGGGATAAAAACTCATTAGCCCGTGTGCCAGGGCATAGTGAATGCTGTATTATAAATCAGCAAACCTGCGACATTAAGTGCTCTCCGTGAGCTGGGGAGTATGCGCCTGACACGCATGAGGCCTTTCCTTCCATCCCCAGAACTGCAGAAAAGCTGAAAAGTTCACTGAACTGCTATTATCCAGCAACTTAAATCAATTATGTTTCAAGGTGAGAAGAGGTAAACAAATTTAATTTGAAATCAAGCGTAATTATTGTGTGCAAATAAAGTTAAGAGGACTCACAAAATGCCAACGAATGAGCAGACTACTTAAATAGTATTCATGAACTTTTTGACTCATGTTCTAAAAGATACTTTTGAAAAGGGATCAAAGATCCCAAAGGAGACTTTTCGGAAATGGCTGGAAAAGAACTGGTGGAAGCCGGACACTGGTGGCTCACCTGCCTGTAATCCCAGCTCTCAGGAAGCAGAGATCAGAAGGATCGCAGTTATAAGCCAGCCCTAGCAAATAGTTCACCAGACCCTATCTCGAAAAAACCTTCACAAAAATGGGCTGATGGAGTGGCTCAAGACATAGGCCCTGAGTTCAAGCCTCAGTACTACAAAATAAAAGAACTGGTGGAACTTGCAGAGTCTTAGGGTCATGGAGGGTATTTGAACTCTGTGTGTGAGAAATGCTAATGAATTTGGCCAAGAGGAGAACTACAGTGTACATTCATCCTGACAGCCACTCACTGGTTACTCTTTTCCATTTTACAGCTACTATCAGGCAAAGAAGAGACAAAGGGAATGAAATGGACAATTCTGCAGACCTATTCTCTCTCTGTGTGCGCTCCAGCTGGGCGTCCAGCGCTCGGTTGCGAGCCGTCCACTCGCTCTTCTCAAGAAGCAGGCTCTTCCTCTGCACCTGCAGGATGGCCAGCTGTTCCGTCAGCTCCTCCATCTCGGCACTCTCTTTCTCTTCTTCCTTTTGCAGCTGGCTGAAGGACAAAAACACAACAGGCCCACGTCCTGTGCCTGAGGCTAACATGGGGCATCAGTGCCCGACACGTGATCGGGCCACCCAGACAGCCTCTACCACACACCTCCCCACCAAGGTCCTAGAGGGCCTGGGGTCAAGCGCCTGGGGAAGCAGGAGAGGGTGTGGCTGGAAACACGTTCCTCTGGTGGTGATCGTGGAACCCTTTTCCACCCACAGTTTTTGCTCATGGCCATGTATACCACTTGTTTATATCCTGTTTCTTCCTGAAAAAAATCTAAACTATAATGACCAAAAGTAAGTCTACTGGTAAAACAAAATTCACTTCGTAACAATGGAGTGACTGACAAATGTTTTTGTGAAACACAAAGACTAAACCGGGCCCCTGTGTTGAACACCAGCCAGGGTGGCATCAAGTGTGCTCAGAGGGCACCGTGGGGAGGAGCTGGGCTTGGCACGCTCTGCAGAACTCCCCAACAAGGCAGTCAACTGTCCACTGTAACTGACAGGCACATAAAACCCAGAGCGTACTTCTTCCATTGAAAACTGACTTGGCCATTATTTAGTGGACAAATTGCTGAATTAGATGAATGATAAAGGGTTAAAGAAGAATGATGGAAACACACAGGCTTCTACTTGCAGCCAGGAGAGTTACAGAGGCCAGATTTACCCTTCAGCTAACAAAACACAAGAAATAACAGTTTTTATCTAGACTCTGGATGACAGGACTGTGACCCTGAAGGGGAAACAAGGCCACAGTGGCCCTACCTCTCTGCCTGGCTTGCACAGGGAATCCCAAATGGGGTCCCTAGGTGGAGGGATCAGAGGTCAGAGATCAGGGAGGCCAAGTCAGGAGAGTTTAGGGTAGAAAGGGAGAGGGGGCTCAGGAGATCCTCAGGGGTCAGTGCACGTCTTTGGCTGAGTACTGAACTGAGCACGTGTGAGAGGACAGTGCCCAGGGCTGAAGAAAGAAACACGGAAGTGAGGGACAGCTATCAAGAGAAACAATAGACTGGGCACCGGTGGCTAACGTCTGCAATCCTGGCAACTGGGTGGGGAGGCAGAGATCAGGAGAATCTCGGTTCGAGGCCAGCCTGGCAAATACTTTGTGAGACCCTATCTCAAAAAAACCCAAAACCCAACACAAAACAACACACAAAGATCCATGGGACTGAGGTGAGAGGAAAAGACAGAAAAGAAAATTAAAGAATTCCTAGTTAAGTGTTTCTAAATTTGATGAATGAATGAGCCCCAGGAAGCTCAATGAACATCAAGTAGAGTAAAAAAATCAACCAGGGAACATTTTAATAAGCTTTCTGAACACTCCTTAAAAGAAGCCCAAGGGCCAGGATGGGCGCACCTGCAATCCCAGCTACTTAGGAGAGGAGGTAGGAGGATTGCAGTTGGAGGCCAGCCCGGGCAGTTAGGTGGAGGCCCTACATAAAAAACAAACTAAAACCAAAAGTGCCACTGCCAAAGAAAGAAAAAAGAGAAAAGAAGCGGCCAGAAGACTAAGGAGAAATCTTTAAACCGATAGAAACAAACATCCCAGTAACACGTGGGCTTTGGATCTTATGTTTAATTTTGGTAGTACCAGGAACGGGTTAAACTCGGCTTGGGGGAGTCTTGTGCGTGTGTGTGTGTGTGTGTGTGTGTGTGTGTGTGTGTTCCCCTGAGGACGGTCTAATATTCTACTAGGCTCACTACGATATTTAACAAGACAGGAGTCTTCAAGGGATGGGCTTTCTAAAGATTAAACAACTTTTTGATTTTTGGCGGTACTGGAGTTGGCGCTCATGGCCTCTCGCTTGCTACGCAGGCGCTCTACCACCTGAGCCACGCCCCCAGCCTCTTTTGCTGTAGTCACTTTAGATAGGGTCTCTCATATTAACAGTCTAGCTATGTAGCCCAGGTTAGCCTTGAACTCATGATCCTCTGCCTTAGCCTCCCATGTGCTGGGATTACACACATGTACCACTACGCCTGGCCTACTACTTTAAATTATCTTTGGTTCTAAAACTAATCAAGGCTGAAACAGTAGAAAAAAGTCAAATACACACAAATTGCAAACTGCACCCCAAAGGACACCAGGTACTACTTCAGTAAAATAGTTGTCATTCTTGTTCTCACACACCAAGTCTAGTAGGGTATGGAAGCTGAGGCAGGAGAACAGCTTGAGCCTCGAGTTTGAGGCTAGCATGGGCTACAGAGCAGGACCTGATTCAAAACAAGTACCAACACCGGGCAGCCTCTCTCCCTCCCCCTGTCACAGCATCATCAGGATACCACAGAGGCCCTCTGGCTCTCACCTCTTCAACTCGCTCACGATGGAGGTGTGGACGTCCACTGCGACCTTGCTGTCACAGTGAGTCTGGAGCTCCTGCAGCCTGGCACGCAAGCTCTCCAGCTGCCCCTTGCTGTCCGTCAACTCCTCTTCCTGCCTCTGTGTTTTCGTCTCCAGGAGCATGAGTTTTTTAGTCAGCTTAGAAACTAAAAAGCAAAAGTGAAGGTTAAAGACTTAGGACAAAAGACATAATAAAACATGGATATCAGCCAGGTGTGGTGGAGCTCCCTGTAATCCCAGCACTAAGTAGGCTGAGGAGGAGGAGCTTCATGCGTTCTGGGCCAGCCGGGGCTACAGAGCAAGACGTTGTCTCAAAAAACCAGAGCTGGGGATGCAGTACAGTGGGGGAGCACTTGCCTAGCATGCGCAAGGCTGTGGGTTTGACCCCCAGCACCACAAACTAAACGAGAGAGAGAACACAGTTCTACTTCATTCCCCACTTCTTTTTTTTTTCTTTTGTGGCACTGGGGCTTGAATCAGGGCCTTCACCCTGAGCCACTCCACCTGCCCTTTTTTGTGATGAGTATTTTCAAGATAGGGTCTCTTGAACTACTTGCCCAGGCTGGCTTCGAACCACATTCCTCCTGATTTCTGCCTCCCGAGTGGCTGGGATTACAAGTGTGTGCCACGGCACCCAGCTCATCACATGCTGTGTTAACTAACCTTCATATTATTGTTAGCAGTTACCAGTATCCTGCTGGTGTCCCTGGCCCCTTCAGAGGGACACCTAGACTTTTGTCCATATTTTGTTTTGTTTTTGGTAGTAGGGTTTGAACTCAGGCCTTCACCTTGAGCCACTCCACCAAACCCTTTTTTTTTTTTTTTTTTTTTTTTTGTGATGGGTGTTTTGAGATAGGGTCTCGGGAACTATTTGCCTGGGCTGGCTTTGAATCTCGATCCTCCTGATCTCTGCCTCCTGAGTAGCTGGGATTACAGGCGTGAGCCACTGACGCCTAGAGATTTTTCCCACTTCTAAGCCACTATTTTACCAGTTCTGCTGAGTCTGTCACAAAACACACAGGGTGACTTAAAGGCCCAATGGAGCCCAAGGGAGAGCAGTCAATGCACCAGGTGTGATGGCTGAAAATGTCACAAGCAGCTTCCTTTCTGAAGAACATAACTTTCCCATTCTCCAGGACAGTGACGTCCGGCATGGTCACCCCCTTGGCTTACCCTCTTGGAGCCGCTCCTGGTGGGCATCCTTGGCTCTTGCTTGCTGAATCTCCAGCTGCTCTATCAACAGTTTGTTTTCCTCTAAAACCAATTCTGCTTGCTTCTGAAGCTGTCGCCTATAAGGATTCACAAAATTCAGTTCTATCGTTTGAGGGCTGAGCGGTCATGAACACAGCACATCTGTAGACAAACGAGTATCTGGACATGTTCTAATGTTACGAGCACCATGCTAGTGACAAAGCAAATACTACCACTTGCATATGTGGGGAAGGGACCCCATCGAGGTCTCAGTTGTGGACTGCTGCTGTCAACTGTTTTAAATGCAAATTTTCAAACATCTACAGAAGTGAAGAGAATGGAGTTATAAACTCTCACCCACACGATGCCCAGGTTAAACAAAGGTCAACCTATCTGTCTATACAGTCTTTCAGTTCTATACCAGCTGGATTATTTTGGCCCTCACATGGAATATTTTTAAAGAATTTAGAAAGACCACATTTTAATTTAAAAAGTAATACTCATTTATAATCAGCAGCTGCCAGGCTGTGTCCTGGCCACTCAGGAGGCTGAGGCAGGAGGATCACTTGAGGTCAGTTCAGGGCCAGCCTAAGCGATAGAGTGAGACTCTGTCTCTTAAAAATTGAAAAATAAGCTGGGCCAGCCAGGTGCAGATGGCTCACGCCTATAATCCTAGCTACTTGGGAGACTGAGATTGGGAGGATCAAGGTTTAAGGCCAGCTCAGGCAAATAGTTTGTGAGACCTCCATCTCCAAAATAACCAGAGGAAAATGGACTGGTGGAGTGGCTCAAGCGGTAGAACACTCAGGTGAAGCCCTGAGTTCAAACCCCAGTCCCACCAAAAAGAAAAAAAGCTGGGCATGGTGGCACACACTTGGAATCCTAACCCTTGGAGACAGGAGGATTGTGAGTTCGAGACCAGCTTGGGCTATACAGTGAGACCATGTCTCAAAAAAGAAAATAATTAATTAACTAAGATAAAATGAAAAATATAAATGTAATCAGCAGCATTTTTGCTAAAAACAAATTTATTAGGAAGACTTTGAAATGGCTTCTAAAACAATATAAATTTTCCCCAGCCTTAATTTCACCACGAGAAAACCTACCCTTACAGATAGTGCAAGGTAGGCCAGTGTCCAGCTCACCTTCCATGAGCTGAAGGGACCTCAGAAACCATCCAGGTAAGTGTTTAGCACCCGTGCACACTGTAAACCAGCAAGCTACTTCAAGTTCCCACTTTATATGCAAAAGGTCAGACAGCAGAGAAGAAAGATGGAAGGAGCCAGGCTGCAACAGTGATATGACAGAGGCCACGGAGGCTGCAGAAGCACCCTGTGCTGTGGACGTGTGCCCACTTGCTCCCCCAGAGGACCCTGCCGAAGCTGGCCAGCACCAGCCTCTGCACCTGGCCCAAGCATGAAGCTCCACTTGGGCCCGGCTTACATTTTAGATTTCCCCATAGGGCCTGTCCTTCGTGCCTTTGCTTGCTCTTTCCTCCCTTCCTCTCTCAACGCCCTCCCTTTTTTCCTTTCTTTTTTACATGTAAGGGATCCCTCATTCCTAAAGAGAGGCCGACAGCCTCAGATATAGTTTACCACTCCCTCTCATTTATAGGTAAAGAAGCTGAGACCTCGAGAGCCTGAGGTTGCCCAGCTGGTCAGGAGAAATTAGGAAAAGAAACAGAGAGGTCAGTTGTAGCCCAGGAGTTGGCAGAGAAATTACTGGAAACTAAGCAGAGACAGTTCTATTCATGTGTGAAATCTGTGTACTGAGAGCTACCCATGGTCAAGCAGCTGCACACCTGTGCAGGTAAGGGAGCAGCAGGAGGCTTGGGGGAAGGGTCTCACAGGGTCCCAGAGCCCAGGAGCCCTGCGCTCACCCCCTCGCTGCACAAGGCCACCAAGCTAGAGCAGAGGGCAAAACTCAAATCTCACAGCACATGGCCTGAGGGAATCAAGGCAGGACCTGGACCTGAGAGCAGGGGCTGCCCTCTAGGCTGGGAAACAGCTGAGGCCTAGATTCCCCAAGGGTCTTCGGAGGCCCAGAAGACATAACATCCTTCAGCTGCTTCCCAGGAACTGTTGAGGCTGAGCCCAACAGAACAGAGTCCCAGTTCAGCCAGGGTAGCCATGAGGCACCAAGCCCCGTAGCTGCACAGGCCAGTCCCATCGGACGCATTAGTGACCAAGGAATCTGGAAGAAATGAGCCAACAGTAAGAACGCTGTTGTGGACACAGAGTATAGAAAACGCCTCGAGTTGTCATGTGACAGTAAGACATTTAAAGAACACTAAAAGTAACATACTCATCCAAAGCCAGTGGGTTTTGTTTCCCCAGCCTGGGCTGGATGTCGCCTTTAGACTTGCAATGATACTTACTTTCTATAATCCACTCAGTGGGTCTCTGCTGCTTTCCAGGATGTGGAGTCATATGGGGTCACACACACAGGTGAACAGGGCTGGTCCCTTGCCCTGGAGGAGGGCAAAGGAGAAGAGGGAGCCATGTGGGTGCAGGACAGGGAGGTAGAGGGTGGCAGGTAAGTGACAGGACAAAGGTTTAGGACTCTGGCAGACACACAGACAAGGGAGCAGCAGTTGAGGTCAGGGAGAGAAGGGCTGAAGGGCACGTGGGTGTGAGGCCACCTCAGCTGTGTGTAGCCTTTTGGGAGCAGCATTCGGAGAGGAAGAGCACTGTGCCAGAAAAATACCACTTAGAAAATAAAACAGAATTCCTAGCCAGAGCAGTAAGGCAAGAGGAGAAAGAAAATGGATTCAGATGGGGAAGGAGGAAGTCAAGTAGCTCTAGTTACAGGTGATGTATGATTCTACACGTAAAAGACCCAAAGGATTCACCAAAGAACCTCAGATCTGAAAAACACTTTCAGAAATGTAGCAGGATACAAAATCAACATACAAAAATCAGTAGGTTTTCTGTACACCAACAATGAACAGACTGAGGAACAGTTCCATTCACAATAGCCTCGAAAACCCAAAAGCTCTAGGTATAAACCTGACCAACTTGGTGAAAGACCTGTACAATTCTACAATGAAAGCTACAAAACCTTGAAGACAGAATTTAAAGACGACACTAGAAAAAGGAAAGGCTTCCCGTGCTCCTGGATTATCAGAATCAACAGTGTGAAATGGCTGTCCTGCCAAAAGCAACCTACAGATTCAAGGCAGTGCCCATCACCGCTCTACTGCCATTCTCTGCAGAGACAGAAAACCAATCCTAAAATTCACATGGAGGAAGAAAAGACCCAGATAGGAAAAGCAATCCTGAGCAAAAAGAGCAATACTGCGTGTGTCACAAGACCGACTTCAAATTAAAGTATAGAGCCAAAGCAACAAAACCAGCATGGTACTGGCACAAAAATAGACAAGAAGACCAATGGAGCAGAACAGAGGACCCAGACACAAACCACACAGATACAGCCATCTCTGATCTGATCCTTGACAAAGGAAACAAAGACATGCACTGAAGAAAAGACAGCCTCTTCACCACGTGGTGCTGGGAAAACTAGATCTCTACATGCAAAAGATCAAAAAGCTTCAGGTAAGACCAGGAACTGTGAAACCACTACAGGAAAAAATATGGAAAGCTCTGGAATATATTGGCATAGGTGATGATTTTCTGAATAGACTCTAATTGCTCAGGATATAAGAACAAGGTTTGACAAATGACAATGCACCAAACTGAAAAGTTTCTGCACATCAAAAGAAACAGTCACCAGAATCAAGAGACAACCCATAGAATGGGAGAAAATCTTCTCCTGATATTCCATGGATAAAGATTACTATCCAGAATATACACAGAGCTAAAAACACAAAACAGCAAATGAATGAACAATACAATTAATGGGCAAATGAACTGAAAAAACAGTTTTCAGAAGTACAAATGGCTAATAAATACATGAGAAAATGTTTGACATCCTCAGCCATAAAGGAAATGCAAACTAAAACTACTCTGAGATTCCATCTCACACCGTCAGAATGGCAATCATGAAGGAAACAATCAAGCCGGGTGCCGGGTGCCGGGTGCTGGTGGCTCACACCTGTACTCCTAGGTACTCAGGAGGCAGAGATCAGGAGGATCACAGTTTGAAGCCAGCCTGGGCAAATAGTTCTCGAGACTCTATCTTGAAAAAAACCCATCACAAAAAAGAGCTGGTGGAGTGGCTCAAGGCCCTGAGTTCAAACCCCAGTACCGCAAAAAAAGAAAAGAAACAATAACAAATGCTGGTGAGGACGTGGGGCGGGGGTAGGGGGACACATAAACTAGTGCAACCACTATGGAAATCAGTGTGGAGACTCCTCAAGAAACTAAAAACAGACCCACCTATGACGCTGCTGTACCATTCTTGGGCGTATATCCAAAAGAGCACAGATAAGAGAGAAACTTGCACATTCATGCTTATGGCAGCTCTGTTCACAACAGCCAAACTGTGGGGTCAGCCAAGGCGATCACACACACACACACACACCCCAGGGAGAATTACTCAGCCATGAGAAGAATGAAATGATGCTGCTTGCAGGAAAATGGATGGAACTGGAGTCACCATGCTAAGCAAGAGAACCAAACTGAAAAGGCCAAACCCTGCATGTTCTCACTCATTTGTGGAACCCAACCCTAAAATGATGATGGTGTGGAGGTGGTGATGGTGATGACAGTACTGACAGGACATGAGTGTGAAAGGAGGGTGATCTGGGGGAAGGAAGGGATACTGAGGAGGGAAAAGGATAAATACACTGCTTGTGTGTCCAGAGACAGCAAGATGAAGCCCACCAAGCTCTGTTTGAAAAGGGGCCGGGAGTGGCTCAAGTGGTGGAGTGCCTGCCTAGCAAATCTAAGACCCTGAGTTCAAACTCTAGAACCACAAAAAGAAAAAAAGAAAAGAAAAAAAAAGGGAGAAGCAGAGAAGGGCAATGGGAATAAGATGAAGGGGTGAACTTGTTCCAAGTACACTGTACGCCACAGTGAACTCCCACCTACTGTTAACGTTTACTAATCCAACAGATAACAGAACTACTAAAAAGAAAAATGTAGAAAGCAAATAAAACTCCTGTTGGGTATTGTTGTTTTTTGCCGGGGGACTGGGGATTGAACCCGGGGCCTCGTGCTTGTTAAACAAGTATTCTAACCACCAAGCCCCATATGGAGAATGTTTTTCTTTTGTTTGAGGTACTGGGGTTTGAACTCAGGACCTTCACCTTGAGCCCCTCCACCAGTCCTTTTTGTGAAGGGATTTTTTGAGATAGGGCCTCATGAACTATTTTCCCAGGGCTGGCTTCAAACTGCGATCCTCCTGAGCTCTGCCTCTTGAGTATAGGATCTCATCGCATCTCACCACTTTCTTAGAAAGTCCCATAAAATACTTTAGTTAAAAAGGAAAGCGGATTCGGTACTTGACGCTTGGTCAAGTCTAATCCTTTGATCTTGGGTCAGAAGTTGTCAATATCAGAAGGGCACAGCACCCCAGGCACCCCACTTGCCATTCCTCGGTGGTGACAGTACTGCTCTTGTTGAACTCGTGGTGCAGCTGTTCATTTTCTTTCACTACTTCCTGGACTCGAGTCTTAAACATCCTCATTTCCTCCTGAAACAGAATTTACACAAGTTGTAAGGCACACGTCCACACGTGTCCGTCCTCTCAGCTCTAGTGCTGCCGCTGTGGCTATGTCAGCAGCCCCAGCCTTAAACTCCAGGTCCCATGCCTTGTGCCTGCCCTCAGGGAGCTTACAGTCTTGTGAGAAAACACCCAAGACGACGGCAATGTCACCAAGCACAGAGACAAAGAACCCAGGTTTTAAGTATTCAATTCTTAATTTAAAAAAAAAAAATTTCTTTTTGAGACAGGAACTCTTTATGGAGTCCATGCTGGCCTTGAACCCATGATCCTCCTGCCTTGGCCTCCTGAGTGCTGGGATTACAGATGTAACCTGTACACCTGGCTTCAATTCTTAATTTGATAACATTTTCTATAACTGCCAAATACTTGAAAAATTAAAAAGAAGGATAAGAAAAAGTGGGGATGCCACAAATACTGGAATTCTTCCACTTATTGAAAGACTTCAGAGAGTTTTCTGTAAAAAGGAAGCACTTCCCATCCTTAATGAAAGCTGGTGTGAGTGAACAAAGTTTATGCAGAGGCTGCAGCTCCCAGACTTGCCCCACACCAAGCACGAGACGCCTCTCTACTGACAGGCAGCCGCTCCCTCTCCAGGCTGCAGCTGGGGTGGGGGGCAGCTTTTGGCTCCTAGTGTTCCATGTTTTCAGCACTTCCCCTGGGTCTCGTTCAGCACAGCTTTTCCTGGACAGCATCTGGCCAGCCTCAAGCCTCAGTGCCCTGTGCTGTCCGTCCTTCCGTGAGAATCTTAGGTGCCACCATTTACTCTGGGTGCTTTGAAATACTCTCCCAGCTGTCAGGCATTTATGCATGCACCTGTTTATCTTTTTTTTGGCAGTGCTGGGGATGAACCCAGGGCCTCCTGCATGCAAGGCAGGAGCTCTCTTGCTAAGCTATATTCCCAGTAAAGCAGCACCGCCCAGTGACCTCCCTTCCCTCACCTTCTGCCCCGACACGCCAGTGCAGGCAGCTCAGTGGCCGTTTTTGTAAATAAAGTTATGTTGGAACACAGCCTCGCCCACCATTGACACGCTGTCCATGGCTATTTTCATGTGACCACACTGGAGTTGAGTAACTGAACAGAAACTGCAGGGCCCACAAAGCCTGAAATATTTATTAACTGGCCCTTCATAGAAAAAGTGGGCAACCGTGATTTAGGAATAATTTTATTACATGACTGATTTTTGATCAATTAGCACAAGATTAATTCATGTTCTTTAAAAAATTAAGTGCCCTACAGAAAGTTGAGAAAAAAGGATTCAAAATTGCATGACACAGCTGGGCAGGGACATGGGACAGCGTGACCAAAGACCAGGCTGCGAGCTCTTAAAGGTCCCTTCCACTAGGAGCTCAAAAAGCCAACACCTCTCCCAGGGTCCTTCCAACTCCAGAGTGTGCATGCCACTTAGCAAGGACCCCAGAGGCATGCGGTAGCTCTCTAACACACACGCTGGGTCTCCTGTGTGGGTCAGAAAGAGCGAGAATGACCCAGTCACACAGTTAGAAGGTGCTCACTGCTGGAAGCCATTTCCAGGAGACAGGAGAACAAAGCAGAAATGAGTAAAACCATACTTCCTGACCACTTCCAACAGCTCAGCTGTTGTACTTTCCTGGGGTCAGCTCTTCCTGGAACTTAGAACCATGTAAATTTGCCTAAGATACCCCTAGCCTATAGCCTTTCGGGTCAGCCCAAACGCCCCTTCTAATAGAATGTGGTGTCTGTAGCTGTGGAGTCCCAGGAAGGAGGTGCCTCCCACTGAGGCCTTCTCTGCACTCCACGTGGCCACAGCATGCCCTGAAACCATGGCTTCCCAGGCAGGCAGCCCCAGCCCTTCCCTCTAAACCCTCCTCTCCAGCCCTACCCACTACCCCTGCCTGCCAATCACTGCCTCCCTCCCTCCCTCCTTTTAAAACATTGGGCTATCTACCTCATATTAGGCATACTTACTTTCAACATGCTTCTGCAAAGTCTGAAACAGTCTTATTTTTCACAATCTGTCTCTGAGATACGTGCTGGCCTACCTCAAGGGTGGCAATGAGCTCGTCCTTCTCTTTCATCCTGTCCTCATAAGCCAGCAGCAGCGGTGAGAGGTACTTTATGTCCAGCTGAGGGTCACAGTAACAGATGATTAGCAGATTTCTTACATCCAAACACACCACCAAATTTTTTATTTGTTTCGCGGTACTGGGGTTTGAACTCAGAGCCTCACGCTTGCTAGGCAAGTGCTCTATCTCTTGAACCACCCTACCAGCTCTTTTTTGTGCTGGGTATTTTCAAGATAGGGTCTCATGAACTATTTCCCCTGACTGGCCTCGAGCAACTAGGACAGGCAGGAGCTACCAATGCCTGGCTATAATCAGCAAACTTTTTAAAAAGCAAGAAAATACTTACTTTGGAATGGTTGTTAACAGTTATGCAAACACAGCCTAGAAAAATGGATCTAAAATTAAATAGCTTTCACTTACCAACCACGGTGGTGCAGGGCCCTTTGATGGGAGGCCTTCAGTATGTGAACCCTGGGAATAAAACAGGTTGAGGACAAAATAAACTCTACTTCCTCTGAAATTCCAAGTCTTAGTACTCATCCATCTATCTATCTGTCTGTCTATCTATCTATCCATCCATCTATTATCTATCTACCTATCTATCCATCCATCTATCTATCCATCTCACTATCTGGTGGTTCTTGGGTTTGAACTCAGGGCTTTGCGCTTGCTAGGCAGGGATTACAGGCAGGCGTGCGCCACCACACCCAGTTTTTTCTGTTGCGATGCAGTCTTGCTGACTTTTTGCCAGAGCTGGCCTTCAGCAATCCGCTAGAATCACAGGCGTGAACCATCAGCAGCCGGCTAGCCTTAGATGGTCTTAATCTAGACCAGGCATCATCCATCTCTGCATATATGCATGCGTGTGCCTACACATCACTGATGAGAAAAATTATTTCGGAAGTGTTTGAGGTAATGCCCCTTCACTAAATACTTCAATGTTTATTTCCTAAAAACAAAATCATTTATTTACCTAACCACAGTACCGTCATAAAAATCAGGAAATCAACACGATAGGATATTACTTTAAACACACAGACTGCCCTCCAGGCTGCAGTCCCCCAGTGTCCTTCTCTGGCCCCAGGTCACATGTCCCTTTTCGTTGTCATGCCTTTTTATTCTTAAACTTGGAAACACCTAGCAATTTTTACTGGAGTGCTAGGCTTTTTGAAGTTTTTAGAGTGCTGTGGGTTTTTCTTCTTTGGGATGCACTGTGCTTCTATTGGATCGACTGGATGCTCTTGAGGCTCATTTTACTGCTTATGGTGGGGTCTCTAGTAGCCTTTATTAAAGGCAGGGCTAGTTTGGCCCTGCTTACTGTGACACAGCCCTGCAGGCCCTTTACTCAGAGCCATAGCACACGAGGCCCCTCCACTGAGAGGCCTCCTGTGCTATGTGAGCTGGGAGCCATCAGCCCCAGCTCCCTGCACTTGCCTTCTGCCAGCCTCTGAGTTTCATCCTACACCTGTGCACACTGGCATGCACAAGTAGCCCATGCCACTGTGTACCTCTTTCTCTCCATAGCTCCCTCCTTTCTGGTATTCTTGCCCTGCAAATTCTAGTCTCTCCAGCTCCCTCCTGGTCATAGCAAATCTGGCACAGAACTTGAGGCCCTGATGGCATAATTCCCCATTTAACACAAACTTCCTGTCTCGCTATCATTCACTAAGTCACGGTGGACGTGGCAACACAAGCCTTGTCTAATCACAGAAGTAAGTCTCTGAACACAATGGCACCACACACAAACACTGCCCGGGGTGGAACGCTGTAAGTGCCTTACAAGTGGCACAAACCACCTGGCACATCCTACCTCCTTCGGAGGCTGAGATTGGGAGCATCTTGATTCAAGGCTGCCCAGCAAATAGCTCAAGAGACCCCATCTCAACAAGGTAGAAAGGAGAAAAATAGAGGGGAAGAAACCAAATCAGGCTGTAATACATATATACATGGAAATACCATAATGAGAGTCCCTGTGCAGCTATCTTAAACAAACAAAAATGTCTTTTTTCAAAAACGGAGAACAGGAGGATAAAACAAGTCCTGTCTGGGGGTTGGCTCCAGCGTGGGGGAGAGGATGTAAGGAAAGGGTGAGGAGGTGAATATGGTGGAATATTATGCACTTATGTATGAAAATGGAAAAATGAGACCTGTTGAAACTATTCCAGGAATGGGGGAGAGGATAAAGGAGAATGATGGAGGGGTGAATTCAACTATGATATATTGCAAGAACTTCTGTAAATGTCACAATGCACCTCCAGTACAGTATAATAATAATAAAAGCTCATCTTAAAAACAACCAAAAAGTAACAAAAAAAAGAGAGCGAGAGACACCCCACCTCCAAAAGAACCTGAGCGAAGCAAAACGGACTGGAGGGATGGCTCAAGTGGTAGAGCACCTGTTTTGTGAGCATGAAGCCCTGAGTTCAAACCCCAGTCCCACCAAAAAAAAAAAAAAAAAACCCAATACAAACAGAATTTTAAAGTGTATGAGGGTTTAAGAGAGAAATCACTTCTGTCTGGATAGAGTGACTAGGAAAGACTGTCACAGAAAATGCAGAGGTGGGGGAAAGAGGAGTGGGTAGAAAGGTTGCCACTGGGCCTGCCTGCCCTGCCCCAGCCACAGCCCTGAAGAAGGACCCCACCTAGGCAACAGGTTTTGGATTGTATGACCTCTAAAACTCAATTTTGTTGTTAGAAAGTTAATATTGGGGCTGAGGGGATGGCTCATAGGTAAAGTGCTTGCTTAGCATGCACGAGGCCCTGGGTTAAAGGCCTTGGGTTCGACCCCCTAGGTCATGGAAATAAAATTAGTATTATGCTAAGTGAAAGAAGAAATACACATTGTATGATTCCATTTACATGACACGTCAGAAGAGGCAAAGCCACAGAAACAAAACTGGTGGTTGCCTAGGGTTGGGGTGGTGGGAGTGGATGCCGAGGAGCAAGTGACTGCTAATGGGTACAAAAGTCCTGATGGGCTGGAATGTTCTAACAGGAAACAAAACCCATTGGAGTGTACACTTTAAATGGCTGAGATGGACAGCAGGGGAGTTATACCCCCTGAGCTTTCTTAACTGGACAATCCCAGATCCAAAATGCTTCAAAATCTAAACAACAACAACAAAAAATTTCCATTGGGGTGCTCAAAAGGTAAAGTCTATGTAAATATTCCTAAATCCAAACCTTCAAAATCTGGAATACTTCTTGTCCCAAGCATTTCACATAAGGGATACAGACCTCTTTATCAAAGGTATTACTTTTTTTTTTTAAATTAAGCTGGATGTGGTGGTGCATGCCCATAATCCCAGTACTAGGGAGGCTGAGGCAAGAGAATGGTGGGTTCAAAGCCAACCTGGGCTACATAGCAACACCTGGTCTCAACCTCCCCCCCCAAAAAAAATGTTAACTGTGAACCCTTTTCAAAAGGAAACCCAGGGGCGAACAATGTAACTCAGTGATAAAAGTTTGTCTAGCAAGCATGAGGCCCTGGGTTCCAGAATTCCATCCCCACCCAGAACAACAACAACAAATAAATAAATAAATAAATAAATAAAGGAAACGAAACAAAGAAACAAACAAAAGAAATGAAAGGAAACTTTGAAGCCTGAAGGCCCAACTCCCAGAATTCACGTGAAAACACCGTGGGTCAGCCAATATGTGTCCTCCTGTGTCCTCCTGTGTCCCTCACATCCCTGAGTTCTGGAAGCACAGAGACCTGGCCTGCTGGGTTCCCTCTTATCTCTCGCAGCCTCTACTCTAGCAGCTTGCTCAGTAAGAACTCGTGGAGCTGAACTCTGCTCACTCTTAGGAGGTAAAACTCCATCTCCTTTCTTTGCAAAAAAAAAAAAAAAAAAATTTTTTTTTTTTTTTGGCAGTACTGGAGTTTGAACTCAGGGCCTTCAGCCACTCCACCAGCCCTTTTTTGTGATGGAATCTTTTGAAATAGGAGCTTGAGAACTATTTGCCCAGGCTGGCTTTGAACTGGGATCCTCCTGATCTCTGCCTCTCAGTAGCTAGCATTACAGCATTACAGGTGTGAGCCCTCAGCACCTTGCTCTTTTAAAAATTTCTGTGTTGACAAGTAACAGCTGTAACTGAGGACAGGCCTGAGAATGGCGTAAGCAATATGGACTTTCAATCATTACTTCAGATACTTCTCTACTGTCCAATGTTTGACAAGGGTTCACTGCTTTGCCATGGGGATAGATCTTTTTTATGCTAAATTATAATAAGTCAAATCCCTAAGAACTAGCAACAGAGTCAATGGCATAAGAGGTAATTTTTCATAACTGGAGCTGTTACCTCTTCCTCGGACAAACGCCTGAACTTCGTTTGATAGCGGCTCAGCTCCACGTTCAAACGGTGGACAAGCATTTTCAGCCTGTCGTTTTCATCCACCAGCTCTTGGGCTTGTTTCCTCAGGTGAAGGACGTCAGGTGCAGCAGCTGCCGGGAAAATCCGCTTACTGTCACACTGTGACAAGTCACAGCAAGGTTGTTAGGAGTCATAGGAAGTGCTAAGCATCTGCCTTTTGTTCCTTTTAGGCTCATGGAGGTAACGAATTACACATAGACTATGTGTGTGTATACTATACATATAAGTGACCAGAAGTGACCATGCCTTTTAAAAAAAATGATATAGCAGATGAAATCAAATTTCAATAAGCATAAGGACGTTAGTGAAAGAATCTTAAAATATTCACATAAACATCTATAAATGTACAACAGAAAATATCAACTCTCAAAAAGATGAGTGACTGCAACAAAAGAGCCGTGTGCTGGTCCCCACCTTCCTGAGAGGACGTCTTCTCAGCCCGGCTCAGCCTCCCGTTGTCTTTTTCTGTTCTCTTAAGTTTCACTTGTAACTCTTTCATGGCTTGTTTTAGTGCATTTAGTTCAAGGGTAAGGGCTTGATTTGTAGTGTTTAGGTGCAAGTTTTCTTCTTTCAATTCCTCCAACTTTTCTTTGGTTATTTCTATGTATCTTTGACGTAGTCTACCAGCTGTATCTGGAAAGGTACAGGGAAAACGCTTAAAACATTGCCATTTATCATTTTACATCAAAAGCACATGACACTTTATCCCCAAAACCATGTGAGCACACTGCACATCGGGCCTGGCACTGTGTCCCTGGTGTCTGGACTGGAAAGAGAGGGTGGTCTGGGGTCACTTCAGTGGGTGGGAGGAAGAAAGGCTGCCCTCCATGATGCAGAGTGGTTTCAGGAAGGCTTTGAGGTAGAGGTGTATGTGAAAAGGAAGAGACTCTTCTCTCAGAAGGCCCCTTCAGGACTGCAGAGAAGATGGGGTGGAGTGAGGCCCAGCCCAGAGGCTGCTAGGACAGCACTGGAGTTGGGGCAGCCTGGGAGGGGGCAGCAGAGGAGAGGAAAATCCACTAGGCCATTGTTTTGGACTAAACTCTTGTTCTAGGCCCCAACAGAGCAAACTAAAAATCACAATGGAGTCACTTGTACTAAATCCCCAGATCACTACACTGTTAGTTTCAACTAAATTGTTATCTGACCTCAGCAGAGAGAGATAACAACCAAGTTTCCCAGACAGGACAGAGACAGAGATAACAAATTTCCCACGCAGGCCAGTTTCAACTGGTGTGATAATGAAGTTCACTCTGCTTTAGTAACCTGCTGTGAGCCGATCACTTATTTTCTATTGTTCTGTCTCCTGGTGCCCACCTTTCAAGGAAAGCACTGTGAAATGGCCAATCCCCGTTTTGTTCTTTATTTCTGCTTTCCTGGCCCTTCTCTGTCTAGCAAGCCAGCCTCTTCAGCTCAGCTCACTGGACGCTCATCCCAGACTCAAGTGTCTGTCACCTGTCTGACGCTTATACTGCAAATAAAGCCACCCTGGTGTGCTTTATCCAGGTGGGTGGTGGGGGCAGAAAGCAGGTGAGAATAAAGGATGAAGAGGACAGGTCAGAGGACAGCTAACAGCTGGGGGAGGAGGGAGAGGACTTGCACACCTGGGGAGTGTCTGTAGGCACCAGGGGAGGACACAGCAGGGCTCACAAGGACTATAAGAAGGAACAGCAACAAAGGGTAGAGGGAAACCATGTTCCATGGAAAGACATGCTTGAGGTCAAGGCCTTAAGCAGTACAGTGGACCCTGGAGGGAAAGGGCCTGTCTTGCCACATATCCTGCAGTCCCCTGTCACTGGAGAAGGGTGGATGCCTGACTTTCCCTGTCCCAGCAGCCTGCAGTAAAGGCACACAGCATCCCAAGGTGGGCACTGCAGCTCACACCTGTAACCCTAGTTACTTGGGAGGCAGAGATTGGGAGGACTGAGGTTCTGAGCCAGTCTGGGCAAAAAGTTTGAGAGACCCCATCTCAACCAATGGCTGGGTACAGTGGTACACACCTAACATCACCAACTTCACAGAGAAGCACAAATAGGAGAACTGCAGTCCAGGCTGGCCTGGGCATAAAGCAGAAACTAGGGGTATGGCTCAGATGGCAGAACACCTGCCTGGTAAGTCCCTGAGTTCAAACCCCAGTACCACAAAAAAAAAAAAAAAAAAAGAGACACAGCATCCCAGACAGGCCACAGGGACTTTCGAAGACCAAGGTGAGCATGCCACCAAGAAAATCCACCAGCAGGGCACTGGTGGCTCACACCTGTAATCCTAGCTACTCAGGAGGCAGACATCAAGAGGATAGAAGCCAGCCCCAAGCAAATAGTTCATGAGACCCTATCTCAAAAATAAAATCACAAAAAAGGGCTGATGGAGTGGCAGCTCAAGGTATAAGCCCTAAGTTCAAACCCCAGTACCACTACAATAAATAAATAAAAGAAAACCCACCAACTCCCTGGACTACGAGAAGCATCAAACCCAAATGAGGGAGGAAGAGAGGCAGAGCACAGACTAGAAGACAGAAATGAGGCCAGGGTGTGGCTCCAGTCCTAGCAAGCTCAAGGCACTGAATTCAAACCCCAGTACTGCAAAGAAAGAGACTGGGATGAGAACAGGTAAGATTCTCTGAAGGTGCTACCCGTGTGCTGAAGAGGAGGATATTTACAATGGAGAATGAACTTGTGAGCTAGAAGTTAGGGTCCCAGTACTCTCTCAGAACACAGCACCAAATACAGCAAGATGGAAAGGGGGAAACAGTCAAGCTGATGTGGAGAGGAAATTAAGAGAGGACTTTCAGCCTTCTGTGGGTTCACAGAACCCACTGTGAAAGCCACTGATGAACCTCAAACTGCACTGGGGGGCAGGTAGGGAACCCTTTAAAGCATTTCCCCTCACCTGCATATGCCAACTCCCCAGGACGTGAGCAGATCCCCCAGGTCCACCCCACCCAGGTCCTCCCACCCCAGACCTCAGCACCCTCACACGCACACAGACATACAGCCTCCACCCAGAGTCTGGACCCACTCTTTGGTTAGTTCAACAGCTCACACTCTTACCAGGTCCAGTACCAGAGGCAGAAGTGCAGCTGTACAGCGCAGAGGAAAAGAGGACTTCATTTCTGGGTTTTTTTTTTTTTTTTGCAGTGCTGGGGTTTGAACTCAGGACCTACACCTCCAGCCACTATACCAGCCTTTTTGTGATGGGTTTTTTTGAGGTAGGGTCTCATGAACTACTTGTGCAGGCTGGCTTTGAACTGTGATCCTCCTGATCTCTGCCTCCTGAGTAACTGAGATTACAGGTGTGAGCCACCGGCACCCAGCTTAATTTCCACTTTTCAGAGGAGACTATTCTGCGTGCTCTCTAAAGCAAAAGACTTGCCAATCAAATGATCCTCAAAAGGCCAGTACCTGGGGAGGGAGGAGGCTTTTCACACAATGGCACTTTTTCATCCTAGGGAGGAAAGACATAAGTGTGAGCAGAGTCGGAGCGAGGACCCAGGTACGCGCAGGTGTGTGTGTGCACGCACACTTTTCCCTGCTCGTTGGCTCCACTGGTCCCCACTTTGGTTCAGCTGCTTCATACAACTGAATCAGAAACCTTCAGGGCGCCCCCTGCTGGGCTCTCGAAGCAGGGAGGAGAGGGCTCTGGGAGCTCAGGGACTGTGTCAGGTGTGTCCTGTGCAGGTCCTGTGAGTGACAGGCCCAAGGCCCAAGGTTTACTTTCTAAACGAAGCACGTGACAGGGCTGTGAGAGCGAGAGTGGGCAGAGATGCACAAACGGCCTTTTTACACTGGGGTGTGAAGAAAGGACCTGGAAACTGCAGCAAAGCACGTTTTCAGAATGCCAAGAAAAGAAGCAGCATCTGATGTCAGTTCTCAACCAAAAGCAAGAAAGAGAAGCCTCGGTATGGGAAGCCAAAGGTGTCAGATGCAGAAAGACAAATGCAGAATCTAAAGAAAAAATAAAAACAAAAAGGCCCCAAGAAGCTGGAGGTGTGGCTCAAGCAGTAGGCCTGCCTTTCAAGCATGAAGCCCTGAGTTCAAACTCCAGCCCCACCAAAAAAAAGGAAAGAAAGAAAAAAAATGACATGATGGTGAAAGGGAGAATGTAGGAGAGAGGCACCGAGTGGGAGGGTGGGGTAAGCTGGTGGCAAACGTGACGCAAGTACATTACAGCCATGCATGGAGGCAGAAGAGTGAACCCCATCAAATCTGTAAAACCAAAAGAGAGGGGACAAGAAAGAGTAATAGAGGAAGTGATACGACCAATTTACAAGATATGCATATATACCGCGATGAAACGAAACTTCTTTGTAATTAATATATGCTAATTAAAGGATGGGAGAAGGCTTTTGTTAAATTTTCCCTTCCGTATTGGTGTGATATTAAACTCCCAACTTCTGCGGAAAAAGTAGGTAAGGTTATTAATTAACTCTACTCAGTTTAATTTTTTGTTGTTGTTTGTTTTTTGAGACAGGGTCTGGCTCTCTAGCCCAGGCTGGCCTGGAACTCGCAGTCCTCCTGCCTCAGGCTCCAAGTGCTGGGCTCACAGGGATGTTTATTTTTTAAATTCCTACCAGGTGACCCAAGTAAAAACTTTCAGGACTATTTCTATGTTTGCAAATTAAAATTAAATGGTCTATTAGCTCTAGAGATTATGTAAGTATAACCTTTTAAGACATCATATGCAGTACTAAACTCTGGGAAGTCCTGCTTCAAAAGTATTTCAAATGAAACTTTCAGTAGGAAAGAACTCTTATGGGAAGAGTCCCCTGCCCACATGGATCACAAGAGTGTTTAAAACCTGTGGTGCAAATTCTGTTTACAGAGGATCTAAAAAGAATGCACTTACCTTTAAATTCAGAACAGAGTGCTTACCATCTGATTAAAAAGAAAGAAAAAGAAAAAAGTGACTTTTAACAACAGATACGAAATTTGACAAACTCAGAAGTATACGATCATAGGAACTCAGAAACTCACCTTACAGATGAGCTGAACAAGGCCTGGTGGGACAGATGTGGCAAGCCCTCAGCAGGTCCCAGGGCAAAGCAGGAGCCTGGCTTGAGTCGCTCCCCCCATCTCTCTCTCATGCTCACCATGAGCACCTGCAGTGGCTCCCATGATCCCAGAGCCAAGGCCAAAGCCCTTCATGACCTCTCCAATCACTCATTCCCCTATCCTTCCGCACGTAGGCCATGGTTTGAACACTGCTCTGTCCACCCAGGGTACTGCTAGCATCCAACTCAATAGAAAACAGCTGTTCCCCAGGGCTAACTGCCTCAGGACCACACAGAGGACATCCAACCCTGCTGGTCTCATTCCCCGCCCACTGGCAGCTGAGGCACCCAGGAAGAAGGCGAGCCCAGGCCCAGGTGCCTGGACCCTGCCATGGTGAGGAGTCTGACATCTAGGCTGCTTGTAACTAACTGTCCACTACTGATTTGGATACTATAAAGAACTGCTGGAAAATAACAAGAAAGAAATTTGCAAACACTGAAAAGCCCTACAGAATGAAGAAACCCAACAAGCATGTTTAAAACACGCAGACAAGATTCTAAATCTACTTCCTGACTCATTAGAATTACTGACACTTGAACAACAAATCACCCAACAGCTTATTTTGAGCCAACAAGCCATCCTGATCAACAGTGTTGACCAAACTGCTTTCAGTAAAATGTCCCAGGGCAGCCTGGACGTCCTGCATGCACTGACACCTGGTGGAACCCAGTCCTGTCCTGTGTGTCCAGCCTTGTGAACCCTCCTCTCCAGGCCACCTTGTCACCAGGCAGGCACCGGGGATGCTCCCCTGCTCTGGGCCTCCTCATCCCTGCCTTACACCCCAGCTGGCAGTCTGCAATCTAATCTGTCCCTCGTCTTCCAGAACCGGACTGTGAGGGTAGAGGTACAGAGCTCTGTCACCTGTCACATGGGAGGTGCTGAGTAAATTTCTGATGAGGAAACGTTTAAAGTGATACGTGTTTTGCAGTTAGGGATGGAACCAGGGTCTTATATTCACTAGGCAAGTGCTGTGCCACTGAGCTATACCTTAGAAAATTTATGTCTTTTTTTTTTGTTGTTGTTGTTTTTTCCAGTACTGGGGTTTGAACTCATGGCCTTCACCTTGGGCCATTCCCCCAGCCCTATTTTTGTGAAGGGTTTTTTGAGATAGGGTCTTGAGGAACTATTTGCCCAGGCTGGCTTTGGACCTCGATCCTCCTGATCTCTGCCTCCTGAGCTGCAGGGATTGCAGGCACAAGCCACCAGTGCCCAGCTTAATAACAGTTTTTGAATTAGCCTTGGCTTGGCATCCCCTCCGTATTTGATGGAGTTTTTGTGAACAGCAAGAGCTGGCAGCTATGGAGCAGGGTGGCAGGGATGTGAGTGTGTCATTGTGCATTCTCTCCACTTTTGGACATGTTCAGAAGTGTCATCAGAGGAAGCTTTCAAGGGAGATTCACTGATTTCCCCAAGAAACCATCAGTTTGCTCTGCTCTTGGTCATCAGCATCTCAGCAAAGAGCCTGAAGAAGATTAAACTGCCGTTCTCACCACATCAAGGCCACTTTTTCATTTCACGTGCACGCTGGGCCCTCTGGACGTTCACTTCCTGTTTTCTTACCTGACATTTCTCAAAAAGCCCACCAGAGCCCTCAGCTTTCTCATTTCCACTACTTGTGTGGGTGAGTAACAAGGAAGGCTCCACGCCAGGCATCTAAAGATGTATCTTTAGAGAAAATTCACACGCCACAAACACATCCCTTCTGTCAAAAGTTCTAACAATACACACAGCTCAAAACTCTGCCGTGCTGGAGGTGTGGCTCAAGTGGTAGAGTGCCTGCCTGGCAAGCACTACAGCTCTGAGTTCAAATCCCAGTACTGCCACAATCACAAGCCTTTCCCTGCCTAGAGGTAACCTGGTTATCAAGTGCATGTTTCCTTTTGGAAGTATCTGAATGTGTAAAAGTCAAATGGACACAGCCCCCTCTCCGCCCTCCACCTGTCCACACAAGAGAGCTTACATGGTGGGGAGGGAGAATGGCACACACAGAGGTCCAGTGGCAGGTGGGGACATCATGAAGGTGAGGAAGGAAACAAACACAGAGGGACTACAGAAGGTCAGCTGGAGCCAGGCCTGGCACAGAAAAGACTGAGCCAAGAGGGCATGGGTGCATGGGGTGGGAGGAGACACCACCAGGCTCATATTTTTAAAAGAGCCGGGCACTGGTGGCTCATACCTGTAATCCCAGATACTCAGGAGGCAGAGATCAGGAGGATCACGGTTCGAAGCCAGTCCTGGCAAATAGTTTGTGAGACCCTATCTCTAAAAATACTCAACCAAAAAAACCCTTCACAACATCACCAAAAAGGGCAGGTGGAGTGGACTCAAGGTGTAGGCCCTGAGTTCCAACCCCAGTACTGCAAAAAAAAAAATGGCTGTGAGTCAGGCACAGGTGGCCCACGCCTATAATCTTAGCTACTTGGGAGGCTGAGATCAGGAGGATGGAGGTTCAAGACCAGTCAGGCCAATAGTTTTTGAGACCCCATCTCAATGGAAAGAAGCTGGACATGGTGACTTGCACCTGTCCATCCCAGTGACAGCAGGAAGCCTAAAAATAGGAGGATCGTGTTCCAGGCCAGCCTGGGCAAAATCCACGACCCAACCTCCAAAATCACCAGGGCAGAAAAGGAGGGCTAGAGTGGTAGAGCATCTGCCTAGCAAGTCAAAGGCCTGAGTTCAAAGCCCAGTATAAAAAAAAAAAAAAAAAAAAAAAGATGGCTCTGGCTGCGATCATGATGCGAAAATACACTGGGCCTCCATTTATACATCCACCTCTGCTGGTTGAGTGGAGGGATGAACAGACTCAAATAATAGCACGTGTGTGCCTGCCGTCACCAGCTGGGAGAAACAACAAACAGTGTGTGAAGCAGGGTGGGTAAAGGCAGGGGGCAGAGCTTGGGGAGTAGAGAAAAGGGCCAAGACTGGGCCTAGGAGACATGTAGGGGCAGGTAGAGAAAGAGGAGCCTGTCAAGGAGATGAGGGGCAGCCAGGGAGGGGAGGACACATGAGATGTGAGTGGTCCCTTGGAAAGTTCCTAGCCAGTCACTTAAGAGGGAGGCAGAAAATCACAGCTGTGTCCGTGTCCATGTCCAATAAGGAAAGGGACAAGTGTGGGGAGATGTGTCAGGTGACACCGTAGGACATGGAAGAGAAAGAGAAGCAGCAGTGGGCAGGGACTGTGGAGCCAAAGATAAGGAGCCAGAACACAAGAGGGGAGCAGCACCCAGGAGCAACCGCAGCTGTGACCACAGAACTGGTACCTTGACCAAGGGACCTGCGAGTCTGGTCTCCCTGGCAGGGATCTGGCTGGAGTGCATCAAGATGTCAGGCTGACAGGACTTCAGTTTTCGATAAAACTACCACTCTGGGTGGAAAACGCTGGGCTCAGGTATGACTTAATTTTTACTCGTGGTACTCTAAGAGAGGATCTCAGACTGAGTAGAGGAGGGCATGTAACTCAGCCAAGCTGCTTGTCACCTGGAAACGTCAGACTCAAGAACCAGCCACTAGAAGCCAGTGTTCCTGATCTGTTGGCCATGGGTCACCACCTTGGATTCCCTGGTGTTGGTTAGAAATACGGAGCTCAGGGTCTCAAGGGACACTGGAGGAGAAAGGGCTTGGCCTCCCCCTTCCTCCCTCCCTCTCACCCTCCCTTCCCTTCCTGCTTCCTTCCTCCTTCTCTTCTTTTTTTCTTTTCCATTTGGTGGCCAGCAACATGCAGCACCTCCCCACTGGTGACACCCCTTGGTGGCCTGCCCCAGAGAGCAGTGCCTCAGCAAAGCTCTTCATCAGCAGGCCATGCCACACTGTCCCCAAACAAGCCCTTGATCTCCACTCTGGGGTGGCCCCTCCAGGCAGCCTCTTCCTCCTCCTGCACTCTGCCTCAGTCCTAGAGATAATGGCTGAGCCTTCTATCTGCTATTCCTACATTCTGGAGAGTTCTCTTTACCCCTTGGGTGGGCAACCCTATTAGATGAATCATTCTTTAATCTTCCCCTGTTCAAATCACTACACAGGTTCTGCTTCCTGATTGAATCTTGAGTGGTGAGTGACAAACCCCGCCACAAGGCAGATGTTAGAAAGGGAGGAGGACCACACGCGTGGACACGGGAAGCTATCCAACTAAACTGTGAGATAAAAATGGTAGGGAAAAAACAGCGTGTACTTTGTACATGTACACGCTCTGAAGGGCTGAAAGTACTTATGGAGTACGACTTTTATGTGGTTAGCTTTACATATTTCCGTAGAGTGTTTTTTTTTTACAATGAATTTAATACTAGTTTTTATTAATGAACTCAGTTGGGGGAATGCTGGGGGTTAAACCCAGAACCTCATATACTCTACCACTGACCTACACTCTCAGCTACATTTACTAATACTAATTAATATCAAAACCATGTCAACCAGCTGGGCATGGTGGCACCCGCCCATAATCCCAGCATTTAGGAGGCTGAGGCCGGAGGACTGCATGTTTGAGGACAGCTACATCGTGAGAGCCTGGCATTCTGCATTCCATCAGGACCTTCTAAACGGATGGACATGAAAGTGTGCCAGGGCCCAAGCAATTCTGAGGTCATGACAGAGCATTCCTCTTGCCCTCTGCATGCCAGGCTCTTCCTCACTTTGTGAACACAGGCCATCTTGTAAGAACCTCAAAACTGCTTCTTACCTTTGCTATAATGCACCGAATTCTCTCACTGTGCCAAATAAAACACATAAAGACAGGTGATGCACACCTGCAGAAACACACCAAGGTACTCAAGCATCTAACAGGCCCTTCACTGATGGCCCTATGGCCAGGCCCTGCTCCAGGCGCTGGACAAGTGTGGCAACCCAGTGACATGACCTTGTCCTCATTCCAATTGCAGAGGGAAAGGGTGTGTAGGATGTCACTGCCTCAGTACCTGCTCTCTGCCCCACATGTCCTCTCATGGCCCAGAGAGCAGGCTAAAGGGGTTCTAAAGAGAGCACCCTATGTTTTCAAGGCAACCTGACAACTGGGAATTGTCTGTAGAAGAACTGACTTGTGTTGAGGATAAAGTTCAAGTCTAGATCTGGTTAAAATCAGAGCCGCAGTACAGTGGTGCAATGGTGCCAATCTGGTGACTAGTGTTTATATCACAAAACACTCTTATGTTTAACATACATGTACTCGTTTACCTTTCGGTTGTGTATGCTGCAGGGTAAGCTGTGAGATGCCTGAAAGCCCATCGTGCTCAGAAACATTCTCCTCGTCTTCACTGTCCTCTTCATGTGACAATAGCACCTTTTTGTTACAAAAGACAGAGGCAAACACGGGGTAAGTGTTGCCTGTGTAGAACATCTTAGCTCTCACCTTCCCCACCGCTACCCCCCCCCCAGCAACTAAGCTGCTTTCCAGAATGAGATTAAAAGGCTCCATCCAGAGGGTGGGGAAGAAACCTCCTGGCCTCATGAAAAGCCTGGTGACCAGGACAAGGTCATTCAAGTTCAGCTTAGGTCTCAGAGAGCTTCATGTCCTGCTCATGCTACCCAGGGCACTTCCCTTCTGCATGCCTGTCAGGGACCCACTCGGGGAAAGGGGCTGCCTCTCACCCACTCTGCACAACACCCCATACCACTCCAGCCTGGTGTCTACACTGTGGTATCTATCTCTCTGTGGGAATGTCACCCAGGCAACAGCTAGGAGGGCTGCCCATCAGCGCAATTCCACTGTGAGCGTGTTTCCTGATGGGAGGGAAACCTCTGCTCCACTGTCTGTTACTATTAATTCATGCAGGTTATCATGCACAGTGGCAGGGCCCTGCTGACGAGGAGAAATTTCTGGTGGCAGGGCTCTGGGGGACAGGGACAAAGTGTGCCCAAGACAGAGCAGCGAAGCAGATCCTGCAAACCAGAACTGGAGCTCCCCAGGTCTGCTCCCTTCTGCTTCCCTGATTCCTAGTTAAGTCTTGCTTGTGATCAGCCTGGGCCAGCAGTCTCCACTTGGCTAGATGACTTTTTTTCTTTGAGACAGACTCTCACGATGTAGCTGTCCTCAGACATGCAGTCCTCCTGCCTCAGCCTCCTAAGTGCTGGGATTATGGGTGCGTGCCACTATGCCCAGCTAGGTGGCATAGTTTTTGATATTAATTAGTATTAATACATGTGGCTGGGGGTAAAGGCCAGCCAGTAGGCCTTTCCCTGTCTGCCTGTGGCACCTGTCATGCACTCTTTTGTCCCCTCCCTGGGTAGAGCCTGGACTTTAAAGAGCAAAGCATATACATGCTATAATTTCCAGGGTAGCTTCTAGAATAAAAAGAGTACAATTTCCAAAGTATAAAGGAAAGAAATAGAACAACTGAAAACAAAACATCAATCCAAAAGAAGAAAGGTGAGAAGAAAAGACACTATACAATACCAGCATAGCTGGGAGGGGAGGGGAGTGTTTGCCTAATAAGTGCGAGGTCCTCAGCTCATTCCCCAATACTGGGGGGAGAAAAGAAAAAGGAAGGAAAAAATGTATAATATGTAGGAAAAGGAAAATACAATGTAAAATTTAAACTCAAATCTATCTGCATATTCACTAATATCAAAGGACTAAATCAAAGGGCTGACAGAGCTCAGTGGTAGAGCACTTGCCCAGCAGATGCAAGGCCCTGGGTTCCATCTCTAGCTCCACACATACCAAAAAAGCCAACCCTACTAAAAGGACTAAATCTTCCAGTTAAAAGACAAAAACAGGGAAGGGGGAAACCTATAATTCCAGCACTCAGGAGGCTGAAGCAGGAGGACCACGAGTTCCTCACCAGCCTGTGATACACAGTGAGACTCTGTCTCTAAAAAAGAAAGAAGGATAAAGATTTTTTAATTGGGTTAACAAAAACTATATGCTACATTGAACTGTATATGTTATTGAAATGGGAAAATCCTTTGATCTAGAGATTACATGTCACTAAACACAGTTTTTAAAATGATATGCTATCTGTAAGACACATCTACATATAAGAATATAGAAAGGCTGAAGAAACAACAACAAAAAATTTTAAAAGATAGACAGGCTAAAATTAAAGAATGGAAAGAAACTGACTATGAAAACAGGAAGATGGGAAGTGTTGGTCAAGACAGGTATTAAGGCAGACGCATTTTCAGTGACAAAGACATTCACTTCACAGTGACACAATTACCAGGAAGGTGTGATTTTAGGTCTGTATATCCCTAACAGTAGTCATATGCAAGAATGTGTGCCTATGATTTCACACCTATAAAGATGGAAAATGTACAAAACTAATCTGTGAGGTCAGAAGTCTTCTGTACTTGGGAATGAAAGAGAGAGAGCACAAAACCTGGCAAAATCGCAAGAAAGCTGCAGTGTGCAGCCTTGTGAGTGGACGACTGGGATGGCTCAGAGCCAGCCATGATCAACTTAGTAATCCAGCCCACAGCCACCCCAGCACATGTCCAGACGCCCTCCCATGTCAGCAATGCTACCATAACAAGCTACCCAAAATGCATTACGTGGCCGTTAGAGGCTGAATGGCCTGAGGGTGGAAAGACCTCTACCTTGGGGGGAAGACCGATGAGAACGTGTGAGCAGGAGCTGTGAACCAAAGACTAACCTGAAACGGCAGTTTTCATGAATAAGATTCAAGGACCTCCTGGGTCTGAACTTGTCACCTTAGGATGAACTCTCAGTGCTTCCTCACCTGCTGCATGGAGGAGACCCTGGAAATTGGTGTGCTCGCACATTGGTGGGGTGCGATGCCTTACTTGCAGTCATGGCCTTCTGATACCAGAGAGGTCAAGTGCATGCAGAGGCACTGGCACTGGTAGAGCAGACTCAGTGTCTGAGTACACACAGACACACACGCGCAGCACACACAGTGAAAATGTCTGTCTGCACACAGATGGACATGTGTAAACGCAGACAGGGACACTGCAGGAGGGTCCATTGCCCACGTGGCAGGCCCGCCCACAGCATGGCCCACCCAGCCTCCAGTTTCCCCTTTTTACTTTCCTAAGAGGATGCTGGTTAGTGTCGGTGCTGGTGGTCTCAGCCCTAGGCTATGACTCCCTTAGTGAAAGGTGTTCAAGAGATGGGGATGTGACCACTCAGCCTCTTGCTGAAAGGCTTCCAGAAAAAAAAAATGGTCCTAATAAAAAAAAAGTACAGTCTAAGGAGAAAGACCTACCCCCACCTCTTCCTTTCTGCTTTGGGACCAGGACCTCCTGTAACCACTGTGACCATGAAGAGAAGGCCAAGGGAATCCGAGGTCAAACACTGAAACCCCTACCTCTTCATGGCAGCTCAATCATCGTAATTCCTACCTCTTGGCTTTATTACCAGAGGGGTGAATGTCTATATATAAGCCGTACTCTGTTATTTTTGTCTACTCCATTATTTGCAGCCAAAAATAGGAGGGAGCATCAGACTGACCACAGATCTCTCCTGGGGCGAAGAGGACCAGGAGAGGAAGGGAAGGGCTTCTTCGGAGGGTTCTGGTTATGACTAGTATCTAAGTTCTTGTAAGAAGTGTGGATCATGAATTACTCATGCAATGAAAAGGAAATTGTAAAATGAACATTTAAAACTCTGGACAATCCTTGCTCTCAGCAAGAAAAGAACGCCCAGCATTCTTGGCATACAGAGATTCTCCCACTGGTAGGACAGGTTCAGTCGTGTACTCACACAGACAGACGGTGGAGAACATTTAGACTAGTAACAACAGCATCACTCCATCAGTGTGCACCACCATGCCAACTCTGGCCACCATCGGTTTCCAGACAGAACCGGTCTGCCTGCTCTGGGATTGATCTCTCAGAATCTGGTACATATTCAATATCAGCTTGTCACTGGCTGGCTGAAAAAACATATGGAGTCTTATGCCAAGATGCTCTGCAAATCCAAACACAGCAACAGCGGAGACACACAATAGAAGAGCTTCCATGATACCTACTGGGGAAAGGCTGCTGGATGCTACACTCTCCTCCCTTCACACCCACTGAGGTCAATCAAAGGCATGGAGAAAAGAAAGGAAGCCTGGTCAATCCCAGTCCATGAGGTGTTGACTGAATCTATGAAATCTGGAACAAAGGAAGAATGCTGACGAGAAAGAACGCTCACACACTCACACTTATACCTCTTCCTTTATGTTGGGGACCAGGACCTCCCACAACCACTGGAGACCACAAAGAGGAGGCCAAGGGTATCTCAGGTACCAGCTAACCCAAACCCCAAACTCCTCAGACTTCAGGCCGAGTGCAGGTGCTCCAAATACCAGCACCACAGTCACAAAGGTCCACAGTGCTCCCTGACAGGTGCAATGAGATCAAGTGTGTGGAGGGTCCCAGGAGAAGGACAGTCACCCCACAAGCAGCAGACGGGGGAGACGCCAACAGGAAGTGCTGTGCACAGCCCAGCCGACATCCTCTCTGAGAATAACACAGCACGCACACAAACATAGACGGCCCAAAGCAAGCTGTAGGGACGTAGCTCAGTAGTAGAGTAGCTGCCTAGCAAGCATGAGATCCTGAGTTTCACCTCCAGCACAGCAAAAACAAACAAACAAACAAAAAGAGATTCTGGAGGCCAAGAAAAGCAGTAAAGCGGCAGCAAGCTATGAAAAGTAAAAGAGCAAAAACCAAAACATAGATAGAACATGACAACCGATGGGAGCGGAAGACCACAACAGAAGAAATAAAGCATGGTGAGAGCTGGGAGTACACAAGAAGCATCACACAGGGTGGTGTTGGAAGGAAAAATGGAGGGCCCTACAGTTTGGATGCTGAACGTCCCCCAGAGGCTCATGACCCTGGTCCCCAGGGTGGCACCACTGGGGGTGGGGAGAGCTTTAGGAACCAGAGCCCTGTGGCAGGTTTCTAGGTCACTAGGAGTGTCCCCAAGGGAGGTGAGGGCCTGGCCTGACCCTCACACGCCTGGCTTTCAGCCCTAATTTGAGCACTTTGCTCACCACATGCTCTTGGTCACTGTCACATGGCAGGTCCCCAGGCGACCCAAGGCAATGGGTCCACCCAGTCTTGGACTGGGAGCTCTGATACTGTGAACCAAAACAAACTCTCTGATTTGTGTTTGTTTTGTGGGGTGCTGGGGAGTGAGACGGGGTCTCCCTATGTAGTCCAGGTTGGACTTAAATTTACAATCCTCCAGCGTTGGGCTCCTGAGTACTGGGATTGTAGGTGCCACCATGCCCAGCATACCCTTTTCTCTTCATGAGTGAATTATCTCAGATATTCCACTGTAGTGGCGGAAAGAGGATGGACACCAGGCACAGAAAAAGAGCTACAGAAGATGAATTAAGGAGATCCAACAAATGCATCACAGGGGCTCCCAAAGGAGAACAAAACAAACAGGTAATATGATTATTCAAAGACGAAACCCAGAGCCGGGCGCCGGTGGCTTATGCCTGTAATCCTAGCTACTCAGGAGGCAAAGATCAGGAGGATCATGGTTTGAAGCCAGTCCCAGGCAAATAGTTCACGAGACCCTATCTGGAAAAAACCCATCACAAAAAAGGGGTGGTGGAGTGGCTCAAGGTGTAGGCCCTGAGTACTGCATAATAAAAAGAAAACAAAAACTCACAAAAGAACTCCTCCAAATAAGCTTCTTAGCCCATTAAAAATATGCTTTAACATAGAAGAGGAGGGCTGGCAGAGTGGCAGTGGCTCAAGTGGTAGAGCACCTGCCTAGCAAGTGTGAGTCCCTGAGTTCAAACCCTGGTCCTGCAAAAAATAAATACAAACAAAAGAACAAAAACAAACAAAAAACATAGAAGAGGATAACCAATATAATCAGTATAAACGTAGCTCAATGCTGTAAGGCCGTGTGCTATGAATAACTTACAGGATGGTGAAAAACAGAATGGAAAAAGCGATTGTGGTGTGGCCTCTTGCCAGTGAAGACATGGCACTATGTGGTTTGCACAGCCCTGGGAGCACAGTCCACAAATAAGGAGCAGCACAGCAGCTGGTGATCCAGGGCAGAGGCGAGAACTTGCAGAGCCGGTGGGGCATCGGCTGAGACAAATGCACATGGGGTGAGCATCAAACACTGTTGGCTACTATCGAGAAACACAGGACATACTCTTCTCGTCAGCAACAATTTGAACAAAGAGTGCAATGTATAGAGTGGCACCAGAAAACAGAGAGGAAATGATCTTTCTGGGTCAAACAGCAGGATTACTAGCTTCTCATAGACATCACATTAACACCACAAAGAAGGGCGAGGAATGGTGGCTTATGCCTGAAATCCAGATATTCAGGAGGCAAAGATTGGGAGGACTGTGGTTTGAGACCAGCCTAGGCAAAAAGAGACCCCATCTCAACCATGCCCCATCTCTGGGTATTATGATAGCCCAAATATGCAAGAAGCATAAATAAGGGGATAGCAGTCCAGAATGGCGTGGGCATAAATGCCTAAAGCAAAAAGGATGGGAGGCGTGACTCAAGTGCTGGACTGCTTTCTTAACAAATGCAAGGCCCTGACTTCAAACTCCAGTACTGCCAGTTGCCAGGGCTCACACCTGTAATCCTAGCTACCTACTTAGGAGGCAGGAATCAAGAGGATCACCTCTGGGCAAATAGTTTGAGAGACCCTATTTCAAAAATATCTAACACAAGCCAGGTGCCAGTGGCTCACACCTGTAATCCTAGCTACTCAGGAGTTCAGAGATCAGGAGGATCGCAGTTTGAAGCCAGCTTGGGCAAATAGTTCATGAGACTCTATCTCAAAAAACCCTTCACAAAAAAAACCCAAAAAAAGGACTGGTAGAGGGGCTCAGGGTGAAGGTCTTGAGTCCAACTCCAGTACCACAAAAAAAGAAAAAAAAAAAAAATCCAACACAGAAAAGGGCTGGTGGAGTGATTCAAGTGGCCTAGCAAGCATGAGGCCCTGAGTTCAAAACCCAGTGCCATCAAAAACAGAAAACCTAAATTGAAAGAAATCAAGTGCAGAATAGAGAAGAGGAGGTACTTCCTCATGCACTTTGTACACCTTAGAGTACGTTAATGTCACATGTGCAGATCACCTGGTTTCTGTGTGACACCGCGTATATAGCGCCTCTGCAAGCTCCCTCGTCTTTCCTGGTGCTGCCAGCCCCTGACTCCTTGGTGCTGCTGGACGCCTGGGTTTCAGTATCCTCTTCTTCACCAAAGCCCAGTGTTTCAAAGGATGGTAGAGAAGTTTTTCCCATCTCAGTCTGCCAGCTTGGCCTATATCAAGTGTTAAAGAGTAAAATGAACAAGCACGTTAGGTGAACACTCCACCACTGACCTACACTTCAGCCCCGTGGAGGTTTCACTACATGAACAATACAGAAAGCTGGAGGAGTGGTTCCAGTGGTAGAGCATCTGCCTAGCAGGTGTAAGGCCCTGAGTGCAATCCCCACAGTAATACCAAAATAAACTAATAAATAAAATAAAACAACACACCAGGACTTTTATGTGAAAAAAAAAAAAAAAGGAAGTGAATAGATACAACAGTTGAAAGGTGAATTTGAGCCAGGTGTGGTGGCATACACCTGTAATCCCAGCATTTGGGAGGCCGAGGCAGAGGATTTCCAGTTTGAGGCCACCCTAGGCTGATGAGACCCTGTCTCAGAAAAGGAGGGGAAAAAAAGGAAATTTGGTATACTATCCCACCCTATGAGCCCTAAAAACCTGTCAGTGTCTTCCTGCACTCCAAGGGGACATACCAAACTTCTGAGCAGATGAAAAGGCTACCTCTGCCTGGATTCCACTCACACCCCACCCGTCTCCCATCACTCTGCACTGTGTGGGAGCTGTCCCAGGCACACTCATCTTCTTTCAGGGCTCACACGTGCCACGCTCCCAGTTATCAGCTAACTCACTCATTCCAAATGCTTCCCAATCTTTCTTCCCAGGGAGGAAACCTTCCTGACCCTCTAGTCCTATGTCAGCTCAAACCCAGCGGGCACAATAAAGAAAACCCTGTTACAGCAGAAAACAGGCTCCAGCACAGTCCTAAGGAAGGGGGAGCTAGCATGACTGCTCAGAGGAGAGTCGTGAGAACTGGTGCGGGAGAACCCTCTCCCTCAAGGAGTGCACAGGAGCCCTACTGAGGGCTAAACACAGCACCAAGATCTCTGATTCTGTGCTCCATGAAAATGAACAACCAGTGCTTCTACAAGTGAAAATCAAGCAAGATCCACTCGTGAGAAAATTCTGATTCAAGAGCAATTAACAGAAATTGGGGCATGGTATAAGTGGTAGAGCGCAGAAAAAGAGACAGACCGAGACAGATACAGAAAGAAGGAGAGAAAGAAAGACAAACATAAAGAAAGAAAGAAAACAGAAAGGCAAGGAAAAAACAAGACAGAAAGAGAAAGACAGACAGAAAGAGACAAAGAAAGACAGAAAGACAAAAGATAGAAAGAATGAAAGAAAGAAGGAAAGACAAAGACAGAGAAAGAAAGGTAGGGAGAAAGACAAAAGGAAGTCAGGAGGAGAGAAAGACAGAAAAAAAGAAAATAAAAAAAGACAGAAGAAAGAAGAAAAAAAGAAGGAAGATGGAAAAAAGCAAAGAGCAAGCAATGAAGGCCCTGGACAGAGTCCATTTGAGGCCAGCCACGAGAGCCTGCTGACCCTTATCGTTAATACGTGTCCTGGTGTGAACACACGGTGATCATACCAAGCTGCTCCTCTGCCTAAAGGAAGCACAACCAGCAATGCGTCCCTACCGAAGCCTCAGCTCTGAGGTGGTGGCATAGGGCTCGATGAAGCTGGCCTTGTCATCGGAGGAGATGTCACTCTCGGACCGGGATCTCTGGCGAGGCTGGGGTATGGCAACGGTCCGTCCAGTCAGGGTAGTTGACAGAATGGCTGCGGCGAGGGCAGACCTGTGGACAGAACATCCCGGGGAGGCAGTGAGCCGGGGCATTCAAGGTGAAGGCCGGACCCCAGGGTTCCCTCCTGAGCCAGTGTCCACTGACAGCCACTGGCTGTGTGCCCAAGGCTACTGCACCAGGAGACACCCACACTCCAGTCTCTTTTGCTGTTTTTTTGATGGCAATGGGGCTTGAACTCAGGGCCTCATGCTGCAGCGCCTGAGGTGCAGCGCTCTACCACCTGAGCCACTCCACCAGCCCTTTGATTCTCATATGCACTGCATGAATCAATATTACTCTCATCCCATTTTCATAAAAATGGAATGACTTATAAAGACTTCCTAGCCATCAGGAAGTGGAGCCAGGTATCTAACCCAGGCAACCAGACTCCAAAGTCTATTTGAAAAACTATTCTTACTAAAATGAAAGAGCAGAATGGAGAAAAATGAGATACAAAAACACATAAATGGGACTGGCAAAGAGGCTCAAGTGGTAGAGCGCCTGCCTAGCAAGTGTGAGGCCCTGAGTTCAAACCCCAGTACCGTCAAAAAAAAAAAAAAAGACCCAAAAAGTTAAGCAGGTCAAGGCCATGGGTCTGATCCCCAGCACTGCAAGACAAAACAAAACATCCGCAAGGACTGGAGGTATGACTCAATTGGTAGAGTGCCTGCTTTGCAAGTATGAAGCCCTGAGTTCAAACCCCAGTACTCCAAATAAAACAAAAACAAAAGTAAATCCCAAAACATCCGCAAAAGACTGGGTTCAGGGAGCTTACAGACAGTCAAATAGGTGGGGGCTTCTGGGAAGGTGAGGGACATATCTACATGCCAGGTACACCCCAACTCCACGGGACAGAGACTCCTGAGTGCAGAACCCTTCCAGCCTTGCCCTGTGTATTTCTTCACCTGGCTGTCTATGCCCTTTACAAAATCCTTTATAGCTGGGCATGGAGGCTCACGCCTGCAATCCCAGCACTCTGGGGGCTGAGGAAGGAGGATCACCGGTTTGATGCCAGCCTGGGCTATACTGCAAGGCTCTGCCACAAAGCAAACCCAAATATAAAATATTGTTTGTAATAAGCTGATGAACACGTGTGAACGGAAGTTCTCTGAAGAAGCCGAATCCGGAGTGAAGGGTCTGCAGACTATGAACTTGGTGACTGTGGAGAGGAGGGTGTTCCAGACCGAGCCCAGACGACCTTGGCTATCTCCATTCCCCATCATAGCCATTGGCCCCCACCTCTGGCCCGAACCCCCATGCCCTTGACGTCAGGTAAAAGTTTTGGAACGCACTGTTCAACTTGAACCTTAAGCTCAGAATGTCACAAATCAGTGTCTGAACCCACGGAGGAGCTTCCAGCTCTGCTGCGACCCATCACCGGATGGCCCGCCACTGTGCTACATAGATGCGCTGATTTCTGACTGTCTTGTGCACTGTGACTATAAAAGTTCACATCACCCCTTCCTCGGGAGAACATGTCATTCAGAGTAACCTAAAGGTGTGCTCCAGGCCCATGGTCACCCGTATTTGTCTCGAACCGGCTCTCTCTTATTCCCTTTGCAGCAAAAGCCGTTTTGAGCTGTCGTGTTTCTCTGTGATCTGTGAGTCCCTCTAGCAAATTAATCAAACGTAAAAGGGGGTGGAGGGAGCCCTGGGTTGAAGGTGGTAGGTGAGAAACACAGGCAAACAGACTGGGCCCGTGACTGTCGTGTGAGGTGAGGGGGTCATGAGCCCTCGTGGGCAGCACACAGACTGAAGTGGGAAAGTGCAGTCTTAGGACTGAGCCCTCCAGCTACGGACCTCACAGTCTCCAGGTGGACAGCATCAGAACGCCACTGGATTAGTGGACACCCAGCGGATAACATTTTGAAAGACATTCAACCTTATAAGTAAGCTGTTTTAGGGGTAGGAGTTATGTGCTTCTCTGGAAAACACCATTATTGGGCACTGTGGGTAAAAATGAACGTTTCTCCCAATTGAAAACGGTGATAGATGGGAGTAATTCTACGACATGCACACTCAGTTAACAGTGGGTGTCCACTGCAGAATCAATGGCTCTCCTGCTGGTGGGGAGAAGCGCCACACCTGTCAGAATCGTAGAAGTGATGTGTGCTGACTGGTGCTGAGTTGGATTTTTTTCTATGGCCTCAGAACTGCACATCCATTAGACTGCCATCTTAAAACCTGACAAGACACTCCCTTATAGAGCGCCTGGCAGAATGACTCCTGAAACACAAGGGGCAAGAAGTGCCACTGTGCCAACAACAAGGGGGAGCACACCACCAGCATGGAAATCCTGGAAACCCAGGAAACAGCCCCGTGGGCACGCAGAGACCTAAAGTTACCATGAGAGAAGGAACAACAGACACAAGCATGCGCACGAGGCTCCACACAGCTGTCCTGGCTAAAACAATAAGGCACATCTCATACCTATCTGTAGGGTGGCCCAGAAAGGAAATAAGGATGAAGATGCACCAAGGCTGACCTGGAACCCTTTCTGCCATGGTCCCTTGAGCGCTGGGATTACAGACACGTACCACCATGCTCTGTTTACAAAGCAGTTCTTTCAAAAGGCAGATTTGTGTCTAAAAAGAAAATTATGTGCATGATTTATAACTGTCTTTAAAGTACCATTAACCTGGCTGGGCATGTAGTTCAGTGCTTAGCATGCCTCAGGCCCTGGTTCAACCCCTAGTACCAAAATAAAATATAAATAAAGTACCAGAGCCAAGCATGGTGGTGCACACCTGTAATCCCAGCACTTGAGAGGCTGAGGCAGGACGATCAAGAGTTGGAGGCCAGCCGGGGCTACATAGTGCAGACCCTGTCGAAATAAATAAATAACATAACATAAAATAGCCTGCTAAGCTGAACTCCTGGGCCTCAGTGCTTTGCATTTTGAACTTACTGATTGCACGCCTCATGGTGTGTGAGATGCCTTGCATCTGAAAGGGTAGCCGGCGTGCACGCCGCTACCCCAGAGCAGCCAGGCCCTATGCACCAGGAACTGTGGCGAGCAGTTTACAGGGCAGGGCTCCAGCCACCCAGTTGTGATTTTCCAGCCATCTGAACAGTTCCGGGCTCCAGCACCTGGCCCCTCAGTGCTGCTCCTCTGACTCACCTTGGTCTCTCTGGAGACGGGTTAGGGCTGCGGGGAGGAGGTGTGCGGGGCACAGCTGGCTTTGGAGCAATGCTGGCTGCAGGCAGGAAGCCATGGATGATGTGTCTCTGCACAAACGAAACCCAGCAGAGGTCACTGGCATGGAGGGTCGCCTGGGTCCTTGTCACTACCACCACCTCCTAGACCACCAACCCAGAAGCTCCATTCTTCCCCCCATCCCCTATTCCCCTGTCTGGCCAGGGGGATAGAGATGCCATCACAGCTGCCCACCAAGGAGGCCAGCTTTTTCCCTTCCTACTTCCTTCCTCAGAGCAGCTTTCCTGATCATGCCCCAGAGCCACCCACCCTCAGCCCCTGCACTGGTCCTACAGCACCGCCCCCTCCCCCAGCGGTGTCTCCCATGCCTCCCCCTGCAGAGCATGGTGACTACCCGAGAAGCAGGTGCCTTTCTTGTCTTTTTTGTTTTGTTTTGTTTTGCTTTTTGGTGGCACTGGGGTTTGAACTGAGAACTTTGCATTTATGAAGCAAGTGTTCTACCCCTTGAGCCACCCCTCCAATTTGCTCTGGTTATTTTGGAGATAGGGTCTCATGAACTATTTGCCCAGGCTGCCTTGAACCGTGATCCTCCCAATCTCAGCCTCCAAGTAGCTAGGATTACAGGAGTGAGCCACTGGTGCCCGGCTGCCTTTCTCATGTTTACCAATCCTGCCATTCTAGCCTGAGAACACTGACCACCAGCTAGGAGCTCAGTGAAGATTTGAGGTGGCGATCTCAAAGGAAAACAAGATCCTACACACAAGTTGGAGAGAACCATGCTGGGGGTAACCAGGGTTCCGTCAGAAGTTTCTGGAACTTGCCCAGTCTCCATTTCTGGGCATTTGCCATTCGTTCACACCTACTAGCCTACTAGGCGCAGGACACCATTGCAACAAGGAAGACACCTGGTCCTCAGTTATTGTTAGAACACAGGGCTCTGGAGTGTGCTGGGGGCGCGGGGAAGCAAAGGAGGCTCGAATGCTCCCCGGGGCGACATTTAGGAGGGGCCTTCAAAGACGGCCATGGCTCCCACATTTGTACTGTGATAGCAGAACATTCTGGGACGAGGCATAGCACAAGCAGGGAAGGGAGCAGGGCGCTGATGGCAGTGCCCTGCAAATAACAAGTGCTCCAGTGCTGGGCTAAGCACTCAATACCCAGAAGTCACCTAGGAGGGAGAGGCTAGGGCAATGGGCTGGAGGTGAAGGCAGGAATTACCCTCACATTGCCTAGCAAGGACCCTTTCAAAGTGCCCCCTGCACCCACTACGGGTCAGTGGTGGGCACTGTGGAGCTGGGGGGAGGGCAGCAGTGAGGATGGGGTCTTCCTGGTTCTACCCACAGGAGCAGGCCTTCTAAAGTAGCCTCCACCATAGCCTTTGGGTGGTGCCTACCATCCTGCATTTGTCATGTCTGCCTCCTCCCTCAACCTCCCCACCCCCTAGGACAAGACATGTTCTCTTCTCTTTATTTCTTTTGCAATGCTGGGTTTTGAACTTGGGGCCTACACCTTGAGCCACTTCATCAGACATTTTTTTGTAGTCGGTTTTTTCGAGGTAGGGTCTCACAAGCTATTAGGCTGGGCTGCTTTGGACCGCAGTCCTCCTCATCTCTGCCTCCTGAGTAGCTAGGATTACAGGCGAGAGTCAGTGGCACCCAACACGTTTTCTTCTTAACTTTTGAATCCCCAGGGGCTGGCATCCACTAGGTCCCCCAATAAGACTCATTTTTTTTTTTTTCTTTTGTGAAAGGATCTCCCTATGTAGCCCAGACTGGCCTAAAACTTGAGCTCCTACTGCCTCAGGCTCTGGAGTGCTGGGATTACAGGTATATACCACCATGCCCAGCCTTGGTTGCTTTGAAAGAGTGCATCTGCATGTCGCTTTACCTCTATACTCACTTCCAAAGTACAGTCCTCGTGCCTCCAGGCTCTAAATGACAGGACCATCCTGCCTCAGAAGGAAAAGCATCCTTCTCTTGATGACACGAACTGGTCTGGCACAACATACGCCACTATACGTTGATTCCCATCAATGAACCCAGGTTCATCTCTTTGCTGCCCTTCCTCACCCCTGTACACATTTTCCATGCTTTAGCACTTGAAATAACCTTCCGTTTCTGAAGCAGCACCTCACACATTCATTGTCAGTCCTTAGTATATGTGTCTTTTCCACCTGGAATTCTCTTCCTTCCCCCTCCCCAGGCCAGGTAGACTCTCTAGACTGACTTAGCTGTCCCTTCCCTGAACTGACCTCTGCAGTAGTTCTTGTTTTAGCATTGTGGCTGAATTATTTATGGACTAGTCTTCCTCCTAAATAGTGCAGCCATAGGTTGTCTATCAGTTGTGGGTTTCTACACACAATCAGAACTCAATCTTTTGTTCACTGCTTGGAATAAAAACTCAACATGAAGACTTAACAAAACTGCAATGCAAAGCTATGCTTCCCTTCATGATTTCTCACTGTCCACCTCTTTAAATTGATTTCAACCAAGAACATGAAGTCAAGTGCATGCTCTCTGGTCTCAGTTTAAAACAGAGTCTAGGGCTGGCGGAGTGGCTCAAGTGGTAGAGCGCCTGCCTAGCAATCGTGAGGTGCTGAGTTCAAACCCTGGTGCTACCAAAAAAAGAAAAAAATGAGTCTAGGAGTGCCCTTCTCATAGTGCTTTATCCGCATTAAAGTATTTTGTTGTGGGGAACTGAATTCAAGTTCTAGGTTTCGGGGTTTTCCAGGAAAGTATGGAAAAGGAAGAATAGATCAAGGGAGTTGAGGGCTCTACACAAGAGACTCCAATGGATGGCCAGTGAACTCAGAGCTGGAAAAGAGTACAATAAGGACACAAGGGCTCAGTGGGTCATTTGGAGCCAGGTGCTGGTAGCTGCCACCTATAATCCTAGCTTCTTGGAAAGCCAAAATCAGGAGGGATCATGGTTCCAGGCCAACCTAGGCAAATAGTTTGCAGGAACCCCTATCTCCAAAATAACCAGAGCAAAATGGATTAGAGGTGTGGCTCAAGTGGTAGAGCACCTGCTTTGCAAATGCAAAACTGGTAAGATCAATAGATTGTAAGGGAAGGTGTGTCAAAGGGCTGCTGGAGTCAGCATCCAAGAGGAAGCAAAAAAGACAGCAGGGGTGACCAGAAAACGAGACTGGGCAGATAAGCAGGTAGGCTGTGAGATTTTAGAGAGAAGGAACCCAGGCAGAATAAATAGAAAAGGAAAAAGTCTGAACGGAGGCACAAACGTGGCAGGAGGGGAGAAGGAAGACAGAAAGAGAGGTGATGGGGGGCACCGAGTTCTAGGGAAGGCATACTTAGATTTGCATTTTAAAACTATCCCTTTGGTTGGTGGAGAGGTTCGAGTGGTGCCTGCCTAGCAAGCTGATGTCGTGAGTTCAAGCTCAAGTACCGACCTCCTCCCCCCAAGAAAAACAAAAACAAAAACAATCCCTTTGGCTTGGCTGCTCTGTGGAGAACAGACCTCGGGGAGAGCACGGGGGAAAGCAGAGAACCTAGAGAAGCGCTGTCTGGGAGGGAGGCGGTCCAGGTAGACAGATGCTGGGGCGGGGTGGGGACAGCTCACACGTCCATCTGTGGAGCCCATAATGACCCCACTCGGGGATGTCCAGGTGGATCAGGTTTGCGTGGGGCGGGGTGGGTTGAGGGGGTCACCGATTCCTGTCTGACCCAAGGATGGAGGATTCTTGAGTTGGCTTCTCTAACTGAATGCCAGGTCCCCCTGTACCGCTGTCTTCCTCTGTCTCAGGTCAAACCCCAAACCAGTTCCAACTTCTCACCCCTCAACTCCCGGCCCGCGGGCATAAAGTGCAGGACGAGCGACAGTCCACTTACAAACTGGCTCTTGCGGTCCCTCCGAAAGCTCAGGAGCATCCTTGCTACGGGGAGCCGCCGGATCAGGGGCCGGATTTACCAGCAAAAGCCCCCACGGCCCGGGACCACTGTCTACAGCTAGCCGGCTGGGGCTGGTCCAGAGCCAGCTGCATTTTTTTCTCAGTGGACTTTGCAACAACCGCGCCTGCCATTGGCTGTGTTTTAGAATTGACCAATCAGAGGTGAGCTTGCTTCCACGCCCGTCGCTCTTGGCAACTAGCGGGCCCTCATTCAAATCCCCACCAATAGGGAGGCAGTGTAGGCTGTCGGTTCTTTCATTGGCCAATTCAGATGTCCCTCTCTGACATTTAGCCTATCCAGCGCAGGGAGAGGAGGAGGGCGGGCAGATGGAAAGACTGGGCGAACCCAGCCGGCGTGAACCCGGAAGTGGCGCGGCCGCAGGCAACGTGGGAGTGTGAGGACTAGAGCGAAGGTTGGGGGGTTATCCTTGGCGTCCCCCCGTCCGGGACCGGACCGAAGAGCCACAGCGCAGGCTATTAAGGGCCAATCAGGTGCCGATAATGAAAATCAGAGTCACTATGACAGGAATCTCCTCATTCTTAAACTAAGGCAAATAATGCAGACTTTGCAAGACCACTCTGCAGAAGAGATCCAGCCAAAGAGGTCCCGGCTTTGGGTGGAGCCTGCTCACGTGACATCTTGCATTTCCCAAATCAGATCGAGAGCACGGATGGAAAGGGACCCCCCTGATGGCGCAGGACCCGTGCACGTGCCTTTTGGGCATGTAGTGGCCAGTGAAAAATGGCGCGGGTCGCTGGTGGCGCAGGGGATGCAAGGTCGGTGAGCTGCCTTCTGCCCTAAGCCCTTTCCTCCCCACAAACTAAAAAAAAAAAAAAGTCCACGTATTGTTGCCTTATTATCATTTTGTTGTCTCTTTTAAGGGAAAATTAAACTCATTTTTGAGGATGGCCTGACATGGGTAGATTTTTACCTGTCCAGCAGTTCCTGCATTCTTTATATCACTGAGGCTGATTTGGTGGCAGGAAATGGCTACAGAAAGAGACTTGTTCGAGTTAGAAATGTAAGTACTGAATTAAAGAATTTTGTATCCCCATCTCCCACCCCCTTGGAATAATTTGTATCAAATCATTCCACTCACATAGTGATACCTTTCTTGACTTTGAAAGGCATTTTGTTACAAAATGGTCTATTGTCTTTTCCTTTGAAGTCTGGCAAGCTTCAAGGGATTGTAGTGGTTGAAAAAACTCAGATGAGTGAGCAGTACTTCCCAGCCATCCAGAAGTTCACTGTGCTGGACCTTGGGATGGTGTTGCTTCCTGTGGCCAATCAGATCGAAGCTGCCCGCCTCATTGTCCAGTTAGTAAGTACCCATTCCTCCTTTGCTGTTAATAACCTGTTCTTGTGCAGATTCTCAGCTTTTTTTTTTTCCTGGTGGTACTGGGATTTGAACTCCGAGCCTAGCACTTCCTAGGCAGACACTCTACCACTTGAACTACGCCCCCCAGCCTGTTTTGATTCGGTTACTTTTGAGATTAGGGTCTCACATTTATGCCCAGGCCAGCCTGGACTGCAATTCTCCTATTTATGCTTCCTTATTTATGTAGCTGGGAAGACAGGCATGCCCCACTATGCTCAGCTGTTAATGATTGAGATGGATGGGGTCTGTCTCGCTGTTTGCCTGGACTGGCCTTGAACCTTGATCTTGATTTCCCCCTTGTGAGTAGCTAGGTTTACAGGTAGGAGCCACCATGCCTGGCCTCACCTGATTTTGGTGGATCCTCTACTCTGACAACTGCCCTTGCTATAATGACAACCCATGAATCTAATCTGTGTCATTCCCTGTAGTGGTTTATTAAATCTTTTTGAGACATTTGAGTTCAGAAGCTGCCTCTGCAACCAGCCAAGGCTGCCATGCACTCTCTAGGCAAATGTGTAACAAAGAGAGCTGTGCGTACGTGTGGTTTTGAACTCCCAGGATGCCGTAACTCCATCATTCTTCATTATCCTGCATTTATGGTGATGAAAATGTCAACTAGCAGCCACTTTGCGATGTCCTCATGTCATTTGTTAGGCATCAGCACTTCTTTGTGCAAGTTTTTTTTTTTTCTTTAAGAAAGCAAACTGAGACTAGGTACAGTGGCTCATGCCTATAATCCTAGCCACTCAGGAGGTGGAGATGATCATAGTTTGAGGCCAAGCCTGAGCAGAAAATTAGCAAAACCCTGTCTCAACCAATGGCTGGGCATGGTGATGCATGCTTGTTATTACAGGTACAGAGGAAAGCACAAATAAGATCGTATAGTCCAGAACAGCCAGGGTAAAAGGAGGACCCTATCTCAAAAATAACCAATGCAAAAAGGGCTGGAGGCATGGCTCAAGTGATAGAGCACCTGCCTAGCAAGATGAGGCCCTGTGTTCAACCCCCAGTACTGCCAAAAAAAAGAAAAAAAAATGACTAAATAAAAGCAAGCAGCCAAGCATCAGTGGCTCACACCTATGATCCCAGCTACTCAGGAGGCAGAGATCAGGAGGATCACAGTTTGAAGCTAGCTCAGGCAAATAGTTCAAGAGACCCCATCTCAAAAAAATCTATCACAAGAAAGTGCTGGTGGATGGCTCAAGTGGTAGAGTGCCTGCCTAGTAAGTGTGAGGACCTGAGTTCAAAAAAAAGAAACTGGTTCTTCCTTACCCTCACTGACTTGTCAACTTGGTTGTTCATTAGAACTTTTCTGGGAGTTTTTAAGAATAAATGATGGGAGTCAGGCATGGTGGCACAAGCCTGTGATCCTTGGGAGACAGAGATAGGAAGGTCTTCAGTTCAAGGCTAGTGACAGGACTGGTGGTATCACTCAGTGGTTGAGTGCTTGAGGCCTTGGGTTTCATCCTTACTACTGGAAAAAAAGATATATAAGGGGCTGGTGGAGTGGCTCAAGTTCACCTGCCTAGCAAGTGTGAGGCCCTGAGTTCAAACTCCAGTGCTACAAAAAAAAAAAAAACAGGGAGATACTATTTTATGCTGGCGCCCGTGGCTCACACCTATAATCCCAGTTACTCAGGAGGCAGAGATCAGGAGGATTGTGGTTCAAAGCCAGCCTGGGCACATAGTTTACAAGACCCTATCTTGAAAAAAACCCATCACAAAACAGGGCTGGTGGAGTGGCTCAAGGTGAAGACCCTGAATTCAAATCCCAGTACTGCAAAAAAAAAAAAAAAAAACCAAACCAAAAACATAAGCCTTACCTCTGACCAATTAAAATTCACAACACAGGGTAGGGCCTGGGCATCAGGTTTTGTGTTTTGTTTTAAATATAAATCCTCCCTATGGTGTGCAGCTAGGGTTGACAGCCAGATTAGAAATGCAGCCCTTCATGGTTGACAGATTCCTGCCCTGGCTTTACTGTCCCTATCTGCCTTGGTACGACTGCCAGTAATTGAGGTGTGGGCTCTCCTTTAACAGTCCTGTGTGGAGCAGGTTTCCGTTAGGTAGAGCCAATATTTAATCCTGCACAAGTGAAACACTGTATGTTTTGGTGGTAGTAGAGATTGAACTCAGGACCTCGATTGCTAGGCAAGTGCTCTACCACTTGAGCCACACCCCAGTCCTTTTGCTTGTAGTTTGTTTTCAGATAGGGTCCTGTGCTTTTGCCTGGGACATCCTTTTACTAAAATCCTCATTTCTACCTCTGAGCAGCCAGAATTACCGACCTGAGCCACTGCACCCAGCTCCTTTTTTTTCTTTTTTTTTTCGCAGTACTGGGGTTTGAATTCTGGGCCTACACCTTGAGCCACTCCACCAGCCCTTTTTTGTGATGGGTTTTTTCAAGATAGGGTCTTGCAAACTATTTGCCTGGGCTGGCTTCAAACCACAATCCTCCTGATCTCAGCCTCCTGAGTAGCTGGGATTACAGGCGTGAGCCACTGGTGCCTGGCCTGAAATATTTCTTAATGGACCATAGGAAAATATATGAATTCCACATTGTGTTTTTCACTAGTTTTATCCTAAATATTCTGAAAACTCAAGTTTTTGTACATTTTTACCTCTTCCTCCTTTATGTGGTCATATGACCCACCTTTAAATAATCTTTCTTTCATCCATGATAGATGAAAATATTGGAACCAAGTGGAAAAACTAAATCTTAAGAAAGCTGCCTGCCCTCCGGGGGCGAGGGGGCTCATGAGCTTCTTTTCCCCTTTAATCTGTGGTTCAGGTTGAAGAGCAAACCAAAGAGCCCAGGAGGAACCCTTTCCTGAAGCAGCAGCGGGCCTCGCTCTCCGAGCCCTCCCTGGTGCAAACTGTGCAGCAGATCCCAGGAGTGGGAAAAGTGAAGGCCCCCCTCCTCCTCCAGAAGTTTTCTAGCATCCAGCAGCTGAGCAACGCCTCTGCCCAAGAGCTTGAGCAAGTGGTGGGACACATGGCAGCACAGCAGATTCATGACTTCTTCACCCAGTCCAGGCGACCGCAGGCCTCACATCTAACCTAGGGTTAGACCGCAAACTGCAGGTTTTCAGATTTAAAAACCAAGAACCAAAGCCTTCCTCCCACAGCACCACGTGAAGGACAGGGGAGGCCTGCTGCTCCCTTGGGGTCTGTGTTAGGAGAGTGGGGCTCAGATGTCACCACCCACATTCTGCTAAGGTGAAAGGGCCAGTGGGGTTCTGCTGAGTGTAAGGGACTCTCATCCTCAGCAAAAAGCCAGGGAGGGCTGGTTTGTATGAGCAGCCTTGACCTTGAGCGGCTGTCAAGGTCAGCTGACAGTCCACAGAGAACGGCTATAGTGAAGCACTGTGGACTGCAGGCCCCTTGCCATTCAGGTCTCTGCGCTCTGCTCGTGCCTGTGCTCAGGGCCACTGTCAAGGTAAATAAACAAGTGTACAGCAGTCCATCCTTGCTTTCTTTGTCCTCCATTTTCTGCCTTTCCTCTTTCTGGGTTTTTGGAGGGAGAGACTAGCCATATAATTTGCCTAGAATCTGAAAGCTTGGAGTCTGAAATTCCCCATTTAAAGATGAAAACTCAATGTGTAAGGAAGAAAAGAGTTCTTTTCTACTATGTGTGGACAAAAAAATAGCAGACACACTGCATCTAAGCAAGGGGAGCCCAGCGCTGGATCAAAAGGTACAGAAAGCATATGCATGACAAGTGACAAGTGCCAGTGGCTCGCGCCTGTAATCATAGCTACTTGGGAAGCTGAGAGCAGAGGATTGCAGTTTGAGGCCAGCTCGGGCCTCAAAACAACCAGGCAGAGCAAAATGGACTGGAGGTGTGGCTCGAGTGGTAGAGCACTTGCAAGCGTTCAAATCCCAGTACCACAAAAAACACCTACATCCAATTAAAAATGGCCTATGTTTAAAAAAAACAAAACAAAACAAAACACTAAGAGTACTTGGAAGCTTATTTGCTTTGTGAGATGTTAGTAAATTTTAAAACTCTAAAGCATGGTGCATTCCAGAGTAACAAATGATCTGAAGGAAGGAATTAAAGTGAAATAAGAGTAAAACATGTTAACTCAGAGAAATGAAGGCGTTTATTTAAATATTTACACAGACACGGCCCTTGGAGCAGTGGGCACCCTTTCCAAAGGTGGATGCTTCCTTCACGATACTGCACGATAGAAAAATATTTAAGTTCTTGTTAGTTCTCACAGTGAGATCTCAATGCTGCGTTTCCAGCTATGTTGCCTGTCCTGTGCCAGCCGTGAATCTTAGCAGAGCCACAGCGTCACCCAGTTTATAGCCAGAGAAGTCAAAGTGGTAAGAACGTTCTTAAAAGACAGTCAAGTAGAGCCGGGAACTTGAATAGTTCACACCTTACCCGATCAAATATAAAACTACCCTCTTCCCCCCGATTCTTAAATACACAGCTATGGACCGTCTACTTTAAACAAGCTGCAAACTGTTCTGAGTATCAAACAGTGTATTACCTACCCTGTAGACAGCACCTCCATCCGCCACTGCCGCCTGTTGGCAATCTGTAAATGCACCCAAGCAAGAGAGAAGGCTGCCGGGAGACTTTTTTTTAATTTATTTTTTTGGCTCAATCCCCTGCACTGCCAAAAAAATATATAAAAATTAAGACAAATTTGGCACTAGACTTTTATCTGGAAATAAAATCCAAAATGGTGCAGAAATAACAGTAAAATCATGTCACTTTCAGTCCATGAATTCCCAGAAGGAAGGAGCTCTTTGGGGACAGTTCTTAATAACACAAGTCTTACTCTGTCTTAATTCGAGGGTCACTCTAGATTAAGAAATGTTATCATCACCCAAACCTGGACACTTAGAGACAGTACTAGAGCAGGTAGCCTCAGTTTAGCTCGGACAGCGTCTAAAAGTCGGCACATTAAATCATGAAAACCAGCCACAGTTCCACCACTATCTATTTACAATCCTTACAGAATAAATAAGTTGCAGCAATGTAGTGAAACTCCTCAAATAAGTGTGTTTTCCAGAGATTTCTTGTCACTTTCATAAAGCACACCAAACACAAGTCCAGGCCGGGAGAAAATGGGGTCTGACGGTATCGAGGTGGCCACAAGGAAGACCTTCCATCGTCAGTACAGGGAGCTGTCCGAGTTGAGCAAGCTGAACGGCGTGGGGAGTTTCTTCTTCACCTGCGGCCTGGCCACCCCGACGGCCGGGAGGCACAAGGTGCTGGCTGACTTCTGCCTGTTCTTACCGGTGCCCCAACTCAGAAAGGAAAGCTTTTTAGAGATCTTCTTGGTTTTGTCACTCTTGTCATCGTCGTCGATGGACAGGCAGATCATGGAGTACGTTTTCTGCATCCCCACGGAGTAGGTGGCACACTTGCCGTGCTGTACAGAAGGAAAGGAAGGAGAAGGGTGTCAGGCACGGCAAGACCCAGCAAATCACTGTCAGGTGTGAGGTTCCCACTGCACTCCGGCATCCTCTTGAAAACCAAGTTTGTGTAGGTCTAAAATTCAGGTGAGTCACACAGGATTAAGACAGCTTGTGCGTGTGGCAGTTCTGGCATTGCGCTTACGAGGCAGGTGCTCTACCACGTGGGCTGCGCCCCCAGCCGTCCAGAACTTTTCTATCTTCCCAAATCAAAGCTCTGCACCCGTCCAACCCTACCTGCTGTTCACGATGAAAAACACTGCAGGACCCAAGTGGGACACGTGAAGATCTTGTTTTCTGGGCCTGTAAGGTGGGCCGAGGTTGAGTTTTTCACTCGCCAAATGCTCACGGAACAGTTGCAGGCACTAAAACCAGGCCCTCATACAAATAAATGCACGCTGTTCCCAACACAAATCCCAGGGCGTCTGAGCGAGGCGACGAGGAGGGGCGCTCACTGTAGTCCCCCAACCTCTCAGACTATGGTAACCAGATGAAGAGCCTTCCTGCTTTTCTAGAAAAGTAGCCACGAGGGCTGGTGGAGTGGCTCAAGTGGTAGAGCACCTGTCTAGCAAACCTGAGGCTCTGAGTTCAAAACCAAACCAAAAAACAAAAGCAAAGTAGCCATGAACCCCGCCGTGTGGGGCGGGGCACACACTGTGTCATAGCAACAGGGAAACAAATCTGCCAGAGGCAGATCCGAGGGCCTTGTTGCCCCCCGCCACCTCCCCGCTACACCCCCTCCCATAAATCAATACCCTTGGCTCTCCCCCAGCCTCCCGAAGAGGCGGGTCCAGCCCAGTTCCACCCTCTGCCTCCCCAGGCCGCATGTTCCCCAAGCTGACTGGCTTGAAACTCTCATCGCGACCCCGAACTTCCGAATGGCGGCCCTTCCCCAGCACTCCTGTCTACTGGCCGTCACCTTTCCTCTAAATGCCTGCCTCAGCCCCTATTCGCCCCTCTCCAGAACACCGAGCCCTCCAGGGGTCTTCCCTTCCTCCATCCTGCCTGGCAGCCGCCTCCCCTTCAGCACACAGGCCTCCTCTGCGGTCTCTGAGTGTCGCCCGCACTGCGCTCGGCCTCCCCTCCCGGAGCACCCCGGGCTGCTCTGCTTCACCGCCTTCTCGCCCTCCTCTTCCTTTCACATCCCTCCTGTTCCATCCACCGCGCCCCCAAACCGCTCCGTCTTCCCAGGGTACCTCTCTGGAAGCCTTAGGGCTTCACAGAGCAAAATGGTGTGGATCGCTCCACAGTCCACCTCCTCTGTCCTACAGAAGAGGGAACGGTGGCCCAGGGGCAGCGCTGACCTGCTGATGTCACAGAGCTTGTTAAACACAGGGCGTGGCTCCAGAGAGCACTGGGGGTCCCCCAGTGTGATCAGGGGGTACAGGTATGTACGTGGTGGGGGGAGGTAGCAGAGACCGTGCTGCAGCCTTTCTCACCTTGTGGATCTTTGTGCAGTGCTGGGCACAGAGAGAACCCTGGCCTCCAGCTCACTCCGCTGCCGAGCCCCACCCCAGCCCTTACCATTTGATTTTACTTGAAGGAAAGGCAGTTAAAAACAGAGCTCGGGGTGGTGTGGCTCAAGTGGTAAGAGAGCCTGCCTAGCAAGTATGAGGCCCTGAGTTCAAACCCCAGTACTGCCAAAAAAAAAAAACAGAGCTCAACTGGTGAAAGAATAATCTTGTCATTGTCACAGCTACTATGAAAAGAGCTGTTATCTCGTGCTGGGCCCTGGGGTGAGGACACAGGTCCTATTATCCCCACCTCCAGGAGGGCGATACAACTGTGTTCTGGCCAGGATTCAAATCCAGCGAGTCCTAACTTCACCCCCCCCAACCCCGCCACCTCAGACTCCTCTCCGGCCTGGTGCACAGGTTGAGTGGCTCCTCTACCAGACAGAGCCGGGTCCAAGGCATCCGGCTCCTCTAGCTGGGCCCTACCCCGTGACCTTCAGGCCACAGCTGGGTCTTCCTCTTACCTCTCAGACAAGCTTGCTTCTGGAGGGGAACTTGACTACTTATCCAGAAACGCCACGGATCACCGCGGCACCCCCCAAATGGCAGGCTTTACCATCCCTTTCTCCTAACCTGCTCTGCGAGTCTCAATTCATGGATCTGTTTGTTTTGGGTGGGGTGGGGTGGGGGCAGCACTGGGGTTTGAACTCAGGACCTTCCTGGACTCCTCCAGTTGAGCCTCACCCACAGTCTTCTTCATTTTTATTCATTTTTGTGCGGTACTGGGGATTGAACCCAGAGCCTTGCACATGCTAGGCGAGCGTTCTACCCGTCAGCTACACCCTGATTCCTCCTGTGTCCCCCTGAGCCTCTCCATCCCCTCCGCGTCCACTGCTCTTCCAAGCCATGTGTAACCCTGCCGCAAATGCCCGGGTCCTGTGGCTGTGAACGCCATCTCTACGCGCATGACCCCAACAGTACTGTCTCCCTGAGCCGACGGCTGCTTTCCACCTGCCTGAGGACGGCCACCTGTCGCTCTCCTCCGCCTCCCTAGAGCGCGGCCCATGCAGGGCTCAGCCCGAACCGAGCACAGCCTCCCGTCCACCACCAGCCTTTACTCAAACCATCTACACAGCAAGGCCTGTCTGGTCTCGGGTGCGCCCACCTCTCCCCTCCCCCTCCCCCTCCTCCTCCTCGGCCGCCCCCCCAGTCTAAGCTGCTAGGACGACCCAGAGCCGGCCTCCTCCTAAAGCATCAGCTGCTCCACTGCCTTCCGGTCTCACCCACCCCCCGCAGCTCCGCGCTCAGCCAGAGGCCCCTGTCTCTCCTTGTGGCTGGAGAGGCCGCAGCCTCTGCTTAGATCCTTCTGTCGCTCACACCTGGGTCCCAGCCCTGTCCCCGAGCCTCTCCTCAGTGACCCCCAGACACTCGGCCACGTGAGGCCTGTTCCTTTATGTCAGGTATCAAAAGTACGAGCACACACTTGCTAAGTGCCACCTTCCTGGGGACGGGGATGCCTCTGTCCACTTGAAGCTGGAGCCCCAGCACCTAAAGGAGTACTGGGCACGAGTGCCACCGAGGCGGGGGACTCCGCAGGGCCTGTGTGACTTCTCCTCGGCACAGCTCACGGCCACTATTGTAAATCCTGAACACAAAGCCTGGCATGATTCTCACTCAGATAAAAACATGGACATTAATCACCGCCCCCCACCGCTTTCCCCTCCCACAGGTCAGCACAGTCTTTGACAAAATAACTTGTAACAGAGAGAGCTCGCTCTGCTTCTGGCTCCCACCTGGCCCACCGCATGGATTTTTTTCTCTTCTTTCCTTTTTTGCAGCACTGGGGTTTGAACTCAGGGCCTCACGCTGGCTAGGCAGGCGCTCTACCACTTGAGCCACTCCGCCAGTCCTTTTCTGGTGTTGAGTGTTTTTGAGAGAGGGTCTCGTGAACTATTTACACCAGCTGGCCACGAACCGTGATCCTCCTAATTTCTGCCTTCTGAGTAGCGAGGATTACAGGCACGAGCCACGAGGCCCGGCAAGGGGAGCAGGAAGGCCTAGTGAAGGTCATCAGGCCAACTGGGGTGGGACTGTGGGCGGCCCCTGCTTTCCGTTCTGGGATGTCATCTCTTCTTCCATCATGACGCCATCTACCATGAGGCCCTTCCTCATCACAGTGGGGCCACTGATCTCGGATTTTCAGCCTCCAAAACCGTGACCCCAATAAACCTCTTTTCTTCAATAAGCATCGTAGCCCTGGGTCTCCTGTTACAGTAATGAACGACTGACCGACAGAGGCACGGAGCTGAGGCTCCTAGCACTGGTGAATGAGTAAGTGTTGTTCTGAAGGGAAGCGGCTGTGTGTTACCTGCAACACTGCACAAAACAAGCTGTGGGTGTGCTCCCTCTCGTGAGGGAAAATTAAAGATCGCACTGCACATGGACTTGCAGAACAAGTCCCTGAGCTCCCACAGGGAATGTCTAGCCCTGTCTGAGGCCTTTTGGACTTTCGTGTGTTCTTAAGCCCTCTTGTACCATCTGAACATTTCTGGAGGGATCAGTACTGAGGTTTGAACTCAGGTCTTGTACTTTCTCTACCACTCTACCACTTCAGCCATGCCCCTATCCCTTTTTACATTTTTTTTTTTTCTGCATCTTGCATTTTTACCTGGGCTGGCCTCGGTCTGTGATCCTCCTACCTATGCCTACCACATAGCTGGGATTACATATATGTACTACTGCACTTGGCTTGTTGGTTGAGGCAGGGTCTCAGTAACTTTTTGTGTGTCTTGGCCTCAAACCTCAAACTTCCCCATCTCTGCTTCCCAAGTAACTGGGATTAACTCCATGAGCAACCACGCCTAGCCCCATCTGAACATTTTTTAATCATGAGTATGTATTGCTTCTATAATTAAACAGGATTTAATCAGAAACAATCAATCAACTAAACCAAGTGTGGTGGCTCACGCCTGTAATCCTAGCTACTTGGGAAGCAGAGATCAGGGGGATCAAAAAGTTCTTGAGGGTTGGCACAGTGGTTCATGTAGTAGAAAGCCTGCCAAGCAATTGTGAGGTCCTGAGTTCAAACCTCAGTATGGCCACAGAGGGAAAAAAAAAGTTCTCAAGACCCCATCTCAACCAGTAGCAGGGCATGGTGGTACACACCTGTGATCCCGGCTACATGGGAAACGTAAATAGGAGGACAGCGATTCGTGCTGACCCAGGCACAAATGCAAGGCCCTGTCTGAAAAATAACTAAAGCAAAAAGGGCTGGTGGAGTGGCTCGAGTGCTGGAGCTCCTGTGCCTAGCAAGTTTGAGAGTTCAAACCTAGTACTACAAAGAAAAGTCATCAACAGATTAAAACAGAACCAAAAATGGAAAGTTTTCAAATGATCTCTTTGCACCAGGGCCAAGACATCCCGGGAGCTGGGCCGCGTGTGCCTCGCCGTGCGGCTCGCTGCCCGTGGCCGTGGGTGCTCTGCCCAGGTACCCCGCTCACCACAGACGCTGTGGAGTCCAGGAGGCTCACAACCTTCATGTGGATCTCGTCCCCGTCAGGGCTCTTCAGCAGCTTCATCACCTCGCTCACCGTCAGCCACTTACAATCCACGTCTTGGATGGAGACTATGTAATCCCCATCCCTGGCTCCTGCCAGCTACAGAAACGCGATCTCCTTAAAGGTCAGCATTCCCCCACCCCAGCCCCTGAGCCGGCCCCCACATTCATGGCTGCAGCAGACAACCCCAGAAGGTTTTTGGGGGGCAAAAAGTTCTCAAAAATACCCAACACATAAAAAAGGGCTGGAGTCGTGGCTCAAGTGGTAGAGCGCCTGCCTAGCAAGCATGAGGCTCTGAGTTCAAACCCAGTACAGCCAAAAGTAAAAAACCCCACAACCTTCATTCTTCCCTCCCCAGGGCATGGGGTCAGGCCCCTGACACAGATGAGCCCTCCACTCCCCAGCTAGCTCCGCCTGGGCCTCTGGCTGCGTGTCCTCCCAGCCCGACTTGGTGGGAGGCTCCCTGTGGCGTCTCCCACGCCCCAGAAGGAAGCAGCAGGCTTACCGCAGCAGAGCAGTGAGGATCCAAGAAGTGGACCTGGACCGGGGCGCTGCCTCGCAGGGTGAAACCCAGGTCCCCCTGCTCTGCGGTGAAGTGGACACTCCGAGGAGGTGTCCACCGCTTGCTGGCCGAGAACACAGACAAGGGGCCCTTGGAAAGAGAGAAGCGTTTGGTGCAAGGTTTGAAGGCTGAATCAGATTTTGGTTTTTTTTTTTTGAGGTGTCTTGCTTTATTGTCCAGGCTGGTCTTGAACCCCGAGCTCAAGGGAACCTCCTACACCTCAGCCTCCTTAGGTAGCTGGGACGGACTACAGATGCACACCGCCGTGCCCAGCTGTGAAGCAGACATTTGAACGCTAAAGGGAATGCAGCCCATCATCTATCAAGACCTCGCTGGCCTTGTTCAAGAGGCGGATGACGTCACCTGGGCCACTACGTGCTACGGTACCCAGAGAACAGCGTTAGCTGCCATTTCCTCTAACGTAGTCGAGTGACATTTAAAATAAAGTTCTCTTTTAGAAGTTCTCCGTTTCGTCAGTTCTGGGGATTGAACCCAGTTCACGCTAGGCAAGGGCTCTACCACTGAGTCACATCCCCAGCCCTAGAAATCAACTTAATCAGAACGATCATAAATGCCAGGCAGGGGCGTACACTCCTGAAATTCCAGCACTTGGGAGGCCGAGACAGAAGACGGAGGGCTTGAGGCCAACCTGGGCTACATAATATGTAAAAATAATTCTCTTTAAGTAAAATCCTCTAATACGATAAAGCCAAAATATCTAAAAATATTTTAGCTTATTTCTTGAAACAGGGTCTCACTATATGGGCCAGGCTGGCCTTGAACTTGTACTCCTCCTGCCTCAGCCTGGTGACAACTGGGATCATGCCACCAAGCCTGGCTCTAAAAACACCTATGGTCTAAATGTTTGCATTCTGCCAAAACGTGGCGACTGAAACCTAATCACCAACGTGATTATGTAAAGACGTGGTCAGATGCTGGGCCCCAGTGCACACGCCTGTAATCCCAGCTACTTGGGAGGCAGGGATCAGGAGGATCACAGTTCAAGGCCAGCCTGGGCAAACAGTTTTCAAAACCCCATTTCCCAAACAACAAGAGCAAAATGGACTGGAGGAGAGTTACAAGTGGTAGAGCACCTGCTTTGCAAATGCAGAAGCCCTGAGTTCAAACCCCAGTCCCAGCAAAAAAAAAAAGAAAGAAAAGAAAAAAGCGCTCAGCATACCAGCTTGTGGAAGAAGTCTGCGACTGTGACTTTGGAGAACTGAGGTAATATAATTTCAACTTCTTGCTCAGTTTTAGCTGGGAGAGAAGATGGAAAATGAAAGGATAAACGTCCGTCATGGAAAATGAGCCTTGAAAACTCAGCCTCCAGCCTTCTGTCCACAGAAAACAGAGCCCTGTTCTCTCCCAACCGTGCGTCCATCCTGGGGTTACGCAGAGGTGGAAAGGCTCAGGGTGGCCATGGCCCCCATTCGGGGCCTCCCAGGAGCCATGACCCATTTGGGGAAGAGTGGGCACCCCCCCCTTTCTCGGTGACTTTCTCGTGGACGGCCTGAGGCGCTCATCAACCCCTCGGGGAGGTCCTCTGCGTCCCAGGTGGCCTCTCATTGCTGACGTGTGACTCTCCACCATGAGGCTGCGCCAGCGCCTCCATGCCAGGCCCAGCCACCTTCGCCAGCGGCCAGCGAGCCCAGGAGAGGCTAACTGGGCCTGCACGACGGTAGAAAAGGAAACCCTAAGAGTGACTGGGATCCCCGGGGCGATGGCCTCCCCTCTGCCACCGGGGGCCCCTGCGCTCCTTACAAGCACTCAGCGCACAGGGCCGGGACAGGCGCTGCCTGCGGGGGGCACAGCCACCGCCCGCGCGTTGCTCGTCTCTGGCCATGGTGTCCCAGGAGGTCCCGAGAGGCACCCTTCCCGCCCCCCCCCAGCACGGCTCTCCCCAGGCCACGCACACACAAGGTCGGGAGCAGCGGAGAGGGTCAGGAGGTCGCCGTCCTCTTGGTGCTGGGCGTACTTGAGCCGGGAGCGCTGGTGCGCGGCGGTCAGCACCTCCCGCAGCACCGGGATGTCGCGGAGCTTCTTGCACAGGCCGGCCTCCCTCAGCGACTCCTCGTGGTGGGCGACGGCTCTGTGCAAGTGGCACTTTCCTGGGGAGGGGACCAGGAGTACGTCACACAGTGCGGAAGGGCTCTTGTCGCTAAAAGGCCGCCTGAGCAGCTGGGGTCGCCTGCGACAAACAGTCGGCGACATTCTGGTAAAGCGGCCCGGGCTGCAGCCGGCCAGTGGACGAGCACGGGAACGCGCAGCGGCTCTGGGAAATGAGGCAGGGTAGCAGGTGTGGCCGGAGAAGATGGAGAACGACAGCCGTCTTTCTGTAACGGTGGCACCTGGGGCTTGAACTCAGGGCCTCACCCTTGCTAGGCAGGTGCTCTGCCACCTGAGCCACTCCACCAGCTCTCAGGAAAGGCTTTCTGACATAGAAAAAAGTTGGAAGCCCAGCTGGCCCCAGGTTTTTCAAGCGCAGGGATTATAAGTGTGTACCACCGCACTCGCCCAAAGTAGCTTTTTGGGGGGGAAGGGGTGTTGCTGGGGTTTGAACTCAAGGCCTTATTTTTATGATTATTCTTGCTTTCTCGTTTTTTGCTTATTTGGTTAGCTTTTGAGCAGTGCCCCGAAGGAAGTAAAGCAGCAGCAGGGTTCAAAGACCCTGGGGCAGGAACATGACCAGGTTTTCCGAGGACAACAAGAATGGCTGGAGAGGGTGAGGGTGGGAAAGAAGGGAGAGAATGAGGTCAGAGAGGAGCAGGGGCTATATCACGCCTGACGAAGACTCCTCACTCCTGTCCTGGGTGAAATGAGTGAGAGCCTAGGGGGTGAGAGGGAGGAGCCGCAGACTCCAGTGACCACCTCCGTGGGAACACAGGGAAGCGGGGAGACCCCCTGTATCTCTGCTCAGGCCTCTGTCCTCTCGATGGAGGATCCCAGCAGACCGCCTCATCAGGCAGTGTGGGAATTAACGGAGTCGGTGCTTGTCACCTGAGCGCTGTAGACTCCCAGCCTCAACCGGGGGGTAAGAAGGGTAGGATCTGAACCATGTTTTCTAGGTAGTGCCCTGCGATGTGCGGGTCAAACGTGGGTGATAAAGAAAAACAAAGCCAAGCGCTGGTGGTTCACGCCTATAATCCTAGCTACTTGGAGGACTAAGATCAGGATAGCTGTTCAAAGTCAGACCAGGCAAACAGTTCATGAGACCCTATCTCAAAAAAAAAACCCTTCATAAAAAAGGACTGCTGGAGTGGTTCAAGGTGCAGGCCCTGAGTTCAAACCCTAGTACTTCAAAAATAAAAAAATAAGTAACCAGAGCAAAATGGACTGGAGTGTGGCTCAAGTGGTAGAGCACCTGCTTTGCAAGAGTGAAGCCCTGAGTTCAAATCCCCAGTCCCACCAAAAAAAAAAAAAAGACCAGACTGTGGCTAAAGCACACACGGGTGGAGCTGCCTCACTGACACAGGGAGGGTGCAGGTGGGGGAGACAGACAGGGTGCTGAAGGAAGTCAGGGTCAAAAGGGAAAGACAGGCAGAGACATGGTAGTGTCCACACCAGGACAACCTGTCACAGATCTGGGCTCGCTTTTAGCGAAAGCATAAGAAGTCAACAGTGGCTGGGTGCCAGTGGCTCACTCCTGTAATCCCAGCTACTCAGGAGGCAGAGATCAGGAGGATAGGGGTTCAAAACCATCCTGGACAAATAGTTCTTGAGACCCTATCTTGAAAAATCCATCACAAAGGGCTGGTGGGGTGGCTCAAGGTGAAGGCCCTGAGTTCAAATCCCAGTACCACACGCAAAAAAAAGAAGTCGGCAGTGGGTCCTTCCGCTCTCGGATGGGGACCAGGCCATGGTGGGAAGCGTGGGCTTGTGGAGCTGTGGGATCAGCTCTGGAAGCCCGAGGTGAGGGCTGTACCTCACGGTTTCTGAATGCAGAGTGATCTCGGTCACTCTAGCCACCCTACTCCCCCAGAGACCGCTGGACTCCGCAGGGCCACACGCACCCAGCTGCCGGCGCTGCTGGTCGTTTCTCAGCGTGGCCAGGGGCGTCAGTCCCTCGGGCATCTGGGTGTACAGCTGCGACAGGCACTTCTCCTGGAGGTCCGAGTCTGCACCCGGCTTCACTGCAAGGAAAGCACAGATGAAACCGCTCGGTCAGCGTAGACCTGTGGGATTCTCCTTTAATCCCAGCACCCCACCCCTCCCGGCTCTGCACACGGCCTGGACAGTTGGCCCCAACCTTTGCTCTCTCAGGCTGGTCACACTCAGTGACTCAGGACACGACTCTGGGGCTCCTCCACCCTGACCACTCCTGTGGCCTCTGACCCACCCCTGCTTCAACCGCAGCGTCCCCAGAGCCTCACGCCCTACCTGCCAGGCTCTGGGCCTCTGCTCCTTAGCTTTCCTCTCCCGCCATGGTCAGCTGGAAAAGCCCAGCTTCAAGGTCACCACCTCTGAGAAGCCACCCAGGATTGCACCAAGCCCTCACTCACTCCTCATCCTGCCTGAATAGACTCTACGACAGTAATGGGGCGGCTAACATTTCAGAGGGCCAGCCATGTACAAAGCATGGTTTAGCGTTGCACGCAGCCATATAATCTTTACCACAGCCCTGCGAAATGGGTACGCCTCCTTTTTCCTGGTTACAGGTGAGAAAGGGGAGGCACAGAGCAGCTAAGTAGTTCGGCCAAGGCCACACAGCTGGCTAGCGGAGGAGCTGAGACAGGAACCCAGGCAGTGTGGGTGACTCCACACACTACTGGCTTTATGACTCTGGGGACTATCCTGATCAGGAGTAATCACATCAAAGGCCCCGAGTCCTCCTCTCTCAAAGCTTTATTTTTGATAATTAATAAATAAAACGAAGGGGGTAAAATCCCATCTGACCGCTAGAGCAGAGCCACCACGACGGTAAGGAGGGAGAGGCTCAGGCCTCAGGGATGACACTTAAAGTTGTACCAAGAACTCAGTAAACAAGGTATGTAAAGTTTCTTAGTTTCTTTTGGCAGTACTGAGGTTCGAACTCAGGGCCCCCGACTTGCTGGGCAGGTGCTTACCACTTGAGCCACTGCCCCAGCCCTTTGTGGGGTAGGATTGCCCTCTAAGCCTGGGCAGCGGTACCTCCTATTTACGCAGTCCATGAAGCTGGGACGACAGGTGCATACCACTACACACAGCGTTTTCTACTGGTTGAGGTGGGGGGCTCTCGAACTTTTGGCACATACGAGGCAAATCACTGAATTACACCCCAGCCCTGCAATTTTTAAAATGTCAAAATTAACGCAAAGAGCCGAGCATGTGGAGGGTGGCTTGCACCTGTAATCTCAGCAGGAGGACTGCAAGCTGGAGGCCAGCCTGGGCTAAAGAACAAGACCCTGTCTTAAGAAAACAAAAAAAAAACAAAAAAAATGTAGCTGGGCACCAGTGGCTCACGCCTATAATCCTAGTTACTCAGGAGGCAGAGATCGGGAGGATCGAGGCTTGAAGCCAGCCCTGGGCAAATAGTTCATGAGCCCCTATCCTGAAAAACCCCAACACAAAACAGGGCTGGCGGAGTGGCTCAAGTGGTAGAGCGCCTGCCTAGCAAGCCACAGGCCCTGAGTTCAAGCCCCGGTGCCGTCGGAGGGGGAAAAAAAAAACCTATGGTGAACAAAACACCAAAATTTCTTTCTTGCACCAGACTCCAACGGCTAAGCACCCATTTGTTATGTGTGTCCCTGTCTTTACTTAAAATTTCCATCACAGAATTTTTCTGCGCTCACTTGGATCCATTTAAAATGGTACATGACAGCCGGGAGGTGGCTCAGTGGTTAGAGTGCTTGCCTACCACGCCGAGGCCCCGGGTTTGATCCCCAGCATCACAGTCAAAATACTTCCTTCAGTTGTGACTCATTTGGTGACTGAGTTTGGAACCTCTATTAGGAGACTGATCCCAGGCACAATGAGATGCCCCCTCCCTTTCACAGGAGTTGATGACACTTAATCCCCCGGCGTGTGGGTCATGTCCAGATGGCCATCCTTCCCAACTCCTGCCATCAGGCTGTGAGCATCTCTGGGTGGGGGGGAGCCCCCACTCAGCTCAGAACCTCCAGCAGCAAGACCAGAGCCCTGACCCCACCCCGGGCTACCAAGCCCCCAAGCCTTACGCTGGTGGTCCATGAGGAGGGTGGCTGTGAAGTAGTGGGCCAGGGCCTGGTAGTGGTGGGCCTTCACGCAGGCCAGGCGGGCCCAGGAGTAGGGGATGTTCTCCTTCACGGGGGCCTGGCTCATGGCCGCGTGGAGCTGCCAGTACACCTCTCCCACCTGAAACACGAGGACATCGGGAGGAAAGGAGCCCAGCCCGGCTGCTGGAAAAGAGCCCTTTCCCTTCCACGGCAGCCCCCGCCGTGCGGGGCAACCCCGAGAGATTCCTCAAGTCCCAGGGCAGAGAGAACAGAGGATCAGGCAGCGTCCACTATGCCCAGCTGCAGATGCAGTCAGCGATCCGAACCTGAAACGCCGGTACTTGCCGAGAAAACACAAGCCAGCAGCCTTGGCCGGGGCGGGCACGCTGCCCAGGTAGGGGGCAAGCTGCCTCCTGTGCCCCCAGCTGGTCCCCGGGCACCCCACCCACCCTGGCAGTCACGGCGACCAGGAAGCCTTACCTTGGCGGCCTCCTGCGCCACCTTCACCAGCATGAAGAACTCATTGCGGATCCCAGGGAGGGTGACTTTCTCGAACACGCTCTCCTGCGCTTGGGCTAGCATCATCTTGGTGAGCACGCTGAGCATGGCAGGGCTCATGTCGTAACTCGGGGTGTGCGTGAATGTCTCCTTCAGGTAGTTCAAAACGCCTGCAGTCACACATTGTTTGCTCACTAACTGGGGACCACACTTTACCAGCACGTACAGAGAATGACAAACAAAAAACAAAACCGGAGCCAGGGGTGCAGCGCAGTGACTAAGCACTTGCCTAGCATACACGAGGCTCTGAGTTCAAGCCCAGCACTGCAAAATATATACATACGTAAGTATTTTTAATTCACACATGCAGACGTTAATGTGTGTCTTTATTATATAGACTGATGTCCTGAAGCATCAGTAAAACACTGATTCTTGCCTGCCAAGCTTGTGCCTAAAATCCCAGCACTTGGGAGGCTAAGGCATCCTGCCTGGATCATGAGTTCCAAGCCAGCCTGGAATGCATAGCAAGACCCTCTCTTAAAAACAAGCTGGGAACCAGTGGCTCACGCCTGTAATCTTAGCTACTTAGAAGGCAGAGATCAGGAGGATTGCAGTTCAAAGTCAGTATTTTCGTGAGACCCTCTTGAAAATACTCAATGCAAAAAAGGGCCGGTGGAGTAACCCAAGGGGTAAGAGTGCCTGCCTAGAAAGCATGAGGCCCTGAGTTCAAACCCCAGTACTGGAGAAAAAAAAAAAAAAAAAGCCACACCCAGGTGCCAGTGGCTCACATCTGTAATCATAGCTACCAGGGAGGCTGAGATCAGGAAGATCATGGTTTGAAGCTAGCCCAGGCAAAAAGTTTGCAAGACCCCATCTCAATAACTGGGCACACTCTTGTCATCCCAAGCTGCAAGGGAGGCTGAGATAGGGAGGACTGCAGTTCCAGGACAGCCAAGGCGAAAGTTCAAGAGAACTTTTCTCAACAGAAAAAGCAGGGCGTGGTGGCATGCACCTGTCAGCCAGCCTAAGGCAGGGACCGTAAATAGAGGGACCGTGGTCCAGGCTGGCCCAGGCGAAAGCCCTATCCTAAAAATAACCAGAGCCAAAGGGCTGGAGGTGTGGCTCAAGCGGTAGAGCACCCGCCTAGCAAACTGGAAGCCAGGATTCAAACCTCAGTACAGCCAAAACCAAACCAAAACAAACAAATCTGATTCTCAGTTACCTTATTCCCCACCCACTCCACTGCTACACATGTACCCCAAAACGCAAAAGCCAAGGACCTACTGACACTGTCCATCACAGCCTTAGTCACAACAGCCAAAAGTGGAAACAACCCAGACGTCCACGGGAAAGTGAACGGCAAGCAGAGCGAGAGACACACACAACGGGACATTTCCCAGCCTTAAAAAGGATGGGAGGCGGAGGGCAGCTCAGAGGCAGCACATGGGCTTAGCATCCACAAGACCCCATTCCCAGCACTGGAAGAAAAAAGCAACAAAATGGACACAAGCCACAACTTGAAGCCATTACGGTAAGTAAAATAAACCAGTCGTGAAAGGACAGATATAAGATTCCATGGAGCGAGGTACCTGGAAACAGTCAAGTTCACAGAGACAGAAGGTAGAACAGGGGTTTCTAGGAGCTGCGGGAGGAAGGGAAGATGGAGTTATTGTTTTAAAACCTACAGAGTTTTAGTTCCTGGAGATGGACGGCGGTGGTAGCTTCTCAACACTGAAGAATGTGCTAATACCACTGAACTATACACTTAAAATGGTGTCATTTTATCAACGTACATATAACCACCATAGGAAGTAGGTGAAACAGTACATTTTATGATGTTTTATCATAATTTTTTAAAAATGGACTTTTTTGTGGTACTGGGACTTGAACTCAGGGCCTCATACTTCCCAGGGAGGAGCTCTACCTACTTGAGCCACTCTGCTGGCCCTTTTTTTATGTGTTTGGGTATTTACCCAGGCTGGCTTTGAACCGTGGTCTTCCTGATCTCTGCCTCCTGAGTAGCTAGGATTACAGGTGTGAGACACGGGTGCCCTGCAAAACTGGATTGTCTTGGCGAGGTGTGGCAGCTCCTGTCTATAATCCCAGGTACTCTAGAGGCAGAGATAGGACTAGGTTCAAGGCCAGCCTGGCCAAAAAGTGAGGACCCCCGCCCCCAATCTCAAGCAACAGCTGGGCACAATAGCATCTGTCATTGTAGCTAGATCAGAGACCGGAGGTAGGAGGCTGACCCCAGGAACAAACATGAGGCCCTACAGGAAAAATAACTAAACCATGGAGGCATGGTTCTAGTGGTAGAGAACCTGCATTCAAACCCCAGTGCCACCAAAACAAAAAATTGGATTTTCTTCCAAAACATTTTCAGGCAAGAAAACAAGAGACTTCCTCCAATCGTGCTCACCTAAGATGGGTGAAATTCCATCAACTAGGCATGTGAGGGAGGAGAAAGCCAGTGGCTCACACTACTGGCTACTCAGAAGACAGAGATCAGAAGGATGACAGTTCGAAGTCAGTCTGGGGCAAACAGTTCCCAGGACCCTATCTTAAAAATACCCAACACAAAACAGGCCTGGGGAGTGGCTCAAGTGATAGGGTACCTGCCTAGCAAGTGTGAGGCCTTGAGTTCAAACCCCAGAACTGCCAAAAAAAAAAAAAAAAAATGGGTGGGGGTGATGAGTGAGCAGCCCCTGGGGACAGGGCTCACTCAGGAGACCTGGTGGTTCAGAAGTGCGAGTCTTTTCCTGAGACCCCCCCAGCCCTGTGATGAACACATCTGCACTGAGCCCTGGAAAGGTAACCATCCAAACTTCAGCTCAGGCCAATCTGGAGCTGAGAGAGTCTGCCACCTGCCTCCTGACCAGCTACATGGACTGGGCTTACTGCCCCACACAGGGATGGCACCTGCTCTGGGCTGTTCACTTCCCTATCCCCAAGCTCAGTCTGCATCTCTGAAACCTTGGAGCCAGGCCTCAAAGTGTGGCTGCAAGAAATATGAGTCCAGAAACACCTGACAGTCAAACAAGCCGAGGACCGCACAGGATCTTAGTGTACGGCTGCACCCCAAAGCACAAGGGCAAAGCTGGGGGTGTCACAGGCTTGCACGGCAGCCCCAGGATCCAGATGGCCTGTGCACGGGGAGGTTGGGGAAGGGAGTGACTACATCCCAAAGCCACCCATGAGGATCAGCGCAGAGGGCAAAGACCAGAGCTGCCCTAGAGGCATGCTGTGTGTGGTCTGCACCGTGCTGGGGTTGGTGTCCACTCTGTCCACAAGAAGACAGACCTGGCCCCTTGGACATGCATAAGCCAGAGTGTCGGCCCTGCCTGCTGCACTGGCTCTGGTGACCTCGTGGGTTTGTGGCTATGGGAATTTTCCCCTTCCATCCTTAATCTGGTTCCTAGTAGGATGTGTTGCAGGGGTGACTGGCTGGGAACTGCAGTTAAAATGGGAAAATCAAGCCAGGCATGTAGCACATGCCTGTCACCCCGGCATGCAGGAGGCTGAGGTAGGAGGATGGAGAGCCCAAGGCCGGCCTGGGTAGAGTATTTGCCTAGCATGTGCAAGGTTCCATCTCTAGCACCAAAAAAATGGGAGGGGGAGCTTTTAGAAATCCCAGAAGGTGACAGAACGGCCAGGGACCCTGGTACACGTCACCTGACAGAGCTGAGACCACCAACGAAAGGCTGGCCAATTTAGCAGTGAGTATAATATAGACATCAACGGAACCTTTGCAAGGTTTCAGCTGTCTTTGGTCAACTGTGGTATGAAAATATTACCTGGAAAATCCCCGAAATAAATAATTTATGGAGTTTAATTTTATGACGGTATACGGTTATGCTACTCTCTTGCTGTGCCTCACGTATAAATTAAACATTCCCACAGGTGTGCAGGTGTAGGGAAAAACACAGCATACGGGGTTCAGGACTATCTGTGTTTCGAGCACCCACTGGGGTCTGGGAACAGATCTGCCATGGGTAAGCAGGGATACCACATGCACAGAGACGGTCACTGAATTTTAGAACGCCTGCCTTTCACTCTTTAGGAAAAGTTGCTCTGCCCTTTGGCAGAGTGCCGGAACCATGACGTCACGGGTCCCTCCACTCATCTGGAAAGGCTTAATCGCTAACCACAGGCCTCCCCGTGTTCAAGAGCACCCCAGACAGAGATAACACGATGCGACCCGCCAGGCAAGCGTCCTGACAGAACGGGTGCCCGTGCTGGAAGCTGGCCTGGCCCCGGCAGGCTTGGGGGTCTGGGAAGGGACCTGAGTCAGGGCTGAGGCTGTAGGTGGCAGCCTGGAGGACACCCACCTGCGGCTCTCTGGAAGGCATCCACCGCGCTCTCCAGCCCGTCTTGGGTCTGCCGGTTGCAGCGGGTTCCAATCTGAGTGTAGAGAGCACCTATGTTGAACAGAATACTGGCCTTCTCCAGAAGCAGGTTCTGCTGGCTGACTGGGACCCCGGTGAGGGAGTCGTACCTGGTGGGAGGAAGCACGTGTTGAGATGCAGACAACGTTGCTACCTAACCTGCTTCTGATGAAATGGACAAAATCCTTCTCTTGAAAAAATTCAGACGCACGTGCAGCCAGGCACTGGCAGTTCAAGCCTGTAATCCCAACCACTCGGGAGGATCACGGTTCAAAGCCAGCCTGGGCAAATAATTCTCGGGACACTATCTCGGAAAATACCCAAAACAAAAAAGGACTAGCAGAGCGCCTGCCTAGCAAGCTTGAGGCCCTGAGTCCAAACCCCAGTATCGCCAAAAAGAAAAAAAAAAAAAAGAGGAATTAGCGTTCAAGCAAGATGACAGGTCTGATCGTGGTGATAAAGAGCTAGGTGTGGTGACCATGCCTGTAACTGTAGTACTTGAGGGTGAGTCAGGAGGATCCTGATTTCGAGGCCAGGCTGGGCTACAGAAACTATACCAATCTTTGCAAATTCAACCTGGAAAAGAATCAAATGTTCTGCTTCAGTTTTTAAAATCTATTTATGCCTGTCGGCCTTGGCATTGGGACAAAACCCAATTCCACTCAAATCCCACAGCCCTGGCTGCCATAAAACATTTCTGCTTCTCTGTAGTTCCTCTTCAGAGCCCCGGTGATTCCAAAATGACCCAAGAAAGGAAGAAGAGGAAAGGAGAGAGGGAGAGAGGAGGGAGGGAGGGAGGAAGGAAAAGTCTCTTCTCCTTGGCTGACTTTTTCTGAGACCCAAGCGGTCAGAGCATGCAGGACACATACTGTCATCCTAGCTACTCAGGAGGCAGAGATCAGGACGGCAGTTTGAAGCCAGCCCCAGGTAAACAGTCGCTGAGACCATATTTTGAAAACACCCATCACAAAAAAGGGCTTGCAGTGTGGCTCAAGGTGTAGACTCTGAGTTCAAACCCCAGTCCCACCACAACTGAAAAATAAAAAAAGCCACAGTCTATAGTGCCTTCCTGTGAGATCACAAATAAACACCAGAGTGGGACCCCCACCTCCTGGAGGCTGCCGTATAAATGGAACAGCAGAAGGAGTTGCGGCTCAGCCCAGGCTCGGGTGACAAGTGTTGAGGACCTGGAACGGCACCTACCAGGTAAACAAGAGCCCCATCTGGCGGGTCGGGGGGAAGAACCTGCTCTCCACGAAGCCCAGCTGGATGAAGTAGGTTATCAGCAGCTCCACACCGGCCTCATCCCGGCTGGGCGTCCTGCAAGCCTAGGAGAAAGAAAGGCAGAGGTGTGAGCGGGTGAGGAGGATGCAGCCCTCGGCCTGTGCATGTACAGCAACAGGTGCTTCTTACTACTTCTGTGACCTGTGGCCCCCACTGCCCACACCATGGACCCCAGGAGGTGTGCACAGGGCCTGAGATGAAGTCAGGAACCTTGGGATCCAGCCTCCTGTCTGACAGCAGTAGGTTCTATGTTTTCTTGTGATGCACGAGGAACAGGTGACTCTCGACAGACCCTTGCCGTCTCCTCCAGTCATCCTCAGTGTGAGTCACAGGAGGTCCTGATGACCAAATGACTGCTGCAATCCTGGTGTCCCATGCACACGACTCACCTGCCTGAGATCCATGAGATCTGCAATTTCATCTTCGTATAAATAGCTGTCTTCACTGTAATGCTCCAGGATAAAATCCTAGAAGAAAAATAAAATGATTCAGGGGCTGGGGATGCAGCTGAAAAAAAAAAAAAAAAAAAACAAAACATAGTGGTATACGTCTATAATCCCAGCCACTCAGGAGGCAGGATCAGAAGCATTGAGGTTTGAGGCCAGCCCAGGCAAAAAGCTCATATGACTCCCATTTCACTCAATAAAAGCTGAGCGTGGTGGCACACACCTGTCATCCCAACTACATAGGAAGTGTAACTAGGAGGACTGTGATTCAGGCAGGTGGGGGACATAAAATACCAGACCCTACTGGAAAAATAGCTAAAGCAGAAAGGACTGGGGGCGTGGTTCAAGTGGTAGAGCACCTGCCTAGCAAGCTAAAGGACTGCTAGTTCAAACCCTGGTACTGGCAAAAAAAAAAAAAAAAAAAGATTGAAAACCATAAATCTATACAATAGCTGTATGTCAAATGTGCCTGTAGGATAGAGAAAAATTTATGAGACTGTACACAGCAGTGATTTCTGAGGAGGGGTATTTATTTTCTTAACTTTGTTTATCTGTGTTTTTGTGTTTTTTTTTTTTTTATTTGTTGGGTGGTACTGGGGTTTGAACTCAGTGGCTATTACTTGAGCCACTCCATCAGTCTTCTGTAGATTTTTGGATGGTGTGTTTGCTGTTTAGGAAAAAGTTGAAGTTATTCCGTATTTAAAACTGTCTTTGTGCCAGGCATTAGTGGCTCACACCTGTAATCCTAGCTACTCAGGAGGTAGAGATCAGGAGGATCACGGTTCAAAGCCAGTGCAGGCAAACAGTTCTCGAGACCCTATCTAGGAAAAATCCCATCACAAAAAAGGGCTGGCGGAGTGGCTCAAGGCCCTGAGTTCAAACCCCAGTACCTCAAAAAAAAAAAAAAAAATTCTGTGATGCGCTTCAGTGAGCTCTATATTAAAACCACAGCTACTGAAAGGCTCAGACCTTTGACCTCTGGGTTGCTCTCAGAACTTGACCCAAGACTTTCTGGGCAAAAGAAACCAGAGTCTGAAGATGTGGCAATGATGCCACCCTCAGATCTGTGACGGGGACCTCTGTGAACGCAGCTCTGGCATGAATGAAACATCCAGGTGAGACGTCCTAGCTGGGCACACAACAACCCAGTGCTTGACACCTGTCCTGATTCAAACTGATGGACACTTGCTTTGTGGCAGGCCCCGTGCGGCCATGTTCTCACTAGAGGAGACAGGCCCTGGTAACGGGCGCAACGCACAGAACACAGCTTGAGTGACATCCCTGAGCGCAAAGGCGTGGGCCATGCCTGTCTCCGGCTTCAGACTTTTTCAGGTTTTGCGACACCTGTGCATAGGCAATGAGATGTCTTGGGGTGGGAGCCAAGTCTAAACACGAACATCAAGTGTGTTTCCTGTGTCCCCCGTGCACACAGCCCGAGGCTGATCGGACGCGGCATGTCCTCGTGATTTTGAGCACAGAAGTTCCACGGCGTGGAATTTTTCACTTGTCGGGTCAAAAGGTCATGGAATGTGAAGCATTTCGGATGTTCAGAGTGGGGCTGCTGAGACAGAATTGGGGGGAAAGGAGAGCAGTGTAAGGGGCCTGGAGAGTGGTCCTCTCTAATGCCGGCTCCAGGGAAGGTGACAAGATAGACTGACTGTTCAATTATGTTTTCCCAAGAAGCTGTGCGCATCTTTCTTTCTCTTTTCTTTCTTGCTTTTATTCCTTCCTTCCCTGCCCTCCCTCCCTCTCTCCCTCTTCCTTCCTTCCTTCCTTCCTTTTTTTCTCCTTCTTTCCTTTTTACTTTCTTCCCGTCCCTTCCCTTCCTTCTCTCCCTCTTCTCTCCTCCCTCCCTCCCTCCCTTTCTTTTTTCAGACAGTGTCTTAGTGTGCCGTGTAGGCTGCCCTTGGGCTACAGAAGTCCTGCCTCAGCCTCTCTGAGAGCTGTAATTTTACACACTTTCCTGCTGTGTGTTCAGTGCACAGACACCTCGCACAAACACAAAAGGCACGGGTCTCACACGGGCGAGTTTATGCTGAACCTATAAACCTGGCCTTTTTACACCTGGCAACGAATCAAGCGTTTTCACGTGCCATAAAACGTCCTTGAATGTGACTTTCAGCGGCTCTACACTCCTGCAACGTGACAGGTGCACAATTCATGCGTTCAGCACCCTGCTGTGTGCCCACCAATACAGCCCAAGACTTTCTCAAGTCCCGCTTGTTAAGACGGGAAAGCTGTTTGCAGGTTTTACTATTAAAAATACTCTCACGCGCACCTCCGATGCAAGCAGATCCCAACGCGAAGTCTTGCTGGGCCCAGGGAAATGCAGACACATCCTCAATTTTTCAGTAATATTAAAATTTTGTACTTTGGCCATTTTTGCACCGATTTTATTCTCTCTCTTTCCCTTCCCCCCCTCCTTCCCTTCTCCCTTATTGCTTTAGTTATGTTTTGGAAGATCTAGAATTTTTGCCCAGGGCAAGCCTCAGACTTCCATCTTCCTATCTACCCTTCCAGGAGCTGGAATCACAGTCACTGACCACCATATCTGCCTTGTTTATTGAGACAGGGTCTTGCTAACTTTTTACCTGGGCTGGCCTGAAACTGTGATCCTCCCAATCTCAACCTCCAAAGTAGATGGGATTTCAGCAGTACACCACTGCTCAGATCTTTGTATCTTTTGTTTTAAAACAGGTTTGGATAGGCAACCCAGACTAGTTTGGAACTCCAGTAATCAAGCAATCCTCTTGCTTCAGTCCCCCCTCCCAAGAAGCTGGGACTGCAGACGTGCACCACCATGAAAGGCTCAGAACTTTTCTACTGTCTTACGACGCTGTCAAAAGATTTGTTTCATGACTTAAAAGTGGTGATGTTTGCGATCAACAAACATCATGTTTGTACCCCAAGCACGACCAAAAATTTAAGGTCCCTCTTCTTTATTTTTTTGCAGTACTAGGGCTTGAACTCAGGACTTACCCTTTTTTGTGAAGGGTTTTTCCAAGATAGGGTCTTACCAACTATTTACCTGGAGCTGGCTTTGAACCGCGATCCCCCTGATCTCTGCCTCCTGAGTAGCTAGGATGACAGAACAAAACCTCATCGTGGAGATTTCCTGAGCTTGAACATCCCATGGACGCATCCGTCAGATGTGAAACGGAGCTGCCCTGATCAAGTCCACCAGGCCCCCGCTGTGGGACCTATTTCCCTCAAGTAGAAATATGGAAGGGAGAAAATAGAAAGTCCCCCAAACGTTCTCATTTCTGGATGACTGACAGCCATAAGCACCCCTTTTAGGCTAAAATGACATGGTTGGAAACCTCAGCTAGACAGAAAGTGGCCAAGTCCATGATGTGGGATTTTTTTTCACTTGCTTTAATGTGCAATTCAGCACATGACCTATTTGAATTCTTCCAGATGCCATGAAATTCCTAAGTTCCTCCTTAAAAATGCACTAACTAAATTTTAAGGAAACTTATCTAAGCCAGCACCAGTGGCTCACACCTGTAATCCTAACTACTCAGGAGGCAGAGATCAGGAGGATCACAGTTCAAAGCCAGCCCAGGCAAATAGTTCATGAGACCCTATCTCGAAAAACCCATCATTAAAAAAAGGCTGATGGAGTGGCTCAAGGTGTAGACCTTGAGTTCAAACCCCAGAGCCACGAAAAAGAAAGAAGAAACGAAACGAAACTAGCTGTGTATGGTGGTGCACACTTGAAATCCCAGCATTTGGGAGGTGAGGCAGGAGGATCCGGGTTCCACACCAGCCTAGGCTACACAGGGAGACCCTGTAACAAAAGAAAAGTCAGCAAGGATAAGTGCCGGGCCTGAGAGGAAGGAATGTGTGAGGTCTCAGTGCAGCTGCCGAGGAGGGCTCAGGGCCACCCTGCAGACGTCAACTGACACTTGGCCATTGGCCTGAGGCCCCCAGGAACACACAACTTACTCCCCTTTTAATGAGGCCCAGGGCCCACTGCTTACAGATTTACCTTGAAGACAACAGAGAAGTCCACATCTTTGGTTTCCTTCAGGCCAAGAGGAATGAGGGGGATGGTGAATGCCTCCCTGCAAGGAGCACAGCAAGGTACATGAACACCTGACCCAGGCTGGACACCAGACCCCCCTCAGTCTGTGCCCAGGCCCAGCGCAGGGGTCCCCCCACCCCACCCCTGGCCAGTCCAGCCCACACCCAGCTGACTGCTCATGATCCATAAAGACAGTTCTGGTCACATCTTTCCTTCTGCTCTAAAACGGGTACCCAAGACTGCTGGACACAACAGTCCAACACACAGGTCCCCACGATCCCGCACTGATTCAACCCTCCAAAGTCAACCCCAATTCCAGCACCCGTGCTGAGAACCCACGTCCGCCAGACCTACTCCCCTTCCTGAGTACACTCTGCTCCACTGGGGCCCTCTCCCATCCCCAACCCTCACATCCTCTCCTCCTCCTCCAAGCAGTCCTCCATCACCTCCTACACTGGAAACCCGGGGCTTCCACCTGTAGGGCATGTCACACCAGTTGTCCCATTATCTGTACAGGGAATGCCTTGCAGGCAGGGGCCCCATCTGACACCTAAATGGACCTAGCTCCCAGACTCTAGCCACCACAGTGTCCCACGAGGGCCACTAGGTCACGCCACACGGCTGGCTTTAGCCGTGCCCCAGAGCCTACATTCATTCCTAGGGCGGGGCCAGCAGGAAGTGAAGCAGAGATTCAGAACCTGACCTGTAACAGGAGACCTCGTGGGCTGCTCAGCCCAGCCCAGAGAGGAGGCCAGGAATGCTGGGCAGTGGGAGTGGACAATGGCTGTAAGCTGAAACTGCACTGTGGCACAGTGGTGCTCAAAGCAAGCGAGACCCAACCCAGCTATGTGGCTTCCCCAAGCCCACCCCCAGGAAGGCTGGACCTGGTAGAAGATGGGGACCGTCCAGGCCTCGCTCTTCTGGGCCATATGCCCTCCTGCCCTCAACCCGTGCAGAACTGGCGGCCAGGCCTGCTCTCCCCATGACTGTCCAAGCAACAAGTGGTGTCCTGAGGACTAGACGCCAGGGCCCTGGCACTAACGTGGCTGGCTGTGAGTCTTCTCCTGTGTGTAATGGGATCACCTCTTCTCCGCCTGCCTCCAGAACTGTTTATGAATCTGTAGCATGGGTGTGAAGCTCTCAGTTTAAAACCCAGCACAGCACAGAAAGTAAAAAAGTAAGGGGCGGGGGTAGACGCCAGGTGTGGCGTGGAATCTGCTTGCCTCTCTTTCCAGTGACAGGGGATGGGCTGAGGCCACCCTAAGGCCACAGTGATCCTATGGGGTCTAAATGCAGAACTGTGTGGGAAGCAGCCACACAGGCACCCCGCTGTTTAACTCAGCAAATGTGAGTGTCAACAGCCAAACTTGGCCCTGTCTTGCTCCCTCCAGGAACTTGACCTTTGGGGCAAAACACAGGAACTTAACACCAGAGTATGCCTAGGACCAACTGCCATTTGCTGTTGCTCTAACTGGGTTCTTGAAACTGCCCTAGAAGCCACAGGTGAGCCGGCTAGGCGCAGGGTGACCCAACTAAGCTAGACAAACAGGGAGCCACACGTGAGCCAGTCAAGCATAGGGTGGCACCCAGACACAGGGCGACACAGGTAAGCCAGCTGGGCACAGGAAGCCACAGGTAAGTGAGCCGGGCATAGGGTGACAAAGGTGAGCCAGACAGGCATAGGAAGCCACAGGTAGTCAGCCATGTACAGGGTGACACAGGTAAGCCAGCGGGACACAGGAAATCACAGGTGAGCCAGCAGGACACAGGCAATACAAAGGGAGAGTCAGAGGGCTTGTGTCCTCCAGATGCCACACAGAGGGCTGGGGTCAGGAAACGCACATTCCAAGATGACTCTCAAGGCTCCCGAAGGACTTCCTTCTGCTAATCCAGGGAACTGTTTTCTGCCTGCTGTTTTCTTCCCCAGGCTCAGCCACTTTTGAGAAGTCTCCCTTCTCTACAGGACAAACAAGCCCTTCCCTGGAGCTTCTCTGTCACTTCCTCTTGGCTCACCTTGGCCAGGGGACTCGCTGAGCTTTTCTGAAGGCCATAACTCCATCTCCCACCTCCTACAAACACCCCCAGAAGGCATGCTTCTGAGTCAGGCATTTTATGGGGTTTACTTCTGAGGTGTCTCCCTGCACCATGTCCTCGGGGAAGTCAGACGTTCCCTGATGGTGGATGTACTCTTGTGTGTTCTACCTACAGAAAGACCCAAAGCCAGGCCCAGTGCTTGACAAGAGGCTGAGAGGGAAGGAAGGGCAACTCAGGCCCCATGTGGTGGTGTCCAGGGCACCCTCACAGCAAAGCCACCAGTCCAGCCCAGATGAGAGATGCCACTGTCCTGCCTGGACGCAGACCCACAGCTCTGCCGTTAAACCACGTTCCAAGGGAACCCAGACAAATGCCTGTGTCTCCAACAGACCAGTGATTTCCCTACAAACCCCGCAGGTCTATCCCTTTAACCCCAGCACCTGGCTCCACCCCACACCCCTTCACTCGCTCACTGCCCATGGTTGGGGCTGCCAGGCCTCTGGTGCACAAGCCCCCTCCCAGCACGGTGTCCAGGCAGTGGGCAGCTCTCGGGTCGGAGAGCATAGGACATGCACGGTCCACTCACTCTGCGCCCTGGTACACGCCCACCGAGATGTTGAGCCCCTCCAGCTCCTCCTTCAGCATCTGCAGATCAGAGTTCACGAAGCTCAGCTCCAGGCGCACCTGTTCTCGCACCTTCTGGTTCGTGGCTACTCTGTGCAAGGAAAGGAGGGAGACAGGTGTGCCTTAGCGGGGCATTCCAGCTGCCAGTGAGAGACCCAAGCCCCATCCCTACAGGAGGCTCAGGCAGCCATGGGGAGATGAGCGCCTGTGGTGATCTCACAGCTGTCTCAGAAACCCCGGGACACATGCTGACAAGCGGACCTGCGCCGTGGCTAGCAACACTGCAAGCTGCCAGACATGAACCCTAAGCAATCCTGCAATGAATGACCCTCGAGAAGACAAAGAGCAGACTGCCCCCAGCCACCCCTGAAAAGGCCATAAATTATCTGTTCAACCCAGGCATAGTGGTCACACCTGTAGTCCCAGTCACCTGGAGGCTAAGGCAGGAGGATGGCATGAACCCAGGAACTCCCTAAACCAGCCTTGGCAACACAGTGGGATCCCATCTTGAAAGCAAAACCAGGCTGGGTACCGGTGACTCACACCTGTAATCCTAGCTACTTCAGAGGCTGGGATCAGGAAGACTGCAGTTCAAAGCCAGCCCAGCAAAGAATTAGAGGAACCCCCCCTCCCCCGCCCCCGACATCTCCAAAAATAACCAGAGCAAAATGGACGGGAGGAATGAGTGGCTCAAGTGGTGGATCACCTCCTTTGCACGTGTGAAGTCCTGAGCTCCAACTCTAGTGTGTCCCACCCCTAAAACAAATTATCCCCTTAAAAAAAAGTGGCTGGGGACATGGCCTAGTAAGCACAGGGATCTGAGTTCAATCCCCAGGACTCACACCACCAAAGAGAGGGGCGGGGAGGGGAAAAGGATGAGAAAACGGAGGGAGAGGTGATGGTTCCCAACTCATCCTGTAAGCGAGTATAACCTGATCCCAAACCAGAGAAGGTTACGACAAGAAAACAAGACAGCAGATCAAAGTCCTTCACGAGCAGATCTGCAAAAACCTGGCAAATATTAACCACCCCAGCCAGCAGCACGCAAAGACGATTACATGCCATGGTCAAGACAGACTTATTCCAGGACTCCGAGGCTGCTTTAGCATCTGAAATCAAGAAATTTAATAAAACAAAGCACAGAAACACATGTCACCTTGTAAGGGAAGCAATGACAGAGGTGACTGCTCAGAGAAGTAACAGGCCTCTCACCAAAATGACAAAATTCAGCTGCAAGATGTGGACCCCAAGGCCAGAATGGCTGACCAACCTTTCCTGGAGTGTTCTGTTCGATAAGGATGGGGACAGACAGGTGGCCAGGATCAATGAAGAGTTGACTCAGAGGTCAACCAATCACAAATGTAGTTTCAAGGTGTAACAGCTGGACCCAAGCCAGGCAGAGCCCTGTGGCACTCCTAGACTCCAGCTGTGCTGCGCCTGAGCGTCCCAAGGCCCTCCCGTGCGGGAGCTCTGCCTTCCTTTCAATAAACTTTGCGCTTGCTTTACTCTTGACTCCTGGTCCTGTGTCTTTAGTCACTGACTTTGCCCAGACATGAGCCTGGGACCAGAGATCCAGTGTCAATCCCAACGGATACACAAAAAAGCACATGACAGAATCCAACACAAATTCAAAATACAAGTTATCCACACTAAGCTGGGTATGGTGATGCATATCTATAATCCCAGCCCTCAGGAGGCTGAGGCAGGTGGATTGTGACTTCAAGGCCAGCTGGGCTATATAGAGACCCCATCTCAAAATTACAGCAACAAGCACAATCTCAAAAAAAAAAAAAAAACCTAGGAATAAAGGAGAATTACAAAACCTGACAAAGGACATCCACAGAAGCTGACAGCTAACGTCAAAAATGAAAGATGGCCACTCTCACTATCTTTTATGTTTTTGGCAGAGCTGGGATGAACCCAGGGCCTTGCACCTGTCAGGCAACTGCTTCTACCCCTGAGCTACATCTCCCAAACCAGTCTTCTGCTACGTCTCTACCCACCAGCCACTTGGCAGTACTGGGATTTGAACTTAGGGCTTTGAATTTACGGGACAGGTGCTCTACCACTTTTTTCCCCCCTCTTTTTTTGATGGTACTGGGTTTGAACTCAGGGCTTCACACTTGCAAAGCAGGTGCTCTACCACTTGAGCCACTCCTCCATTCCATTTTGCTCTGGCTATTTTGGAGATGGGGTCCCATGAACTATTTGCCCAAGCTGGCCTTGTATCATGATCCTCCCAATCTCAGCCTCCCAAGTAGCCCAGGATTATGGGCGGAAGCCACCGTGCCCAGCTGCATGCTCTACCTCTTGAGCTATGTCTCTAGCTTATTTTAGAGACAGGATCTCGCTTTGTAGCCAGGCCAGCTTGGATCACAAGCCTTGTATTTCAAGCTTCCTGAATTTGCAGGAAGCACACCACCAAACCCAGCTCTTCTCTTTTGAGATGGGGGGTCTCACTTTCTGCCCACCGGCCTGGACTGTGATCCTTACATTTTAAGCTTCCGGCTGTCGCTGAGATGAGAGGTGTTTTACTACTTCTGGTCAACAGTGCACTGGAGGTTCAAGCCAGTGGCAATAAACACCTGTAAATAAATCCCAGCTACGTGGAGATCAGAGGATTCCGGTTCAAAGTCAGCCCAAGCAAACGGTTCTTGAGACCCTATCTCAAAAAAACCCATCACAAAGAAAGGCTGGTGGAGTGGCTCAAGATATAGGTCCTGAGTTCAAACCCTAGTACCTCAAAAAAAAAAAAAAATCAAAAGAAACCAAAGGCATCCAGGCTAGAAGGAAGAAACAAACCAGTCTTTTCTCACAGATGGCCTCATCTGTAGAAAACTTCAAAGCAGCTACAAAACAAATGCTAGAAATAACAAATTCAGCAAGGTCACAGGGTACAGTCTACGTACAAATATCAATTCCATTTCTATCTACTAAAACGAAATGGAGAAAATTACTCCATTTACAAGCATCAAAAAGAATAAAAGAGCCGGGCACCAGTGGCTCACACCTGTAATCCCAGCTACTTGGGAGGCTGAGATTGGGAGGATCATGGTTCCAGGCCAGCCCAAGCAAATAGATCTCAAGACCCTATCTCGAAAATAACCAGAGCAAAATGGGCTGGAGGTGTGGCTCAAGTGTAGAGCACCTGCTTTGCAAGTGTGAAGCCCTGAGTTCAAAGCCCAGACCCACCAAAAAAAAAAGTAATAGTGAAATATTCCGAAGAAAACATGACAAACAAAGTGCAAGACTTAAACACTGAAAGCCATGAAGCCTTGCTGAGAGGCTAAATGCAGAGCTATTCCACATTTACGCTGTGTGGTCGAGATAACAAATCTCCCTCATTTTAGTAGAAGTGTTCTCCCGCTTATGACATGCTTTTAGACCTCTTTGCTCTGGTTATTTTGGAGACTGGGGTGGGGGGAGGATGCTCACTTTTTGCCCAGGCTGCCCTGGACTGCAATCCCCCTATTTATGCTCCCTACAGTAGCTGGGATGACAGGCATGCACCACCACACCCAGCCTTTTCTGTTCAGATGGGGTCTCACACTCTTTTGCCCCAGCTGACCTAGAACCATGATTCTCCTGATCTCTGCCTCCAGAGTAGCTAGGATTACAGGATTACCAGCACCACGTCCAAATACTTATTTTTTAATATATCGCAGCAACCCACCGAATTGATTTTATTACACACCATGGGTCACAATCTGTAGCTTGCAAAACCTTCATTACAAAGGTGTTGCTGAGAACAATGATTTCTTAGCAGTTATTATTCACAAGGATCCAGGGAAGAAAACTTTCTCAGGCTTCAGTTATCAGGCATATAGCTAATGGGTACAAAACATGTCCCAGCCAGGTACCCATGGCTCACTAGCTATTTGGGAGGCTGAGATCCCAAATAGCTAGGAGGATTGTGGTTCAAAGTCAGCCCTGGGCAGGGAGTTCTCGAGACCCCACCTCAACCAACACCTGGAACTGGAATGGTGACAGGCACCTGTCATCTCAGTGACAACAGAAGCTTAAAATAGGAGGACCACAGTCCAAGCCAACATGGGCAAAGAGTGAGACCCCATCTCCAGAATAACCAGAGCAAAGAGGGCTGAAGGTATGCCTCAAGGGGTAGAGAGCCTGCCTTGCAAGTATGAAGTCCTGAGTTCAAACCCCAATATCATCCACCATTCCCCTCTTCATATGCCTGCTGGGACGCTCAGAGGCAAACCTGGCTCACATCTAACAGAATACACAGGAACCTGTGGCAGGTACTGCCCTTACCGCCAGCTAAGTCTCTCATTCTTCTTCCTGTCCTCACGTCCTCACCCCACCCCTGCTTTACTCTGACCTGTTGTGCAGGTATGTAAATGTGACTCAAACCTATTTTGGAAGGAGGCCAGAAAACAGCTAAGACTCCCTGAGGACAAGCCTTCTGCCAACTTCTGTGTATTTCTCCTGAAAGCCGGCACCTGGTCCCTTCTACACCAAGGGGGCTCAACAAATTTCACTTCCTGGAAGAAATGGTGAACTGAACCCTGCTCCCCGAGGTAGCTGTCTCTGATTCTCAGCAGCAACACTGCACCCAAGAGAAACAGACTACAGGGACCCAAGACCCCAGCCAAGAATGGAGAATGCCACCCTTGTATATGGATATTAATTTGCTGCGTCTCCTCTCCTGGCTTGCTGACAATTTCCCACCTAAGACTTGCAACCAATCACGTGGATCTCTTTGTGTGAGTCACTCTGAAAAAATGATGGCAGCCAGGCAGGGTCTCGGGGTGGGTGTCTGCCATGTTGACCTTTGGGTGCAAAGACGACTCAGAGATCAACCCTAGGGTTTGAGCTGTGTGTCTAGAACAGGTAAAGATTTTCCCCTGATTCGTAGATGAAAGAGGTTTCCTGAACAAGGTGCACCAATTCAAGAAGGTAGGTGTGCCCCACTGTCTCCGGGCAGTGGACAAAACCAGAACCAGCTGGCCCACATCCGGGAGTAAGGCCAGAGCTCTGGTTCTGTCCACACCAACGCCTGTACCCAGGCTGCCTTTCTGGATAAAAACAGTGGCTTCCAGACTGGTGGGGTGGCTCGAGTGGTAGAGCACC